AGGAAGAGAGTAAGAAAAGGACGCGCCCAATAAAGTATAATATAAATAATAAATATATAATTATTATATATGGGGGAATACACCTCAGCTGCGATATATAGAGATATATAATCCACAAGATCTCTCATATTGTCTGTGCCTTATATGAATGCTCAGCAGGACGTGAAAACTGGATGAGTTCTTTACACTCGGTATCGATAAGTACATAATGTGAATATAATGTCTCTATACTATCTACATGAGGCAATTTTTTAATGTCCAAGACGCCTCCGAATTTAGAGAATTTGGTACACAGGTGTATCTCGCAGTGCAGATAAGTCGCGCAACTGAAATTATATGAACTTAGGTTCTCAGAAGGGTTTGAACTAAAGTTTATTGGCAGGCTAGCATACTCTATCCAAATCCGTTGTTGCAATCACAGCTCATTTCATCTTTGTTGGTATGTATCAAAATGAAGAATTTCAACTTGTATCATCTACAACTGCAAAATGTGACATGTCTCATTTATGTCACGCGATGCACATTATGCGTAAAATAGTACTCTTATACAATCTTTTGTTCCTACAGCAATGAATGATGGGGCGTCGGTATTCCTGTGGGGATAAACGAGTGGATGGCAGGAATTTTCTGTGGCCGAGGTTATGAAGAGTTTAAATACATTAGTTTCGTCATGAAGAATAAAATAGGTATAAATATCTCAAGATAATTAAGCATCAACTTTGCTCTAGGTATACTTGTATGACTAGTTTCAGGACTTCTCTCAGAGGGATAGCGTGATATTGTGGGTTAAAGGCAACACAGATGACTTAGTCCGGAGCAGGAATAAATTAGCAAGCATTACCAAGGTCAGAAGGACAAAAAATTGGCAAAAGGAAGAACGAGCCAATAGCTCTGCACCTTTGAAGTTACGAAGTTACACAGTCAGGTTAGGCAACAAATGCAGAAGTTGACCTGACGAAATATGATAAGCTAATGAAAGCACTCGAACTTCTCTCACCATGCCCATCATCACCATCAGCAATCCACTTTACATTAGTGTGCTCCTAAATAGGCGAACTATGGCATATAATGCTATATAGAGAGAACCTGTGAGGAGAGGTCGGCAGAAAAGTTCTTTTGGTTAGGCTATGCCTGTATGACAAGGTGGGCAAAATTACTACTTCAGCGATAGATTCTATATGTATGCATATGCTGATCCAGTGTTAACAATCAATCATCAGTTTTAATTCCTAGTAGAAACCATGAATATTTATATATGTATATCCACGGTGCATACTGAGGTCTGAATGAGCTAGACAAGAAGATTAAGCAGAATTGAAGGGAGAAATATGTACAGAAGTAATGTGGGAGTTTCTATACAAAGTAAGTGCATGGTATAGGGGCCTTTGGGAGGTTATTTTGCAATTGTCTTCTAGCTACAACACACCTTGGATTTAATGTTAATGAACTAGAAAATTGATGAGGAGGTATAAAGTCATCAATGCTTTGACATAACTAAGATGAAAGTGGTTATACCTGCATAAGGAGCAAAAGGGCAGGAATTTTACAATTAATCCACATTATACCTATGCTTCTGATCATTTGTGTTTTTGCTTATTTTTTTTTTGTGTTTCTGTTTCTTTTTCCTCTTAGGCTATTTGTGCTAGTGAGAATGCACACATTAAATATCAAACCTACGCTGAAAGCTCACAATTAAATATTAACCACGCCATCCCCGAAGAAATGAATAAGGGTAGGTTTTATGTGATAAGACCAGGAAATTTTAATGAGTTGGACGCAACTGTGATCACTATATATAGCAAGGGAAAGACTCATGCACGTATTATACTATGTCTGATGAGTAGTCATTTCTCATACTCTATAATCGCTCAAACCTTGCACAAGCCTAGGCACAAAAATGCACTAATGGAAACTTAGATACGTTTAAATATAATTATGCACAGTGGGCAATAAACTCTTGGTAAATTGGGAAATTGCAGGCTCTCATTAAGAACTAGCAATAGTGCATTGTCAGGAAGCGCAGTGGATATTGCTCGTCCAATGGCTCCACATGAATGACCTCGATGACTTCGCCGCTAAGTACCGATGATAGCACTTTGAACTAAAAATGAAAGAAAACCGACAGGGGGGCAACATGGAGCAGAACGAGTTGGACTTCAGAGAATGTTCAAGTATGGAAAGAACCAATAGAAATCCTAACAACTCACTCACCCAGACTTTTGTTCTCCTTATTAGTGGTCTAAACTCTTTTAGCCTCTTGCATCTGGGAACAGCCATTTAGCATGTGAACAAGAGCAGCATTTATTTGGCCATTTGGAGAGAAAATAAAATATCGATTTCAATTGGTCCATCAATGCAGATAAGGCAATAAAACCCAAAAGAATGAGGTAAGAAAGAAAACATGATTTAGGTCACATAATCATGGCGACTGGCAATTGCCAAATGCGAAGTGTAATGATTTTATTCGCGCGAAAAGGATCTTAATTTATGAACTCAGGAGTAATTACGGATGTTAAAATGTGGGTTTGGGAAATAAATTGGTATTGTTCTCTCACACGCCAAAAGTAGAGCAAGTAGTTCTTACATAATAACCAATAAATATAGCACTGTGTAGAAAGAAACGACAACAAAACAAAACTGCAATGCACGTTCTGCTGGCAGTAAACCCTGATGGGAGTCATGACAATGCTGCCGCTAAGTAGACCCTCTTTTATTGAAGCGTAGAAATGTGTATGCCTGGACGCAATTATAAGGTTTTCCCAGGTTGATTTGTTCTCGAAGTAACTATTATTGTGACACTCTCTGGTTCTTCAGTTTCTTCTACGTACATCATATTCATCATTGAGACTAGTAAATATGTTGCAGACATTTTAAAAATTCATTATGAAGCCAACTGAGAGAATGGCAATTAGACGGCTGGTATTTTTGGATCGCTCGGAACTGATTATTAAATCAAGGAAAAATTTTCAATAGAAAAAATGTCACGCAATCACAATCGAAGATGTAGAAGTGGCGTCAATAGGTCCAAAAATGGAGGAGATTTACAGGTGGGTACAGAATAGGTTGTTGTATTTAAAAAGGAACAGGTAAACCTTGAAAACTCACTCATTTCGACTAGCGAATTAAAGCAATACACAATTGCTAATATGGAAGACACAGTTAATAAAGGTTGTATAATTAAAGCAACGTATGACTATATGCAACTAGAAATTGAGTGGTTAACAACCTACCTTGCATGCCGACTTCACGCTCGTTTTGAGAGCTTTATGTGTGCAAATCTCATACTGCGCGACAGGTCACGCTATCTCAGGGTCATCTCAGAGTCATCACTAGATTGATAGCAACGTAGTTACGAATATCAGTGCTCTCTCCTTTAAAGTACCTGAAGATGCTTGATGGCTCTGAGAAATAACGCACACTTGAGCAAAGAGAAAGATACGAAGGGTTGATATTATTGCTCCACACTTTATGCTATAGAATCTACGATGTACTATGTAACGAAATTTTAGAATGTCACAGACAAGGAATGTATAGTCGTCTATTGAACAGCCAATATAGGGTAACTAACGCAAAAACTACTAAGCTGTTTTTTTAGAGAAAATCTGACGCATACTATCGAATGATAACTTAGTCAGTAACAAGCTCCGTGAGACAGGACCGACTGTAAGTACAAAGTAAGTAGTTTGACCAATACTAAGATGACCAGAGTATATAGAGGGAGGTACAGTGGACTCTTAAGTGTGCTGGCTCGAATCTCGAAGTATGCAGAGTAGAGAGAGTGTGATGACGTAATTATCTACAAGCTAATAGCTGGATAGAGAAAGATTCTTCCATTTAATCAATAAGGACGGGGACTCAGATCATCTGAAATAACGAAGGTATGGCAATCTAGTACTCTATATCGACACAACCAGGTCGAAGTGCACATCGAAAATATTTATATTAAGTACAATTTACAAAACTACAAAAAGACGAGTAAGTACACAATAAGATAAATTTCACATGTTTTGTCATACTCCTTTATAATTTGTTTGAAATGAATTTCTAGAAGGGAAACATGCTAGTTTTTAGAATAGGATAAAGTGGTCAATCTTAACGAATCACAACAGCTGCTCCACAATAGCTTTTTAGGCAGGTGGCATCAATAGCCATGATAGCCACAGAGATGGAGCAGAACGATATGATTTTCATTTAACAGTTCAAGTGGAGTTAGTCCAACTCAGGGGCAAATTCCCCGTTGAATATGCAGGACATGGTTCAATGGACTTTTAAAAACAAATTAAGAAATTTTTTTGGTTTTTAGTTATCAAGTAAAGAAATTCAAATAAAAATAAGCGGGTCCAAGGAAACAATTCACTATCCCTCAATAATGGCAGAAAAAAAACACCAGTTGTCAAAAAGAAAAAAAAAAAAAAAAAAAAAAAAAAAAAAAAAAGAAAAAAAAAAAAAAAAAAAAAAAAAAAAAAAAAAAAAAATCAAAAGATATGCTAGTAGCTTAGTACATATGTACAAGCCCACTTGCTACTCGGCTACTAATGCAGCTACTTTAGCTGAGACAAATTACTTGGCTTTAACCTCAAAAGTAAAACGGCACACTTAATTTTATTCGGCCCAACTCCTCATCTTTTTTAAGCCAAAACAAGCATGTCTAGGCATTTAAAGGGAACTATCTATAAGCATTTAAAGTTTAAGCATATATAAAATAAATTAATAGCTAAATGTTCCACCCAAAAAAAGCTAAATTAATAAATTTCTTTCTCCGGCAGTCTTGTCCCCGCATCCAAATGAAACCAACAACCCAATTTACTCCATACCGATAAAACCTATGAAGTATATACAGTATCTTACATTCTGAACTGTCGTTCACGGGCCAACCCGACTCGAATCCGGACCCAAATATCAAAATTCAAATTTAGTAAGTATAAATTTTTCACGCGACGAAAACAAAATGGTACAAAATCCGATAATGAAAATTGAAAACGAAGTAAAACTAAAATTACCTTGATAAACTGATTTTACAAGGGATTCAATATTTCCTTCCTGACGAAAGACAAGAGGAGGAGGTGAAAGAGAGAAAGAATTCGGAGATTCAGAAGAAGAAGCGGATTGAGAGACAGTGACTGGATCGGTATTGTCAATGGCAATTCCGGCAGAATCATAGCCACGGTACTCGAGACGGCGAAGGCCATTGAAGAGGACCTGAAGGATATACCTTCTCTCTCTGTTGACGCTATAATTCAAATACGCAAATATCCCACACATTATTTCCTTCTTTCTCTTCTCCTCTCTCTATTTTGTTTCTCTTCTGGTTCGTGATTTTGGGTTTTGGAATTAAAATGGCTGGTCGCTAAGAGGAAGAGAGAGGGAAATAATGGAGAAGGTGGGCAAATTTGACTTTTGACTTTTTGTGTTGGTTTTCAATTTGTTTAAATAAATAATGGACAATTATCTGGTTTGATCGTAAATGATACGATGTGTAGATGTACAGGTAATCAGTCGTTGGAGGTTGGAAAGATAAAAACAGATCACTACTGATAATGAAAGAAGGTTGAGGGTGTTTTTGTCTTTTTGGTCTGCATCGTATGTGTCAACTTGGCTTCATATTATTGGATGGATTTATTAATCTTACATAAAACCCATCGCTTGGAATTTACATATGAACCACGTGCCAGTTTTTATAAGCTCGGTATCTTCCTTGGACGCGTTGATGTTTCCGCTAAAAACAACTTGTCCAAGTCAATTTTAAAAGAAATACTAGTACGATTTAATTTTATTTTTCTATTATTTACGGAAAACTTACTATACTTAAGAGTATAGTTTTCAAGAACTTCGGATATTCTAAGGAACGAAAAGGAAGTAAGAAAGTTTTTTTTATGATTTGTTCCGTAAAATTAATTATTTTAAGAATCATAATTGTTAAATCTTTCATGTTAAAAAAGAATAAATTTCATAATTCGATTTCTCTAATTTTAAACGATATAAATAACAGAAATAGTTTTTGACCTGGAGCGTACCTTGAATGTTGAAGAACCTTGAATGTTGAAGAAATGCTTATAGTAAAGGAAAGAAAGTTTTTACCTTGATAGACTGATTTGACAAGGGATTCGACTTTCCCTCTGCATCGAAAGAGAAGAGGACGAGGAGGTGGGTGTTTGGATTGTGGGAAAGTAAGGGAAAGTCATCAATGGAAATTCCAGAAGCATCATAACCATGAAACTCTAGGCGCTGAAGGCCATTGAAGAGGACTTGAAGAATGTTTTTCCTCTCCCTATTGACATTATCAGTTTATTGCTTGAGGATGCAAAGTAACATGTAAATGGTTGGATATATTTTTTGCCATATAATATTTAATACATGTGCTATAACATTAATTATTTATATGTGATTCAAACAAGGTCGATTTCGATTTTGAACATGTGAAAAAATATACTAATATACAACCTAATAACTTGTGAGTCGACTTCATTTAAATTGACTCGATACAACTCAGGTCAACTTTTGTTTATGCAGAGCAGAGCCAATCATATAGCAGGCCTGGTGTAGTTAAAATCACTAAACATCAGTGGCAAGGAGAAACCTAAACCAAGAAATAGTTTGAAACATACAGAAGAAATGATATTCAGTTAATTTGATTCACAATTACGTAATTGACATTTACATCATCACCTTCTTTTTAACGGGTTTCTCCAAAGAAATGGAAACAATTGGAAAAAGGAAAAAGAAAGACATCATGGCCTATTTCCTTCCTCCCTGTTGTAGAAAATAATCCCATTTCTCGCGTTTTCATCCAACCACAGATCTCCAGAGAAAGGTCCGACGGATACATACAAGTACAAATAATTATTTTGAGGCAGATATCGGTTCCTTCTGTCATGAAGTATATAACTATAAAATTACAGGAAAAAGGAGATTCAGCTGGATCTAACAGCCTCTATGGCAGCCACTAAATCATCATATTTGGCCCCAGTGACTTCCTTTACAACCTTGCTATCCTTGAGAATCTTGAAAGTAGGCACCACCTTTATGCCAAGCTCCTTTGCCAATGGCTGCCAAACAGTTATCAGCATATGAGAAACTGAGAAACAGGGAAGGAGAAAGACAACATCAAATTATGCATGCTAGATAGCACTGAGATGCCAAATTACAAACCTTGTTTTCTTGGTTGCAATCAAGTTTCAAGAAGACAACATCAAGATACTTCTCGGACAATTCTTGAAATTTGGGAGCTATCACCTTACAAGGGCCACACCTGAAGAAAAACCCCCCAAAAAAGAAAAATATCAGGAGAAAGTTCCCAAATAATTGAATCATGGATAAGGGTAGAACATCTTTCACAGAATTGTAAATGGTGATTGATGAATCAACATTTCTCTGGTTTTACAGTTAAAAACTTGGGACTTGCATTCCAAAACTGATGGAAGCAAATGTGTGTACTATGGCTTTCTTTTAATTTTGTTTCCCCACCTAGGATTTCCTTCGAACATTTCCAAAATGCAAACCAATCCAGGGCCAGAGAGGGAAGCTTCAAGAATTTGAAGAGGATTCTTGAAATCATGAAGAACTAGGAACCAATTCTATATAAAAGTAACCCCATTTCCGCTGAGCTGAAAGATTATAAACATAAAAAAACCAGCCATGTTCTGCAAATGTACAAGCTCTTTTAATATCAAAAAGAAAGCAAGGAGATGCGAAGCTTTGTGTAATAAATGGGTTTTAGAAGTAAGAAATTGATCATCTGTTAACTGTTGTATTGAGAGCTCGTAACAGAGGTTATAATTGAATCTCAACATTAGCAATCAAACTCGAGAATTCAACATGGAATTTTGTAGGATAAACATTATAATTAAAAGTTCTTCTATTTCCATCTAGAAATTCCATTCAGTACAAAACAATAACTAAAAAGAAGAAATGCCACTCAAAAACACAACAACAGTGCTTAACGTCGTACATGAACGTTCCTCATAATAAATGATCGCCGTTAGTTAGTTCCTGCCACCACAATGGACCAGTCGTTTTTAAGATTTTATATTTTGTCGACAAACGACAGCGTTCGATAATTTATTTTTCCCAAAAAAGAAAAAAACAAAAATATGGAGCGGATTTTACTTTCCTTTCAGTATACAAATAAACGGGAGGAACAAAGAAATCAGTAATAATTATAATAGCATTAATTTTACTTACCATTGAGTGTACATGTCAAGGACGACAGCCTTAGCTCCGGCGGACTTAACGATCGGCCAGAAGGTATCCTTGTTGACCTCAGTGACCTGACCCACCGTCGCCGTAGGACCAACAGTATCCAAACTCGACCTCACCGTGAAAGCGCAATCGTTCCTCTTGAAAACCTTCAAAGACCGTGAGAAGCTGCTTCTGGAGCTTGGTTTAGGGGAAGAATTTGTAAATGAGTCTTTGGCGATGGCGGCTGCGATCGGATGCGCCTGGGAACTTGAAAAGGACGGTGAGGAGCGAGGAGTGGTTGGAGTGATTGAGAATTGGATCAGAGACATTGTGTAAGAGAGAGTTAGTTTTGGTTTGATTAGAGAGGTCGATTCGAGCAAATTAAAAATGGAGCGCAGAGACTTCAAGGAATTGCAGTGAGGAAAATGAGGAAGAAGAATTGCAACAGCAAAAGCGAGATAATTTGGGAGCCGTGAGTTCGCAATTTCGAAAATGGCCTTGTGAGTTAGAGAAAAAAATAATTATATCTTGGGATATCCTCGTCATTTTATAAGGTAAATGAAAGGCTGAAAGAGAACTTAGAAGTAGGAGATAAGAGGTGAAAGAGAAAGGAAAAGAAAATGGGAGTGACTGCATGTTAATCATCTTGAAAGACGAAATTGCCCTCCTGTTTAAAACAGTATGGAAAGGAAATATGAGGGGTGGAATTGTCACTTCCGAGAACTGTAGGGACAAAACTAACTAGAGCCTGTAGAAATTTTGGAAAAACGACATAGAAAAATTGGGATATTTTGCCTATTTAGAATTTATTTCTTAGAAAAATGAAATAAGCATCTTATTGTAGGGCTGAGCATCTGGAATCAAACCGAATTGGGTCAGTACTGTCTGACCGGACAGATTTCATGATAATTGAAGAGCGTGAAAATTGATTCGTTATCAAACCGAATCAGATCAGTTGAATTTGATTCGATTATTCCGAACCGAATTATCTCTTTTGAGCATAGATATCAATTTGATTAGTTATACAAGTAACTAAACTCAAAACTGTTTGGTTATCAACTATTCGAATGGAATGGTAATTAAAACTCTTAATATTCTGATAGAGTCAAATCAAAATGAGTTGCTTCGGTTTGATTATTCTGTCCAATTCGAATATTGCTCACCCCTATCTCATTGGGCTCGATTTTAAGAAATCAATTTATTAAAATACAAATTCAAGGTGATTTTGGGGGAGAATCCAAGCTTGTTAAGTCCAATATATGAAGTTGGTATTTCCTTTGTGTGAACCAAAAAAATTATTGGGTTATGACCTAATATATAGGTTTGTTATTTTAATTGGATGACACTTTCAATTTTTAAAAAGACTTATTGCGGCTCTAAAATTATGATTTTATTTTTTAGCTTTTGAAATAATAATTTTTATATTTTTGAATCATTAAATAAATGTTTAATTAATTTAATTTTATAAATTAAAGTGTTGAATAAAATAATTTAAACGTTGAACCCATGCTATTTGTTTTTTTTTTTTTCCTTGTGATTTTGTCGATAACGGGAATTTTTCTTTCTCCATAGATGCATTGTATTGTAGGGTTGGTTATCCTTATTCCTTTGGAATGTCTTCAAAGTAAAAGCTACATCCCTGAACAAAGTAAAAGCTACATCCCTGAATTCACAAACTATAAGAAAAAGATATTCTTTGAAAAAATTAAATTAATGAAAATAGAAATTTAAAAAATTATATTATATTTTTTTAATATATGATTAGAAATACTTTCGATTCAATAAAAAATTTTATTTTAATTATACATTCCAGAACATTATGATATTGCTGATTTAATAAACCAAGTTAGAATTGTCTTTTTCTTTTTCTTTTTTTTTTTTTTTCCGTTTTTTGGAAGATAAGTCAGCTAAAAAGTCTTATTGAAGATGGCGCAATTGAGTATCACAAAACGAAAATTGTTTTGAAATTTTGACTCTTTTAATAATAATTGAATATGCAAATTCCAAATCATCTTGGTCTTGGCTTTACAAACATGTCAATTGTAAACATTGTATTTCTCACATCATATGGAAGGAGTTAGAGGAATGAATTGCCAAAGACTAACGGACAAATTAGGCCCATCACCACTTTCAGGGCAACCGAAGATTTCATACAGTCGCCGATCTAAAAATATTTTTTCTAGAAGTTAATATATAATTTTCTATAAAAAATATAAATTAATTAAATTTTATGAATTAATTTAGATATATGTATATATATTAGAAAAATTCCAAAAATAAGTTAATTCACATCTCGTTTTATAGGGTAGATATTCCATACATAAATGCAATTAAAAATAATAAATATTTTCATAGAATTAATTATACAAAATGATATTCTGCGTCGAATTTGAGTATATAAAAAAATAATTTTTTTATTTATAAAATTATAAACCGACTGAGTTCACGGTTCGATTATTAAAATCTAATGAGTTCGAATCAAACTACATTATATATTCACAGCTATTTATTTTTTATTTTTGATATATAGAATAATACTACAAATTGATTTATGTTTGGATTCTCATAAGATGAAAAACTAAAACTGGATAGATTGCGTCCTAGAAATAAAATTGGGATGGATTGGAGATGTGTTATTGGGGAAGAGGCGCATTTTTTTTTTTTTTTAATTTTAGAAAAAATATAGTATATAAGAGATTAATTGTAAAGATGGAAAGAAACACAAATGAACACGCAAATGGAAGCTGGAAAGAGAAGCTTCAACAGCTCACAGCACATGGATGCGTACGAGATCCCTTTAATTCATTCCAATTAAGTTTGTAATCTGTATTATCCTTTTATATTTTATATTTTTTGTACATTTATAGCACGTGTTTACATTTTACGATAAACTCAATTAGTTTCTGCTGACTTTCGGAAATAAAAAGATCGACTCGAAGAATTTATATTATAGATGATCGAATAATGATGATCAATTCTGTAAATGCTCGATCCTGTTTAAATTTTTATATTTTACATTTAAACATTGAAATATTTAATATTGATATAATCAATTATGTTTAATTAGTAAACTAATAAATTATACTCAATCCTGTTGAGCTATTTTTTTTATTAATTAAAAAATCACACGCGATTGTGGATTATTCTTTTCATGGAAATGAAAAAATCTAACAATTTTATTGAATGTTTAAATATGATAATGACTTCTTTTGAGTTTTAAAATCGTAAATAAACGAGGTAAATACTCCGAGACATAATCCTCATTTATAGTTTTTTTTTTTTTTGTTCCTCAAATACTAAAGATTGGTTTGAGTATGGAAATTAAAATGATAAATGAAGGCTGAAACTTTATTTTTCAGAGCTTTGAAAATTTTTTTTGACTTATTATTGATTAAAAATTGGATTTATTTTGAATGAAATTGATATCCCAAATCAAACTCAACATTTCAGATGTATTATTAATTTATAATGGGAGACAAATAGTACAGCATCTCGAGGGAGGAGACAAGCACAGAGAGTCAAGACTGCAACTTCCAACTGTCAAAAACAGATTCTAACAGCAGAGGAGAGCAAGTCAGAATCCTAAAATGGATAATCTTTTAAACCAAGGAAAAGAAAAGAAAAAATACCCACAAAACTGAAAAAACGACTTTGCTTATAGTTACGGGTAGAAAGAGAGAGACAAAGACACAGACAGAGAAAGAAACGTAAGAAAAAGAAAAAAGAAATTAAAAAGAAAGGGACCAATATTGTTTCCTATATATTTCTCTTCACATTTACATGTAGTAAGGACGTGTCGCTTACCGTTGAAAACGCGAATTGTTTGTTGCCTCTTCTCTTTCTTTCCTCTCTCCCTCTTCTCCTTTTCTCTTCTCATCCTCTCTCTTTCCTTTCTTTCTTTGAAACACCCAAGAAACCTATGAGCACCGCCACCTGAGCGGCGTTCTCTTCATACCCGAAAGGGAGAGGAAAAGAGAGAACATTTCAATAATAATAATATTTAATTAATTAACTTTGATTCTTGAAGACGGTGAGCGACGATGGATCGGAAGAACTTGGTGGCGGTCTTAATGGGGGTTATGGTGTTTGCTGAATTGGGTTTTGTGTCGGGGAATTTGGTTTTTAATGTACAACATAAATTTGCTGGCAGAGAACGCAGCCTTAGTGCATTGAAAGCCCATGATGCTCGCCGTCACAGAAGAATTCTATCTGAAGTTGATATCGATCTTCACTTAGGTGGCAATGGTCATCCTGCTGAAGCTGGGTTAGTTTTCTGTTTAAACACATAGGAAAGTTTTGTGCTTTGTTTTCATATTTCTTAAATTTATTTGTTGGTATAATAATTGGGGAGGTTACTTTTGTTCATTTATCTGATTGGTTGATATAGTCTTTTTAGATCCAATCACCAGCTATGTCTTTAGATTTATCTGTTGGTGTTTCATATAAGTTATATTGAGTTTAATTGGGTTTACTGAGGAGAATTCAATATGTATGTATATATATTTCTTTATTGTTTCTTTTTCCTATCTGTTTTTCCGTTGATTTTGTCATTATAATTGATTTTATTTGAATTTATTTCATTTTTAAATTGTTTTGTTTGTATATCATGAAATTTCTTTTGGTAGATATGTAGCATCTTTCTTTGATATAAAATTCTACCGTTCTGTTTTTGTTGTCGCGTGAATGGAAAAAAAATGAAAGAAAAAAGATCTAGAATTTGCAAAATGGATGAACATTTCTGTCCTTCTGTTCATATCTTGTCTATTTCATTTAGGGTGCTTATATGATTTCTTTATTGATTGGTTTAGCCTTTATTTTGCTAAAATCGGGCTTGGGAATCCATCAAAGGACTACTATGTGCAAGTTGATACTGGAAGTGACATCCTATGGGTGAATTGTGCCAATTGTGATAGATGTCCCACGAAAAGCGACCTCGGTGTATGCTTCTTGACACCTGAACCAAATCTCTTTATATTTTGAATACTGCATCAGAATTACACATAATGCATTCAAGTTTAGCATCCTTGTTGTTTACCATGCATGCTTTATATTGACATCAGTTTGAGGAGCAATTTTCTTTATGACTTTATGATCTAACAGGTGAAGTTGACATTATATGATCCAACTAGTTCTGATTCTTCATCAAGGGTTTATTGTGATGATGAATTTTGTGCTGCTACATACGGAGGTGTGCTTCAAGGTTGCACAAAAGACTTGCCCTGCCAATACAGTGTAGTTTATGGTGATGGAAGCGCAACAGCTGGATACTATGTGAAGGACACTGTGGTACTCGATCAAGTGACTGGAAATCTTGAAACCTCACCGACAAATGGAAGTGTTATTTTTGGGTGAGTTACAATGCTCACAATATGTTGCCAGTTTTGTTTTAGCAGAAAAAAAAAATTGTGGCTCATGGATTTTTGATGAGCTCTGAAATTGATGTCCAACATTGAAGCTTATGGTTGTGGTGTAATTTGTGATGGTTAACTTAGACCCCATATTAGGGGTTTTGGGAAGGAAGGATAATGTACACACCTGATTATGATCTCTGTAATTTTTCTAGTTACAGCGAGTAGATAAACGATAAAACTTGACACACCATGCTCATATAAAACTAACTATCCCTTTTAACACGCTGCTGCAAATTGCAACTACATTGGCATGCACTAACCTTTCCAAATCACCATTTGCTAGTGATGAGAGCCATTCTTTATGATTTTTTAGTCAAGAAACTATTGTTGTGTGAAGTATTAAATTCACCCAGAAGATTTGCACCTTCTAGTTATATTGAAGAAAACATTATGTTGAATAGGTCTATTATATTGTTGAAATTAACTATTGCTCTATCTTTTATGTGAGCCTGTGCTGGAAATGAACTTAAATATCAATAGTTGTTTTAATTCGTGAATGTGGATTTAATCATGGAGCATAAATCATGCCCCCTCTTGTTCTTCTTCTCCTCTTCCTTTTCTTCTCTCTCTGTACACATACACAGATATGACTGCTTGTCTTGTTCATGTGCTTAATTTTTGGTCTCAGTTAAAAAATGAGTATTGTTAAGTTGCTCTTTCCTTGCATTACAAAATTTGCACTGGTGGTGCAGTTGTGGAGCTAAACAATCTGGGGAGCTGGGGACATCCAGTGAAGCATTGGATGGAATACTTGGTTTTGGGCAAGCAAACTCATCCATGATTTCACAACTTGCTGCAGCTGGAAATATTAAAAGAATGTTTGCACATTGCCTGGATAATATACATGGAGGTGGAATCTTTGCCATTGGAGAAGTGGTCTCACCAAAAGTAAATACGACTCCGATGGTACCAAATCAGTATGTGACACTATCTTAGCTTTTCTCAATTGTGATATTTGTGCTTATTAATTGCGACTAAACTTTTTTCATATTGCCACTAAGATTACTGCTTAGATTTTGTGCAACACCTTGTTTAGGCGAACAGAGGGATCAAAATAAAAAGGTAAAGGAAACAATATAACAATGACTTATAGTTGACAAAAAGATTCTGTCACAGCTTCACCCAAGTCCCCAAAGTTTCAACTATTACTCTTTCCTTCAATTACAAGAAGTTCTTCTTCCAAAGGGTTGCAAGGATGGGACAGACATAGGAAAAGATTTCTTCAGGCATACCATATGGAAAGTTAAAAACAGTTATTGGAAAAATAAGACACGATGTTGGACATTTCCAAAAAATTTGTTTTTTATTTGACATGAATAGATTAAATATATATAATGTAATGTAATATAAACAATCTGGCTATTTTGTTGAATGCTTTGTTTTTCTTTCCTCTATTATGTCAGATCTTGGTTAATGATTTCTTTTTTCATAATTATACTTTAGGCCGCATTACAATGTTGTTATGAAGGAAATAGAGGTGGGCGATAATGTTCTGGATCTTCCAACTGATATATTTGATACTGGAGATCGAAGAGGAACAATAATTGACAGTGGTACTACCTTGGCATATCTTCCAGAGGTGGTCTATGAGTCGATGATGACTAAGGTATGTACTATTCATCACATTCCTTCCATTTGAAGTTTTTTTGTTATTATGTTTAGGAGTTACATTGAATTTATTTGTTTTGGTGCACTAGATTCTGGCTCAGCAACCTGGAATAAAATTGCATACAGTTGAGGAGCAGTTTATGTGCTTTCAGTACAGTGGAAAGTAAGGTGCCAAGTGCAATATTACTCCTTTAAAGTCTCTGTTTCGAACCTACCATTAAATTTGAAAAGTTTTTGAAGTTAGGGTGCTAGGGTATGGTGAACCTCTGTTTTTTCTGTTTCTGTATGTTTAGTGGTAGGTAGTTAATCCTGCATGTATCATTTCAAGAATGCCTTATCATATTAAGATGTAATTTGGTCAGAACAATATTTTGTGTGGCATTGTGTCGCTTGTTTTCTTGAACTTTTACAATTATGTCTAATTAGTTATTTGATGCATTTGACTACTAATTCTAATCATAAATATAATAATTATGATGATTGTAAGAATCTCAACTTTTCTTATGCCCTATGCTCTTGCAGGGTTGATTCTGGATTCCCAACTGTCAAGTTTCATTTTGAAGGTTCTCTTAGTCTGACAGTTTATCCTCATGACTATCTGTTCGAAATTCGTGTAAGTAAACATTTTTGAGTTTAATGAGAATCCTCATGTTCAGTGCTTTTGTCATATATGTAGTTTCTCTCCAGTGGTTTTGTGTGTTTAATATAAAATTATATTAAATTCTCCCTGGCAGATAATTCGGCAGTTAGGTGGCAGAGATGCTGTAATACTGTAGTGTGTATCGTACTATTGATATATTTTATTTTTGGTCGTTCTTTTAGAGTATGGTGTTTTTTTTATCCCTAGCATAACATGCCCATTGAGTTCTTAAAATTTGTTGCTAGAAAGGTGAATTGAATAATTAAAACTTCAGCTATGTCAAATGGGAGAATCTCTTATGAGTTTCAGACAGATTAGGAATTTGAATTTACCAAGTTAAACTCAATTTCACTTTAGTGTCTGTTCAGACCTATGACAATAGGTGAATTATGGTAGTGGTTTAAATTGAATCATATCAGCTCACCCAACTATGCTTGTCCCATTGCTTGTAATCATTTGGATCTAAATTTTGTGAATTGTTATGCTTAAAAATAGTATCTTTGATGTGGCAACTATTAATTCTCTTCAGAAATGAAGTTATACATACGAATGTAAGAATTTTGCTTAATATATCTATAAAATTAAAATATATGCTAGTCATCTTAATCATGAATATTAATCCAGGGCAATGGATGGAAGGGTTTGAGATGTTTAGCCATCAGAGCCTGAGGGTGAAAAACTTTTGAAGATATGAAAATTTTAAGCTACTTGTATTTTTTTTCTTTTTGGGTAATATGTGGTCATCCCCATGTTCTGTTTTAATGATGTACCACTTCTGCAATGCTGAAAGTTGTTTGAAGGAAGATTCTTTGTGGATCACTGTGTTGAATTTTGACGATTTAGTTCTTCTTTGGCATGGGCTTTCATAATTGTAAATGACTTTTTCTTTGTTGTGGCCAAATAATACATTATTTTCATGACTATCTACAGGATGAAGTTTGGTGTTTTGGTTGGCAAAACAGTGGGATGCAATCTAAGGATGGTAGAGATATGACTCTTTTGGGAGGTAAGGTCTCAATTGCGTCTCCATTCTAAATTTAGGTACCTGCTGTTCATTAATGCTACAGATTCTGTGTCCTAGAAAGTGACAATTGACAGCACTTGTCAATAAGAATAATGCAATGCTGTACATTTACATATATCTATGATGACTCAGAATATCATTACTGAGACAAGCATAATACAATCACATAATTTGATTTTCCATAAGCCGGAAGAGATGGAGGCATGAGCAACTATAGTAAAAATGCGCAGAGCTTGCTGAAGTAGATGATATCATAAATGGTTTTATTTTCGCAAAGCTGAAAATAAAAATGAAAACTACATTTTTTTAGCTATTAACTTGCTAATGGTTTTCAATGCAGATTTGGTGCTTTCAAATAAGCTTGTTTTGTATGATCTTGAAAACCAGGCCATTGGATGGGCAGACCATAACTGTAAGTGTCAATGCTTTCTGTTTCGTTAATGAGACGTATCAAGTGAAACTCTGTTGTGATTTTCCATTCTGGTTATAGAGTTCATTATCATTGGATCAAAGATTTATTCTGGCCTTTCTCTGGCAATATTTTTTGTTTGATTTAGGCTCTTCAGCCATCAAAGTGAAGGATCAAGCTTCTGGTTCAGTGTACTCTGTTGGGGCTCACAATATCTCGTCGGCTTCCTGTGTAATAAGTGGACGAATTGTAACATTTTTGTTACTAGTGTTTGCAATAATCCATACATTTTCATAATCTGCAAACAAGTGGTACAACATTATTTGATTTACTTGTACCATAATGTAACCAGAGAACTCTGCTTGGTATAGTTGATTTCTTGATTTCATGACTCCCGTTAATTTTTCTTTTCTTCCTTTCTTTCTTATGTTTTTTAAGGTTTGTATGCCTTTTTAATCTTTCATTTTTCAGTGAACAAAAAGTTTTTGTACTTTTGAATTATGACTTAAAAGTTAGATTAAATTATTTATTTATTAATATAATGCTAGCTTTCCTTTAATAGCTATGATGAGGTCAATTTCCTCCTCCCATAGTTGCAGTGTTCATTGTTTAGATGTCTAATCCAAAAAGTATGAAGCTTCAGACGCGTTTCTATCTTGCAGTTAATGGGACATCAGCTGGTACAGTTATGGATCAACCGCAGAGTTGGTGAAATAAATGAAGATAGAAAGAGAAAGAAGTGAAAAGAATTATCTACTTCTGTTCAATATTGGGAAACATTTTCCAAAGAAAAAACCTTACTGTGGTTTGAGTGCAGTATTTGTATTGGTGGTACGATACACTATACAATATAGATTGTAGCAATATTAAACTACAATTGTTGATAGATAGATTAATGATGGCAAGACAATATGTGCAAGACAGAGGCTTTACAAGGTTGTCTTCAAGAATTGTACAACAAAATAGATCACTGCAATAAATAGTGCAATCTGGTATACATCCCTTTGGAAGCCATCGTCCCTTTGAAAGAACTGTGTACATATCCAGATAATGCAACAAATTTAACATCTTGATCAAGAGTAAGAAAAGGGTAAAGTTAAAAATTGCAGCATACCTTTGTTGGATCACCAGTAGGGTCAGGGTAGATCTCCAAGTTCTCCTTCTGTGTCGAAAGACGGCTCGATAAGTTTTTGAGTAGATCAGCCAAGTCTTTTCCAGTCTCAATTGTAGCATAAAGACGGCGCGATGTCCAGAAAAATGCCTGAGCTACTGGTGATGAAGCTGATAAATCCCAGAACTCTTCATGCTCAATCACTTGGCCACTAATCTGGTTCAGAGTGAACTGGGAGTTTACTTTTATTATCAAATCTCCACCTATATCAGCTACGAGAGATTTAGGCTTCCCTTTTATTGTCCATTTGATACTCAGGACACTTGTTGACAGCATCATCATTTCTTGCACGGTCTGCAAGAACCGAAAAGAATAACAAAAAGAAGCAAAAGAAAAAAAGAACTACAATGATCTTGTCAGAGACGGCGAAACTAAAATGTAAAGTTCTCACCACAGAAGGGCTGTCTAGCGCACCAGTTACCCATAGAGGTCTCTTGTATTTCTCTCGACCAGTAAAACTTCTCACAGGATCCTGAAATTACTAAGAAAGTGGGATTTCTGGTTCACTACAATCTCTGAATTTTCAAATCAAATCAGCTTCTAGTCCCTAAAACAAATTCAAATAGTACTGCATTGCTGTTATTGGCAGTAAAATACACATACATATGCAGGAGGAGGAAGAAATACCTTGTAAGTGACAGAAACTGCATAGGTCCCCAGAGCTCGATTGCCTTGGCGTAGTTCAAGTATGTCGCGAGCAAGCTGTCTGGCTGTAGATTCAACTAAAGGGCTACTAATGCACTCAAATTCATTGCAAAGTTCACCAAAGTCCATACCATCAACTAGCTTATCAGCCACTGACCTTGCAGTGACAGGATTCTCAGAGCCATTTGTAACTGAGAAGAAGATTATAACAGAAGTATGAATTCACTGTACCAAACCAATTAGCAAATATTGCATATTACAGAAAGTAAAAAGAAACTAACGCAAGAAATGGAAAAAGAAAGATAATATTACCTCTCAATGAAAATGGGTTGTAAGGAGATGATATAAAACGCCCGCAGGTGAATATGCCTTTACTGGGGCGGCTTTGGCGATGAAAGCCACCGGTAGCGGTGGCTATTGAAGCAGAGGAGGAGGATGTTGCTAGAGCAGAGGAAAGAGAGGCATTCATTTCTTTCCATTCTGTTTGCCAAAGCATGAGGTCTTGGTTTGAATTATTTTTAGAGCTTTTTCCTTTTTTTTTTTTTTTTTTTTTTTTTTTTCTTTGATTTTGGATAAGGTATGTGTGTGATTTTGTGATTCCTGTGTTGGCCACTTGTTCTTGGGTTTTAGGCACATGATTTGCCACGCCATTGAATATAAAAATATATCATTAGTAGTTTATTATTTGAGAAGAAAATATATCATCCTATTTTTATAAAATAAAAAAAGAAGAAAATTTTTAACATTGAATATTTTTGTTTTAGCAATATAGAGAGATTGTAATCTTGATTTATAAAAAAAAAATTTAATAGAAATTTAAAAATATAAAATTAAATCACGAGTGAATATAGTCAGTACTTCAAAAAACTTATTTATTTATGCCATACGCAGAAAAATATTATCAGATTCTTTTTTTTTTTCTAAATTTTTTTAATACCCTTTCTAATTTAAGAGAAGAAAAATAACAGCCCACAAGTTTATCCTTCACAGTAGTTGCCATCTTTCTTACATAAAGGATCATTGTAGCAACCGTTTCAACAGTGTATACCAAGAAAAAGAAGATTAATCCTAATCTTTTTCCTCTTTTTTTATTTTTTTTCTCAATAGTTCATTTTCCATCTTATGTTTGTGGGTATGGATAAAATTTTCTTTCTCATTGGCATATCACTTTGTATAATTCTGAATAACTTTGTACTAATTCAAGCAGCTCCTAAGCAAGCTCTAGTTACATACCTTCCTGACTTCAATGGCACCTTCCCTTCCAAACACTATTCAGGGCAAGTCATATACATACATATATATACAAATACAAAGTAAAATATAGTTTTTTTTTTTTTTTAATTTAGTTACATTGCTTGCTTTTTTAATTAATTTGGTGGGATATTTCTGGATCTTTTCAGGTATGTGAATATAACAATACAAAAAAACCTCTTTTACTACTCAGTTACATCAGAAAAAAAGCCAAAGAAGGATCCTCTTCTATGGCTCAGAACTTGGAAATCCGAAAGTTCCAACTAGTTTCAAGCAGCTAGGGTTAAAAACAAGGTCTCTTCCTGTGAGAGCAAGAATGTTTGGCCGTGCTTGGCCTTTCCGAGCACCGGTACTTGACGGCCTTGTTCCTTCTTGGCCTCAGATTATTGAAGCCAGCAAGAAGCAAACCTTCTATTCAGCCTCAGTCCCACGCATTGTAAGTTTTACATCCAAGAATAGTAAATTAAATTTATATAGGAGCTGCGAATCGAACATAGACTTCTTGATTTTCTGTTTTTAGATTTTTCAAGAGCATTCTACGAAGAATAATCTCGTTTTAGGCTTCGTAGTTGTCCTCTTAACGAGTTTTTTTTTTTTTTTTTTTTTTTTTTGACATGCAGAATGATGAAGTTTGCAATCCACATTTCTTCAATTTTACCATTTTTCCAAATAGTTTTTTTTTTTTTTTTTTTTGACATGCAGAATGATGAAGTTGCAACCACATTTCTTCAATTTACCATTTTTCAAAATAAAATACGATGTTTCACTTTCTTGCTTTGAATAATATTAAAAATTATTATATATCAGCAAGAGATCAATAATATTAGTATATTATTAAAATTAATTTCATGAATTAATATCCGGTTTATCAACAGAACTAAATTGTATTGTCAGACAAATTTTACTTAGAGTTTAAATTTAAAATCGTTACTATTATCAGAATTTTATCTGAATATCACTCTTGTCTACAGTATGACACATATAAATAGAAAAAAAAAAAAAAAAACTTTACAATGTAATATAATAAGACCAATCAGTAACCAGAAAGTAGGTAAAGTTATTATAATCAGTTTACATCGAAGATAGAGATAAAGTTATAGAAAAGTTAAAATAATTTTTCTATAAATCACAAATAATTTTCTTAAAAGAAAGATAAGTATGCTTAATTAAACTAAACCAAGCCAGGTTTGAATATAGCATGCGTTGGAGCATTAGAATTATGTGATCATCGTCATCAAATACTATATATTGTCTGAATCAAAATCGCTAGAAACTTATAGTGCATGCCCAGTTGGCTTGCATTAACAATCATAATTTTGACGAAAGAAGCCCACCAATCAGACTCCAAATGACCTAAAAATATCACAATCCAACAAGACAATATCTAATTTAGCAGTTTGAATGTCACATTCAAGATTAAATACTAGAATAAAACATTAGTTTCCTTGTCAAAATTTTGATGTAAATAAATAAATGAATCAATAGTTTTGGTAAGAAGAAACGAAAGTCACTGCAAGTCTTCTCTACTCACAGAAAACTCCACAAGTTTGATTGGAAAAGAAGAAAAAAATAAAGGAAAGATAAAGAGAAAGGAAACCACCCATTTCCTAATTTTTATTTATAAAAATCAAAATATAATTATATGTTAAGAGTTATGTATTTTTATTGTGTAAATAAACCAAAAAGTTTGCTTTCAACTTGTTAATGTTATCTTATCTGCTTAATGATAATGAATTAATTCTCTTTTTCTTTTTTTTCTCTTTTGCTTTTTCTTTTTTTGGACTTTTTCTTGGCATAGTATTTCTTTTTTGACCAAAATAGGATTTATTCTTTTGTTGATTTTTTGTTTTGAGTCGCTTTTTATATCTTGTCTGTGCATGTTCATACACTGAAAGCTCCTTTTCTTATTTTTCCAAACAAATTGAAATCTCTCTCTCTCTCTCTCTCTCTCTCTCTCTCTCTCTCTCTCTATATATATATATATAGTAAGAATCTCTCATAATCATAGGCTTTTAATTAGGATCAAGCGCCATGGTTAAGCTGTACTTGTTTTGGAGTATGTTACTGTGTCTTATCGCCTCCATTAAAGCAGCTCAAGAAGGTGCACTCATCACTTACCTACCTGGTTTCAATGGCAATTTCCCATCAAAGCACTACTCAGGGCAAGTTTTTAATTAATTTCTCTTTCTTTTATTCTTTTTTTGGTGGGTTAGTTCAACTATTTGCGTCTTAATTGTTCTTTTTGCATTTTAAAAAAGAATTAAACTGGTTATAACTACATAAAATAATTGCATCTTTGTAGGTATGTGAGTGTTGGAGGTCAGAAGAGTCTGTTCTATTACTTCGTTGTTTCTGAGAGAAACCCATCAAAGGATCCTGTTGTCTTGTGGCTCAATGGAGGACCTGGTTGCTCTAGCTTCGATGGCTTTGTTTATGAACATGGTGTGTCTATATAAATATATATATAGTTTAATTAAATGTTTTCTTATTTAATTATAACCATTTTTGGACAAATAATTTCTTTTGCAGGGCCATTTAATTTTGAAGAAGGGCAGCCAAAAGGAAGCCTGCCCATATTGCATCTCAATCCATATAGCTGGTCTAAGGTTTCAAATATTATCTATTTGGATTCTCCTGCTGGTGTTGGATTATCATATTCAAAAAATGAAAGTGAATATGAAACTGGAGACCTAGCAACTGCTGCTGATACACATTCTTTTCTTCTTAAGGTAATTCAGAAAAATTAATATGATTTTAGCTTAGTATTAATTTTATAAATTAATTAATAATATTGTTTTGAATTTAGTGGTTTGGGCTATATCCAGAGTTCCTTAACAATCCTTTTTATGTTGCTGGAGAGTCTTATGCTGGTGTTTATGTGCCCACTCTTGCTTCTCAACTAGTCAAAGGTACACATTCATCCACACATAATCTCCTTTCTAAACCCTAATTTAATTAATTTGATCTAAATCTGTGATAATTTTTGAGTGCTAATTGCATAATTATTTAGGGTTATTTATTATTTAATTTGTAGTTTTTTTTTTTTTTTTGCTTGTAGGGATTAAAGCTGGTGTAAATCCAATCATCAAATTTAATGTAGGTATTTTAATTAAAAAAAAAATACATAATTAAGATGGTCCAAAGCATATAGTAATAAAAAATAAATAATGGAATTGGATATTATTTGATGTAGGGTTATATTGTGGGAAATGGGGTCACGGATGACAAATTTGATGGTGGCAATGCTCTTGTCTCTTTTGCACATGGGATGGGCCTTATCTCCGACGACATTTATGAGGTGGGTGTAGTCAACTTATAATTCAATTTTACTAATTAATCAAAATAATTAAGAACGTGGAATCTTATGACTCGGAGTGCTTTTTCTTTACGAACCTGAAGAATATTCTTTGAGAAATAACTCATCAATGATTGAGTTTTAGAAAAATTAATGTTGATTAATTATGTGTTTTTACTAATAATTAATTTGAATGTTATAATTCTTGTATAGGAAGTTCAAGCTGTTTGTAAAGGAGAAATTGATGACCCTGGCACTAATTGCTTTAAGAGCCTGGAAAAAGTTTACAAGGTTAGATCGATTTATTATTAATTGAAGACATATCCTATTTCTTTTTTAATAGTAATTTAAAAATATGTTATCCAATAATTAGGCACTTGATGGGCTAAATGTTTATGACATACTTGAGCCATGCTACCATGACCCTGAATCAAAATTAGACACCAAAAGAAACACAACTTTGCCTGCCAGTTTCCGGCAACTGGGGAAGACCGAGAAGAATATTCCGGTAAGAAAGAGAATGTTCGGTCGAGCTTGGCCGCTATGGGCAGCGGTGAAAGATGGGATTGTACCATCCTGGCCTGAACTAGCAAAGCAAGGGAGTGTTGGATGCATGGTAAGTTCCAAATATATATCTAACTTATTGTGTTTCTTAGTAAAAAAGAATTTGTACTAATTGTAATTATCATTATATATTTAATTTGTACAGAATGATGAAATTGCAACTACATGGCTAAATGACAAGCTAGTTAGGGCAGCAATTCATGCAAAACCGGTAAATAATTTGAAGCAATCACGATTAAATCTTTCTTTTTTTTTTTTTTTTAAATTTCAAATTAAATGACGAGCTACGTTACCGAACATTACCTTTATAATTACTTTATGTATATAGAAATCGATAGCCGGTCCTTGGGAGTTATGCACCCACAGGTTACTGTATCGTCACGATGTAGGAAGTATGATTCCTTATCACAAAACCCTAACTTCACTGGGATATCGAGCACTTATTTTCAGGTATTAATCCTAATCAGGAGTTAATTAAATCTTATTTTATTTGTTTAATTTCATGATTAATTTCTTAAATTACAGTGGAGACCATGATATGTGTGTGCCTTTCACTGGAAGCCAAGCTTGGACTAAATCACTTGGATATAAGATCATAGATGAATGGAGGTCATGGGTATCTAATAATCAAGTTGCTGGGTAATTAATTAAATTTTTTACCATTCTTTTATATAATATAAAAAAAAAATATTATGAATCTGTAATTTATTAATGAATTGGAAGCAGGTACTTACAAGGATACGAACATAACCTTACATTTCTCACCGTTAAGGTTCGTTATTTATCGTTATTACTGTGTGACTCTAATAAATAAATAATTAAGTTAGAAATTAATTAATTATGTAAATAAATAATTGCAGGGAGCAGGGCATACAGTTCCTGAATATAAGCCACGAGAGGCGTTGGATTTCTACACTCGTTGGTTAGATGGGAAATCGATATAATCAATTGAACGGTCTGATGAGATTATTTTTTAAAATTAGAAAAGAAAATTTCGATTTGTTTGTTTCTAAGAATGATAAGAAGAAGGAAAAAAAAAAAAAAAAATTCCAACTCATTGATTGGGTTTGTTTTAGCAAGAAGTGACAGAAGATGTCATTTTCTTGTTTTTGTAATAGTAATTAATTGAAATAAAAGAGCTAGAGCAAGCTGTGATGGATTGACTTCCGCTGATCATGGAAGCAGTCTTTCTCTGTATTTATTTGTCTCATTGTATTATTAATTATGTACATCGATCGGAAAGTTTTCCCTTCATAATACGTTAATAACATAGCAAAAAAAAATAGGTATGATCGCGGTTTCAAAATTACTAATATTTTTAATTTAAAATAATTTATTTTAATTTGGAACGTTCAGAATTACCGATCAAAACAAAATAATTTTTAATTTTTTTTAAGATTTATTGCATGAATAAATAATAATAATAATAATTTATTAAAAACTAAGAAAAGTACATAAATTTCTCTTGGCAATTGGATCTAGTTGGCTGTACTTTGCCGTCTAACTCAAACTTTTCATTGTTGGACCACAGCTATATACAAGACAATTGCATTCTGTAATTTTCTTGTTCATTTTCTCATTGCTTTCTCATCGCTTTCTCATCATCAATTATATATTGAAAAGCTGTTTTATTGTCAATATCCAAAGACTCAATTTGTCTTATTTTTTTCCATTTCTATATATAATTACATGCAATTCATCCTTTTTAGCTAACAGTAATGATCATGGAAAATTTCTTTTGGGTTGTATCACTTATTATTTGCTTTCTTTTGAGCTTTAAACTCATTAATCTTGAAGCAGCTCCACAGGATGCACTCATCACACAAATCCCTGGCTTCAATGGAACTTTACCTTCAAAACACTATGGAGGGTACGTAGGTTTAACTTTCTTTTCTAAATTTTCTTGCTTTTCATTTTTTATATTCCCATGGGTACGATCCTGTTCTTTAGGTATCAGATTAGCCTCGTATTATTTGGGTAGTAAACCTAATATCATTTTAGAGTCCGTGACTGTCTCTCTCATATTGTTTAAATAGTGAATTTAATATCTAATCAGACGCGAGCCCCTTCTCGGGCGGATTCCTCCTTTTGCTCCTCAGCCTACGGGGTATTAGCAGCCGTTTTCAGCTGTTGTTCCCCTCCCAAGGGCAGGTTTTTACGCGTTGCTCACCTGTCCGTCACTGGAAATACCACTTTCCGTCCGACTTGCATGTGTTAAACATGCCGCCAGCGTTCATCCTGAGCCAGGATCGAACTTTCCATGAGATTCTTAGTATACTGTTTAGATAGTAAACTTAATATCGTTTCAGAATTCATGGCTGTTTGAAGTATTTTTTCACTGGTAAACCTTAAATCTTGTAAAGATCATACATTGAATTCAAGTGTGTCTTACTACTTAAGTCGCTCGTTATTAATTTTTTTCTGGCCTTTCATTTGATCAAAGGAAAACATATATATATATATTTGAAAATTAAGAACTTACAATTTTTGAATAATTGTGTAGCTATGTAACGTTCGATGAGAAGAATCTATTCTACTATTTCATTGTTTCGGAAAGGAATCCATCGGAAGATCCTGTTGTTTTATGGCTAAATGGAGGACCCGGTTGCTCTAGTTTTGATGGATTTGTGTATGAACATGGTATCAATGTTCATATTTTTAAAAATATTTTCCTTTTCCTAATTTCCTTTAAAAAGAAAAAAAAAATATTTATCCTCATAAATTAATATAATTTCAGGACCATTCAATTATGAAAAAGGACAGTCAGAAGAAAGCTTGCCAATCTTGCATCTCAATCCATATAGTTGGTCCAAGGTTACATGCATAATTTTGTTTTATTCTACAATTAATTGTATTTTTTTTTTTTTTTTTGGTTTTATGCCATAACTTTTGTCTGATTCAACAATATTGTATTTTTTTTTTTTTTTTTTTTTTTTTTTTTTTTTGGTTTTATTCGAATGTTGTTATATTTTAATTATTTGATTTATTTTAATCCAGGTTTCAAACATAATATATTTAGATTCTCCTTGTGGAGTTGGTCTTTCTTATTCAAACAAAACAAGTAACTACAAAACTGATGACTGGCATACTGCTGCTGATACACACACTTTCCTTCTTAAGGTAATTAACCACAGATTAACGATAAATTTTCAGTTCCTAATGACATTTTCAAATTAAAATTGGCTATTAATCCCTTTTTTTTTTCGTAATTTGGAATTTGCAGTGGTTTGAGTTATATCCAGAGTTCGCCAAAAATCCGTTTTATATTTCGGGGGAGTCCTATGCTGGAATTTATGTGCCTACCCTTGCAACTGAAGTTGTAAAAGGTAATTAACTTATAAGAATTTTTTTTTTTTTTGGTAGAACCAGGAAGTTTAACCCTTCTCCAGCCGCTTTCTCAGTACCCATGAATGGGCTCCATTTTGTGTTTTCACCCTTACGGGAATTGAGCTCAGTTACTATCTCAACTAACATCTCTATTAGTCATATTATGATTTTTTCGTGAAAGGAAATAATATCTGGATTTTAAAAATTTTTGATATCTTGGAACTCATTTTTCACATTTTTTTTTCTTGTAGGGATAAAGATCGGTGTAGAGCCCATTATAAATTTCAAAGTATGTTTAATGATTAATAATTACGTAAGGACAGAAATAATTATTCTGGCTAAAGAAATTAATTGAATTAATAATTATTATACATGCAGGGTTACTTGGTGGGTAATGGGGTCACTGATACGAATTTTGATGGCACTTTAATTTCTCTTCTGCCTTTTGCTCATGGAATGGGACTTGTTTCTGATGACATTTACCAGGTAATAAGTAATTATTTATTATTTAGGAAGGTATTAAATTAAAAATTTTTGATAATTAATCCCAAAACAAAAATTTTAATAATTTTTGCAGGGAGTTCAAGCTGCTTGCTATGGAAATCAAACTAACCAACAGAATTGTTATAAAAGCGTCGATAAAGTTTATGAGGTGAGACCTTAATTACTTAAGGTTCTTAATTATTTTATGTTAAAATCAATTAATTAATGTGCACCAAATTAATCTAAAAATAATTAATTACAATATTAATTAATGTATAGGCTATATCGGGACTAAACATTTACGATATTCTGGAGCCATGCTACCATGACCCAAATGCATATGAAGATCCAAAAGGAAATAAAACAAGCTTATGGCCGGTGAGTTTCCAGCAATTAGGGCAAACGGAGAAACCTCTTAAGGTCAGGAAGAGAATGTTTGGCCGGGCTTGGCCGCTTCGCGGACAGCTTCCACCCGGCACCTTATGGCCTGAACTCGCCGGACATGGCAGCGTAATGTGCTTTGTGAGTATTTCCATACCCTTTTTCGGATATATACATATATATGAAGAGTTGGAACTCGCCGAACATGGCAGCGTAAAGAAATTTTGTGAATATAGGATGATGAAGTGGCGACTGCATGGCTAAATGATGAATCAGTTAGGAAAGCAATTCATGCTGAGCCGGTACATGATAAAGATTTCATTTTTTTTTTTTTTCTGTTAAAAGCTTTATTTAATTAATACTAATTAATTTATTTTAATTGAATATTAGAAATCTGTTGCTGGAGAATGGGAGTTATGCTCTAGTAGAATAACATATTCTAGTTTCAGCTCAGGAAGTATGCTTCCTTACCACAGGAACCTAACCACCCAAGGATATCGAGCACTCATATATAGGTATATAACAATTTCTTTCAAAAACTTAATAATTTCAAAATTATGATATCACGAGTTTAAATTTCATTCAGGGTTTAAATAATTAAAGAAAATAAAATTCTTAATTTATGGATTTTTTTTTTTTTTTTTTTTTTTTTTTTATGGAATTTTTTTTTCTTTTTTTTTTTTTTTTTTGACATGCAGTGGAGATCCATATATGTGTGTGCCATTCACCGAGAACTCACGAGCCAACTTGGGACAGTAGTCACTTGAATATAAAAATAATTTGTGGAATGGAATCATGGAAATCGTAACAATGAAAGAATATGTGCGGTAATTTTCTCTTATTTATTATTTTTTTTTAAAAAAAAAAACAAATTATTGAGAAACTACAATTATGTTGTACGTACTTGCAAGAATGACAACTTCATTTTTTTTTTTTTTTTTTTTTTTTTTTGTGCAGTGGAGATCATGATATGTGTGTGCCATTCACCGGAACTCAGGCATGGACAAGGTCACTTGAATATAAAATAATTGATGAATGGAGATCATGGAAATCTAACAATGAAGTTGCTGGGTAATTTTTCTCTTATTTATTATTTTTTTTTAAAAAAAAAACAATTATTGGAGAAACTGCAATTTGTTGTAGGTACTTGCAAGGATATGATTACAACTTCACCTTCCTTACCATAAAGGTAGTTTTTTTTTTTTTTAAAAAAAAAATTGAAGTATAATGCATATTAAAGAAGAAAATTAATGAAAATGAAACAAATATTGCAGGGTGCAGGGCATACAGTTCCTGAATACAAGCCAAGAGAATCATTAGATTTCTATAGCCGTTGGTTGGATGAAAAGCCAATATAAATCAATGGTTTTCCAATTTTCACTTTTCTTTTATTTGGGAAAACATTTAATAATTAGCTTTTACAAGGAATTGAAACTTCGCTGTTTGATGATAATTACTTTATATTTCAAAAAATTCTTAGTATCAATTTGTTGACCAAAAATAATATAGCCAAGGGCAAGTAGTTAGCCTTAAGCCCATCAGACAAGGGCCATTCAAAGAGCCCAAAGACAAAACGAGCCCATAATTTAATTTTGAAGTTATGAATTAGGGAGGGGCCGCGCGAACGCAGGCCCCCACTGCCACAAATTATGACGTAGGCTCTTCCTCTTGGGAAGACCTTAGACCAGCACCCCTCCAAAGTGCAATGGAGGTCACTGATCTAGGCCATAGGCCTTCTTGATCACCCATTGACCCCGTCCAGGTAAGTATGTTGCTCTGATGGTTTTAGCCTTGATATATATTACTCGGCCATCTATTCAACAGCATAGGTTTTCGATGTGGGATTCCACACCGTATTGAAAAGCAAAAAAACTTACTTTGTTTGAGTTCATTTATTCAGGACCGTTCGATTATGAGCAAATACAAATATTAATTTTCCTTCTTAAGGTAATTAGTTTCAGACTAAAAACAAATTTAATTAATTGGAGACTAATTAACTTTTGACCAAATTGCAAATTGTAGTGGGGTTTAGTTACATCCAAAGAAATGTATTATGAAAATCATACTTGAAGAATAAAAAATGTAAGTGGAAGAGTGGTCCAAATGTGTTATGAAAAGCCAGAACCCAACAACAAAATAAAAATAAAAATAAAACAAAACTAAGAACTGATTGGTTCTCTGGATAATAATGGATTTGGAAATATGGCAATCCTAAAGATTTTATTTCAAACTTTATATTTTAAATAATTTGTTAATTATATATAAAATTTTACTTAAACATAAGATAACTAATTGAATACAAATTCATATTATTTAATAAAAAATGTAAGAATTTTAAATTCTTTATAAACCAAATTAAGTAATAAAAATTTAAAATGTGGTTCCTATTTTCAAAGCAAACAATGTAAGATGCTTCCATTGACAGATCATACAAAGGCAAGTGCAATAGTGGTCCAAGTTCAAAAACTCTAGGGGCTGCCCAATTAAAGGGATGGGCTGATGGTGGATTTCATAATAATAGAATGGAGGTCTATGGTCCAACCAAAGTATTTCATTTCATGTGACTCCAAATTATCTAAGCTGGCATAGAGAGTAGGAGAGAACCATTTTGTAAACAAATTAGTGATAAATGGTAGCTCCACCTTCTTTTTCTTTCTTTCTCTTTTCATCACTATCTCGTAATCTTATATGCAACCATTTTATAGTTTCTTTATACAGGAATAACGTAGATAACATGTTAATCCAACATCATTATACGTTAGGAAAAATCTTAGCAAAAACTAATGAAACATACTAATGAAACAAAGGTGTTACTTTAACTTTGATAATGAGAAGAAGTGAAGTGGGCCATTTCTGGTTTTTCATGGTGGTTCACGCCCTAATCATTTTCTTTCTCATTGTCTTGCCTGCCAACAGGCATTTGTAGCAAAGTGCCTCTTTGTCCCTTCCTGGTTTGATACCCATACCCACCATAGTAATGGAAGCTAAAAGACAAGTCCATTTCAACTATAAACCAGCATTATTTGGAGGTACATCAATGGAGTATATGGAGATACCAAAATCTTCTTCTGCAATAATGCGGTTATGATTGAATTTGAACGAACCCATTTAAACCAAACTCCAAAACCATAATGGATTTCAAGGTCATCATTTTCTGATTACAATTATTCTTTCTACTTTTGTTTTTATTATTCGCACGATTCTTTTGATTTCCTTTCCTTGTCTTTGACCAAAAGATGAATTCTTTTCTCTATTCTTTAGCTTTTTTCTTTTCTTTTTGATTATTCAGTTTCATCCTTTTAACTATATATTATCCAAATTGAAGTTATCCTCATAGACTGATAGACACACACAGACAAACCCACTTTCTTTCTCTTTCTCTTTCTCTTTCTTTCATTATCAGAAGACTTTTACGTGTTATGTGTATATATATTGTAATTGCCAACAGTGTAGTGTGAGGATTTATGAGTATGGATAAGTTGAAGTTGTTTTGTGGTTTTTGTATGATTTTGAGTTTGGAGTTCATTGAAGGAGCTCCAAGAGGTTCTCTCATCACTCAGATACCTGGTTTCAATGGCAAATTCCCATCAAAACACTACTCAGGGCAAGTTCATGTTATATATATATAAATATATAAAATAAATATGAATTGTGAGTCTATTTATCATTTTTATGAATGCATAGACATGATTTGAATTTGGTGTAGGTATGTGAGCTTTAACCAGAAGAATCTGTTCTACTACTTAGTTGTTTCTGAAAGAAATCCATCAAAAGATCCTGTTGTTCTATGGCTCAATGGAGGACCTGGCTGCTCTAGCTTTGATGGCTTTGTTTATGAACATGGTAACTCTCACTCTCTCTCTCTCTCTCTCTATATATATATATATAGAGAGAGCATTCTACTCTTTTCTAGTTTCAACTCCACCAGCTAGCCAAGATTAATTCCCAGTAGAAGTGTATGATAATGCAAAAACCAAGATAAGTTTTTAATTTGAGACATCATAGATTATTTAGTTAAATAATCCAAAGATAAGCGTTTGATTAAAGAGTTGTCTGTAATAATTATTTTTGTAAGAAGTGTATTGGTTTAGCAAATTGAGGATATGATGAATACACCACAACCACACAACTTTTAATTAAAGACAAAGACACATTTGTCTTTTTCAATTTCATTTTCTTTTGATGGTTATTTTAGACATGTGGGCAACATCCAATTATATCCTAATTACTTTTTAAATTTGCATTATGAAATATTTTCTTTTAAGCAGCTTTATTAAATATTAAATGTATATATGCTGTATACAGGACCATTCAACTTTCAAGAAGGGCATCCAAAAGGAAGCTTACCCACATTGCATCTAAATCCATATAGCTGGTCCAAGGTCTGTGTTTATATATTTTGTTTTTAAATATCTAAATGATAATTAATTTTGTTTTTAAATTTTTGGTAGGTTTCAAATATAATTTATTTGGATTCTCCATGTGGTGTTGGACTCTCTTACTCCAAAAACACAAGCAAATACACAACTGATGACTTCAAAACTGCAGCCGACACACACACTTTTCTTCTTAAGGTAATTTTCAATTCAACTTCTTTAACAGATTCACAAAAGAGAAGTAACCAAATAATTTTTTTTGTTTTACAAAACAGTGGTTTGAACTATACCCAGAATTTCTCAGCAACCCATTTTACATTTCTGGAGAGTCTTATGCTGGAATTTATGTACCTACTCTTGCTCACGAAGTGGTGAAAGGTACAATTTTTTTTTTTTTTTTTAATATACATTTAGAGTTAGGATTGTATATGCAAATATTAAATAATTAATAATTTTTTTTGTTTTTCTTGCAGGAATAAAAGCTGCTCAGAAACCAATTATTAATTTTAAGGTACTAGAATCCGTTGATTGGATCATAAACATAATTTTTTATAATCTATAAATTTGGTTGCAGGGTTATTTGGTAGGAAATGGAGCATCACACACCAGATTTGATGGGATCAATGCTCTTATCCCTTTCGTACATGGAATGGGTCTTATATCCGATGATATTTTCGAGGTAGAGGAAGTGACTATTTTTTCCCTCTCTTATATCATAATCAAATAGGTAGATATAATAGGAAATTTACACAAACTCTTGCAGGAAATTCAAAGTAATTGCAAAGGAAATTACTACAATCCTACAGCTAATTGCGATTCAAGCCTTGTCAAGCTGGAAAGGGTGAGATAATTTAATTTTTTCTCTTCGTTAATAACACCATAGGCTATACGACAGAATATCGTTTCTGACAGAATATCGTTTCTGAACGGCAAGAGATGGTTAATTTATTCTGTACTATATTCCATACAAATTAAGTTTAGCTTACAGTATCTGACTAAAATTTTATGTTACTTTTTTTTTTTTTTTAACTAGTGTTTGTCAGATTTGAACATTTATGATATCCTTGAGCCCTGTTACCATGATCCTGAAGCAACACAAAAGGTAAAAGCAAACTCAAGCTTGCCTGTTAGCTTCCAGCAATTAGGGGCTACAGAAAGGCCTCTCAAGGTCAGAAAGAGAATGTTCGGCCGCGCTTGGCCGCTATGGTCATTAGAAAAAGATGGTAACCTCCCATTATGGCCTAAACTAGCTGAGCAAGGCAGTGTCCCATGCGTTGTAAGTACTAAAAATTTCTTAATTTACACTATAATTTTTACTTTTTTTGCCAATTTACCATGCATTGATGGTATCTTAAACTCCTGGGAGCTTGCAGCGCGATGAGGTTGCGACTGCCTGGCTGAACGATGAATCAGTTAGAAAAGCAATTCATGCTGCTCCGGTAAATGATTTAAAACTCTTAATTATAACATGCAATTGAAAGCTTGAACTAACTAACTAATCAAGTGATATGTTTATAATAATAATAGAAATCCATAGCGGGTCCTTGGGAGCTGTGCTCAGATCGAATAGATTATGAATATGGTGCTGGAAGTATGCTCCCTTACCACAAGAACCTGACAATGCAAGGATATAGAGCGCTTATATATAGGTATAATTTCTTAAGTTCCTGAAACTAAGAACGTGTTTAAGAAAATGATATATAAAATCTAATTTTTGGATCGACTTCATTGATTATATACAGTGGAGACCATGATATGTGTATACCTTTCACCGGAACTCAAGCATGGACTAGGTCACTTGGATATAAGATAATTGATGAATGGAGACCATGGATGTCAAATGATCAAGTTGCTGGGTAAGTTCCACCAAGATCAAAACTTTAACAGTTTTGAACACAATTGGATGAAAAAATCATTGGTTTGAATCTTCATTTTCAATCCTTGATTCTCCTATCGCATGGAAATAGTCTTTATGCAATAGTTCTGGGTCTTAATTATGGATTGATGACATTTTTTACAGGTATTTGCAAGGATATGTCAACAACCTCATCTTTTTGACCATTAAGGTATGAAACATGATTTTTGTCTCTATTCATAAGCCTTTCCGCGTTTGGAAACTTTTGGGCATATCTGTTTTCTTGTATAAAACCGTTTTTTAATGTAAAATTCAATATCGTTTTCTGTATTCTTTTCTGCGTTTCAGGTTTCCCATTTCCGTGACACATAGGTTTTTGTTCTACAGTTTATTTTTTAAGAATATGAGAAATTGGTAATCTGGTGTTGCAGGGAGCAGGGCATACGGTCCCTGAGTACAAGCCACGGGAGTCGTTGGATTTCTATAGCAGATGGTTAGATGGAAAACCAATATAATCAAACAGGGGAAAGATTTGATATTTCATAGCTTGTATCTGTTGAACGATGAAACAAATTAAGTTCCATTTATTTATACCAAGGGAAAAAATGAAAGAGCCTATTTCAAATAAGGAGCTCCTACTCTTAGCTCCAAATACTCTGATCTTTATAAAGATTTTTAATTTTTTGGGTACTTGTTTTTTGTGTTAATTTAACTTCGATGAGATATTCTAACTCAAAATCTTTCAATTTTAGTATCATTAAATGAAGTTCATCGTTTAGTCTCAAACACAGAAAAGCGGTTGAACCAGTTGGGCGGCTCAGACCCAAGATTTGGAATCCTTGTTCACACTCGACTCCATTTCCAATCTTTCTGTTGCTACCACTTTTACTACCGCTCAAAAAGGGTAGAACTTGGCGGAAATGGAATATACTTTCCATGGAATAATCATGTCTTTTCAGAAATGGTAGACATGAACGGTTGTCGGTAGCTAAATTCCAAGGTGGGGGTGGGGGTGGTGGTGGTTGTACTGACGTGGATGAATCCTCTGCCTTGTAACTGGATTGCTTGGTTGCTCGCTTACAGCCAAAAAAGCTTTGTAGGCCTAAAGCAGCCGGCCAATTGAACCTGAAATACCCTTAAGATGATTGCCGCTTTCAATCAGTTTCTGCCTCTGAGTTGGCCACTTATGGTCAGAAGAAAGAACAAAACCCACAAAAGAGGACAAGACAAAAATAAAGAAGAAGAAAAATCAAAGCTTGAATGATGCTTCACTTTCACATATTATTATCAACAACATAGACAAAAACCAACAGATCACACATTATGCCATTTGAAACCAGAAAAAAAAAAAATTGACGGAGAGTTGGATTTTACAAAATTCCAATTCTACCCACACTAGAGAGAGAAAGGACTATTTCCCAGACACACTAATATAGCCGGGCCCCACCTCTCCTGTCCAAATTTAACATTTTAATTTTAATGGCCCTACAAATCTTTTCCCCCCTTCTGTCAAAAAATAAACCATGCAGAAATAAGGAAAATGAAAGAATAGAAATTAATTAAGAAAATCCAGGACTAACAAAACCTTTTCCTTTTCTTTTTACCGTCCTTTCCAAGCTTTGGTCTCTCCGGCAGCCTTCTTATCTTCCTTTCCAGGCACAAACCTTGGCAAAGTTAGTAGGGTATTAACGCGGGAGACTCCTTCCAAAGCAGACCACTCTATCCCACATTCCAATTGTGCTTCTTCTTTCTTTGAGGAATCTTCTTCTGCATTTCCTTCTGATAGTACCTCTTTCCCGGTCCTCACAGTACCTGAACGGCCTAGCCCAATAGGACCGGAGGGATCAACCTCTTTCTGATTACCAATGTCAGCTTGCTCTACCGTAGTAGGCTGCTCTTTTGAATTGGCATTGGAAGCAGTAGATAAATTGTTAGTATCAAGGAAGAGGCAAACTACAGCACAATCATCGACTTTCGAGGTTGGATACTTGTATCTCCAAGCCCGAACAGCTGATTCAACCAAGGCTCTTGCTGCGGAGGAACGTGTTGGGGCTGATGCTACAATGTCTACCACCTCTTTATTTGATAGAACATCCCAAACCTACAGTACAACAAATTAGATCCCAAGAAATACAGAAAAGCAGAAGGCTAAAATTCATTTAATATTGAGAAACAGCTCTTACCCCATCAGTGGCCAAAACTATAAACTCATCGTTCTCAGTTAGCCGCCGGCAGGAGATATCAGGGACAGAGATAAGACCAAAATCCTTCAGGCAGAAATCTCCAAAAGCTCGTGCCATGGCCAGGCCAGGAGAGTCATTGTTTGGTAACCACACTCTTGCCACCTCAGGTTCATCCTGAAGAGCAAAAACTCGCCCTTTACACTTCCGTATTCTTTCCGCTTCCGCTATAAGAGCCAATAGTTTTAAAAAGAGAGAGAGAAAAATTAAAAATAGCATAAGCTGAAAAGGTGGACCACAAGATCTAGCAAGAAATCATGTTACATCCAGTCAGTGTTTCACATTTCATTTCCTTGTACTCAATTACCAAGGATAATGCCAAAAATATTTTTACATGTGATTGCAAACATATCATTAAAACCCATTCCACAAAATATTTTCCATTTCACCACTGCTAATCTCACTTAACCCTCATGTCAACCATCTTCAAAATAATTCCCTTGCCAATCAACTATGCTTGAACTCACGCAGTCCCTCAAGTTTCTACAAACTATGCGAGAATTATCCTTGTCCATCATATAGCCTTCAGTCAAAGTTGCAACTAATGAACCTCAATGCTAACATGGTTATCAGTGCATGCATACCTGAGGTCATAGACCATTATGCTCACTTGGTTTTCTCCAGCTCATAATCAATTTGAACTACATGTTCCTTCACTACAACTAACTTCAAGAACACTCACAACTAGCCTAATTGCTCCCGTGACCAATAAAATACACACCTCATTGCAAAACATCAATGTTGAAGAACAATGAATTGTGAAGTTAATGGGGAAAAAAATCTATGGAATAAAAGAACATCAAAGATATATTGCACATTCAAAACAGGAATATGCAAGTGCATTCTTGTGGAACAAAAAGACAATCAAAGAGATATTGGTTACATTAAAAACATAGGAACCATGCAAGTGTATCATGAATCTTTAAACTTAGGATATTTTAGCATTCCGTACATTAACACATGCCCGAATATTATTCTTCTATACAATTGCAATTCCCACTAATGATAGACACCAAAAGCGAAAGCGAAAGCAAATGGAAGCAAAACTAAATAAATGGGGAGACCAAATTCATCATGTAGCCAATCAATGGAGAATACGGCCAAAAGACCAAATCCCTGGATAGGTTTCTTAATGGTCACCAAATAGTCTAACAAGTATAGGGCATTAGAACAGAAACAGCAGACTAGGTCTGAAAATCAAGTCCTTAAAAAGTTAGTATATACCCTGCTATTCCAGTTTGATTGTTAACCAGACCACGTGAGTTACAGATTTGGAAGTCAGGAGACAGAAATAAATGTTAGGGTAACAGTATATTTTCATAGAGCACAAGTAAACTCCCACATGCAAATGACTAGGTTGTTAGTCGGGCAACAATTTAATATTGGCATGTGCGTATAGGCAACTAGCACTGTTTTCCCTTGTAATTGTATGAATTAATGATTCCTGGTCAGATGCCAAGTAATTTCACCATTATTGCACAGAGAGCAGTGGTCATATAAAGTATGAAAAGAGCAGTTGGCAAGAACTTATAATTATTATGGAAGAGAGAAAGGGCATGGAGCTACCTGGAAGATTTGGCTTGAGATCAACGGTCAACTGAATGGCGACAAGAGAATCATCCTTGTCCCTCGTACCCAGTACAGCTCTGGAGTCCCCAACATTCCCAACAACAAGATAGTGACCCTACATAAACAGCCAATGCAGGCATTATTAAGAAGGGTATATCACAGATTTCTGAATCACAAAAATACAAGTTTGATGATGTAACAAGTGGAGACCTGCTTGATCAATGTAACTGCTGTCGTCCCACTACAATAGCAATCAATATTTGCATGCACTCTCAGTTCCCTATCCATGACCTTGAAAGCCTTGAGAAATGACTCTTTCAGTGTCTGAAAAATCTCTGGTTGTTTTTCAGGTTCATCAAGATCTAAAGAGGCCCTAGATTCTTCATCAGCAGATATAAAGGACTGGTCTTCAGAGTTCATGCTTGCTGTAGTATTCACGCTAATCTCTTTGAGAACATCCTCACTGGTTATATTCACTTCCCAGTGAGCACTCAGTTTCAGGGGAAGATGATCCCTCACTCTTTTAGCAACCATATGACCATATGGACCATGGCCATCAAAAACTCCACAGAACACTGTATCTGTCCTTGATCCAAAGTTCTGAAAATTCACACTTTCACACAGTAAGAAAGAAAATTTTTTATTCCAACTTTTCAAATGTAGGGAATTAGATAACTAACATTGTATTTTAGTGTGGAGAAGAGTGGCGTGTGTTAAAATAGAGATAATGTGAGCAGTACATCTTAATCTGTTTTGAGACAAATAGGTGCAACAGAGGAACAAGGTAAAATAGATGTGTTGCCATTTCATAATCATGCCAGGCTCCAAAAAGACAATAGCTTCCAGAATCATCTAATGTGGAAAGAGAAAGAGAAGGGAGGGATTGTATATCCATAAATATAGTATTTTGAAGTTGCCCACATAATAAGCTCATCAAATGTGAAAATTTTAGTTCCATATCATCAATTGCTTTCCAATTACGATGATATTCATAACCATAATATTTTACTCAAGAAAAGGGAAAAGAACTTTGAGATCAGACAACAATTGAAATGGAGCAAAATAGAAATTCTACTGTTAGATTGACTATACTAGCAATTGTTTAAAAAGTGAATTCTCCTATCCAACAAACATAATATTTTACAACTGCTTGTTTGCAAAGCTATCAAGAAAGGGAAGACAGAGAGAGGGGGGGGTGTTGGGGAGAAGAGGAGGTACGAATGAACCTAGTTGATTTCCAAATGCAAAACCATTCCAAAGTACCAAAGTAAAGAAAGAGCTCACCTCCCAAACAATCATGGCATCCTGATTAGTTCCTTTCTTGCCTTGTTGGGTAAACAGCGAAGCAATATTGCTGGACCCATTCAGAAACAACCTTCCAGGAATCCTATGTAGCGGCTCTTCCCTTCGATAGTCAAATGAAGAATTCCGTGACCCTGGCCGCCGCTTTGGGTTCCTTCTCTTCTTGATCCCAAAACCAGGAGAGGAAGGTGTACCAGGGCGAGGGCTCCTGCTTTCTGCAGACAAGCAGGACCCCATCCTGAGGGCCCTGATAATATTTAATATGCACTCCAGACCAGCCGGACAATAGCACCCGCTGTTTTCAGATGGCGGATCCGTCAGAAATGGTTGGTGAAGATCCTAAGAGTCCTCTTTTAACTCCCAGGTCAATTATGGGATTGGTCAATCAAATTCACAGATCAATGATGGGATTGGTCAACCAAATTCACCCTTGTATTAATCAAATACCAATCTTTGACCAAATTGATTCTAACTCTTTCAAATTCACAGCCTACTAAACCAATTGAATTCACCCTCAACCTCTGAAAAAAGAATCAGCGATCAAATCTAGAACAAACCCTTTTGAATTCAATGCTAGTTATTTAACTGATTCATCAATAAGTTATCAAATTCTTCAAACAACAATCTAATAAGTAAATTGCAACATACCCTTTGAAGTCAGTGCCTGACAATCCAACTTTAGCATAGATTTGCCCAAAAGCCACCTCGAGATGTTTGAATCACGCAATCCACAGAGAAGCGAGAATAGAATTGAATTTGCCAAAGATTTTGCTTAGTATTGAAGGAAAGACACTTTTCAATGACTTTTTTTTGTTGTTGAAGCAGAGAAAATTGGATAAGAATCTTCACTCTCTCTTTTTCATTTTATATTCACTTACATAAACAAAAGCTAAAAAGGCATATATGTCATAAAGACCAGATCTAATCTAGGAAGATCTATTACAAAGAAAATACTTTTTCAAATCTTAACGTGCAATAACTCCAAAAAAAAATAATACCCTTTAATATAAGAAATCAAAAGGTGCTTAATTTGACAATTGTTGCTCACCAACCTCGATCCAAATCACAATACTCTCATAAATTCCAACAAAATTGAGCTTCAAATCCTCACTAGAAAAACCAACACACCATTTCTTGTCCAGATCAAGCTTTGATTGATACAGATGGGCGAAAAGAATCCAATTATGCTGTAATAAATTTTGTACAAAGTTCAATGCTTGGCATAAAAACACACTACTTGGGGAGGGCAAGACAATAAAGAAAAGGGTAGACAGTGGATTTTGGAAAGGCAAATTGAATTTTAGAGAGGAAGTGAATTGGTTTTGGAGAGAAAGAGAGAGTGTATGTGGGTAGGAAACCAGGAATGGTAAGCAAGAACTGAATTAGGAGAAATAATAGGAACCACTAACACATAAGAGAACACGAAAATTGCATAAAGACCGCTCTTAAAAATGACTCAGAGAGAGAAGGGAAGACAATTCTAGAGAGAGAAAGTAGAGAGAGAAGTGTTCTCTCTCCCTCTGTCTGTCACTTTCACAAGTTTCAGATATGGTAAAGAGTCATAAAGATCTTCCTATCCTAACAACAATATTTGGATAAACAAGGATGTTTTATTAACAAATTAACTATATATTATGAGCCATATAATTACTTTTTTTTTATATATAGAAAAATGAAAGATAAAACAGAACATGTGGATGGATTTAATTATTGGAATTCACAGCAATTTTTAGTTTTTATTTTTCGAACCATTTTAGAAAATGAAATTATGGAAACAAAATCCATCTGAAGGGTTATGTATGGGTGCTTCTATTTTCCATGTTAATTTTGTTATATTTCTAAAAATATTAATAATAATAATTTTAACTTTTTCTTTGATAAGAATGGTGAGATAGATTAATGGAATATAAAATCTATAAATTTCATAGAATATAAAATTTATGGATTGAAAACTAATACAACTTAATATAAATAAAATTTATAAATTTAAAATTATAATTGAGAAAATTAAGCAATATGAATTTCGTCATTGGTTGAAAACAATATAATTGAGAAAATCATATGTTTAATATGAAATTTCTCATTTCCATAGTGAAAATTGAAGTAATTATGAAATTTATATTTTGACATATTTTTTCTGAATTGAATAAAAAAATCTAAAAAACCAATGAAATATTTAAATTTCATTACTCAATTATATTTATTTAAATGACTTTCAAATTACAATATTATGATAAACAATGGCTAAAGCATGAATTTAAAAAAATAATTTTTGTCATCTCAATTATGATTTTATATTGTTTTTGTAGATAAAAATTTAAAATTTAGGGATTTAACTATGACCAAATAAATTAAAAATGATTAATAGTAGAAAAAGATCTTCAATAGACAATACATAGATAACGGTTATTGTTAGTAATTGGTTATGCCAACAATACAAAGTGCATTCATCCTAACAAGATAATTAAAAGGATATTATGATGGATTATTAAATGGATAATTGGTTGGTCTGCTAAGAGTGAGAGGTCTCGAGTTCGAGTCAATGAGAGACTCATTCCCCTGTTGTGTAGTTCGGAATGTTATTTTGTTCTATAAAAACCTTAAATGAAGTAAAATAAATAAACAAAATATAATTTAGAGACACCAAATGTATTTTACTCCTAATAGATTCTAGAGTATATCAAGTTTATTAATATTTTCTTTAAAATAAATAAAAAAAAAAAAAGAACAGCAGTAACTTTATATGGATGCCACCTATATTTATCATACTCCAATAATTTAATTGGCTTACTCCATATCTTTTGTTTCTTTTTCAAGTAGATTCCCTTTGTTGTTAGTTGACTTTTTGGCTAGTTCCTGTTTTTTAACCTTCACCATATATATATATAATTATATAAAAAATTCAATTTAATTTTTAATATTATTAGTCTTTTTTATATTAAATTATATGTAAACATACAATTTTGAACATAAAATCTCCATTAAATGAATAACATTTTCTAAATCATCACTTAATTTTTTATACTTTGACTGTTTCTCCAGCCGAAGCAAAAACCAAATTTTATTTTTAAGTTTGGAATAATAATAATTTAAAAAAAAAGTAAAAAAAGTCATTTACGGTAGTTGGGTCTAGTAATTAAGTGTATTAGTTTTCATGTTAGCAACAGTATGATCAAATAATTGAGTTAGCATCTTGAAAAAAGCATTAAAATGGAAGTAATGGAATAGTATTTTGAGAAAAGTTTATTACTCTTTCGTCCACCCGTTAAATAGAAATTAAAAAAAAAAAAAAGGTAAAAGTCAAAATCTTCTGTGGTTGGTCTTGGTCACCAATTTGTGAATCCTTTGTCGTTTGATCATATAATAGAGACATGGACTTTCCATTCATAGTACACAACCATTGGTCATAAAATCAATCACCATTACAACATTAAAATATATTTTTTTTATCAATTGAAATATTTATTAATTATTCTAGAACATTAATATAACATTTTTAATATTAAATTTTCAACTTAAAATAAATACAAAGTTTTTAAAATTCATGGGTGATAATTTTTTTCCCCTGAAACTCATACAAGACTAACTAAAAATAAAAAAATCCTAAAAATTTTTTAGAAACAAATTAAGATTACAACAAACACTACATTCTTACATTTTGCGGAACAGTGTCCTACATTTGTAGGGTAGGTTTTCATGTTTCTCCTATAATGTGTCCAATGTGAACAAGTATAGAACGTTCTTCCAATCCAGTTCAAAGTCACATTATGACCGAAGCTGTCGGTTTCCCCTCCGCCTTTCCTTTCCCCGTAGCCATATTTGATTTTCTTTCTCCTCACTGTCATTTTTGGACAATATGGAATTCTGTAATGGGTACTCATTTTGACATCCAAACATGTTGAATTATATATTAAGAATGTCCAATCTTTCAAATATATATATATATATATTAGAGGTTGGACGATCAATCTAGAGAATCCTACAACCATGAGAAGGTGACAATATTTTTTAATTTTTGGCTAATTCTTATGGACCAATAAATTCTGTTCAAAGAGGAGAAAAAATAAATTATATTTTACATATGTATGAAAAATAATTAATTATATTTAAATCAAATGGATAGATGAATGCAAGACTTGAATTCCTAATTGGGACTTAAATTAGTAATATAAACATATAATTGTCATAAAGAAATTTAGGAAAGTCTAAATTATCAACTTCTCGAATGAATGAGTAATATAAATTTCCACAAAATTTTATGAACTTCATTTATAAATCGAATTTTTTTTGTTTAATTATGAAAAAAAAAATGAAGATTTAAAATCTACAAACTCAATTTTATGAATTTAACAAATATTATTAAACTTTCAAGAAGTGTCTTTGTTGGAATGACAAAAAAAAAAATTATGTTTTATGACTCAAAAAAGTTTTACACTTTCTAAATATAAATAAAATAGAAAATTCGTTTCATGATCTAAATATGGATCACTGTATTTTAGAAAAAAAGGATTAAACTCTTAATTTAATGCAATATAATCGGTAGCGGACCAAATCCAAATAGGGGGATTAAAAAATAATTTTATTTAATTATAAATGACAAAACTAAAATATTTTTTTTTCAAAAATTTGTCACATAAAAAATTGATATTTTTTTTTATTTCGGAGGGCCATAGCCCCAAGGCCCTGGAAGCAATGATGTGGAGTACAGTAAACTGCTTTGAAAATGGATGTTTTAGGGTTTTGATAAGGATGTTTTTAAAATAATTATTCCTAATTAGTAATGTTAATTGTCAATTTGTTTGAATTATAATCTGGTCAGTCAAATGGTATTTAATGAATTAGTTTGGTGCATCACATCACATTTAATTCATTGAAAATGCATACATCATTCATTTTATTTTTTTAATTTAATCCTATTTAAGATTAAATTCTGATGATTGAAAGAGAGACGAAGACGAAGATTCATATTCTTTAAAACTTTTTATTTATTTATTTATTTATTTACTGATATAGTTACATCATGATATACATCATCAACCCATAATTTTTAAAAATTTATATTTTTATTAATTTGGTTTGTAATTATTTTATTCGCGCTTCAAAATTTATTTGTAAAATTACACTAAAATATAAATTATATTTTCATTATCACGGAAACTGAGTTCACTCACTTTCCTGACTAACACCTTATCCGCTGGTTTTGGATATTTATATTAACAAGTGAATCTGTCTTTGTCTTAACACCACCTCACCTTGTCCAAGAGCAGAAGCAATGGGACACCCAGTTGAGTTCTACTGACTTTTAACAATTTAGCCTGAGAAAACAAAAGTTTGAAGCAATCATTTCCCATATTTTTGAAGTGTTTCGAACAGAATTGAATTCTAGTCGATAAGATTAAGGAACTTTCATCATTAGCAATTGCACTAATCGCTTTGTAGTCATACTGTCTTTTTCCATAACAAATACATACTTATACAATGTACAGATACAGATACAGCTACATCAATTACGTGCTTATCCAAATATTAAAAGTGCTTTGCTTTCTGATTTGATGTTTACCAGAAATTGCTCGTTTAATAATTAATACTAATAATATTATTATATAGTTAACGGTAATTATTTTTACCTACCAAGCATCTTGCTAAAAAAAAAAAAAAAATTAATCTCTATTTTAGAAAAGTGTGTTAAACACAAGACTTGATAATGAAAATATTATTCATACATACCCGATTAAAGATTACTTTTATTTGAATTTAATTAAACATTTAAAAATGAATATCAATGTTGAAAATAAAAAATATTTCTCTTTCCAAAATAATAAATCTTTTAAAATATATGTATAAACCTCAAATTTCTTTTTTTAATAACTTTTTAAAAGAAGCCGATATATTTTTTTTTTTTCTTTTTCATTCAATCAATCATAGTTCACAAAATCATAGTTGTACTTTGCTTGTTATAATGAAATTTCATACGTAAATGATACAATATATGCAACTGCTGTCCCTTTTCCTTGTCGTGAGGAAATTTTTATATTGATTATACTTAATGATGTATTAATTATACGATTTTTTTTTTTTTTCAGTTCTTACACGTATCTTCATATTCAAATTGAAGATGATATTTAAATAAAAAATTTTCAATACTTGTCGTCTATCATTGATAAAATAATTTATAAATTGACAAAAAATATTAATAGAATTGACCTACAACTACTTTGATTGCTTAAGCAGAACAAAAAATAATAGAGTTTATGATAGTACTTATGATATATAGTATTGATGTGTGAGACCCTTTATATCGAGTCAAGAAAACTCATGATTAGAATTGTAGTTGGAATCTTTTATTTGGCTAGGGTCTATTCAGCAAAATTAGTTATTTTGATAATTATTAAATATTTTAATAGCGTTTAATTGTTAAAATATTCTTTAAATATTTTGCATAAAACGATATCTTTAACATATCAAAATTATTCCAAATGTTATTTTACTGAACACTATAAAATAGCATTTAAAAGCTATTTAAAAAGCTGTTACGAAACATAATGTTACGTCGAAAGCCTTGTACCTCTTGTCAAATATGAGTTCAAAGTTAGCATGTCTTAACCTACAAAAAAGTAACAAATATCATTTAACATATATCCAAACTATAGTTCGGATATAAACTAAGTCATATCATTAATCGTATTTTTTTTTTTTCTCTTTTTCTTAAGAAAACTCATATAACGGTTCATAAATCTAACTAATTTCTGCTCGTTTTCAAAGGTAAAAGAGCTAATCAGGAAGAGTTTGTATTCCGAACGATCAAATCCATGACCTAAACTCCACAAGCGCTTTTGGCCGTCGAGCTGCCCTATTCGGGTTAATTTATTATTGTTAAACTAGTAAACCTATAATAACCACGCGAAAAACAACATGTGCAATTCGCACATGGCAACAGAGAATATTGTTCCCCTCCAAATGGAAGATACACGTCAGTCCAATGTGGGGCATAGTGTAGTTTTAAAGCCTATCCATAATATAAATATATATATTGAAATTTCCAGCTGTGCTTTCTTAATCTTCAAAGTGGGTGGGCGGTTCGATTTGTAGCTCCATTTGGTCTTCAAAAAGCCTATTTATGTAATGTAGGAATTTTAATTATGAAGCTTAACCAATTTCTTCTCTCTAATTATTCTTCTCCATATCCATTTAATTTACTTAATCATATTTTTTTCTCAACATATCCATTTAATTATTCTTAAAGTATCAATCTGAAAACATTATTAGCCACATAGAAACAGAATAGATGATGCTTTCATTTGTATATAAAAATAATTTTAGTACATGATTAGATATGAAAATAATATTTATAAATGAGATTTTGAACAAAGATCCACATCTTAACTCACATTATTTAATAAGAAATATTTATTTGTGAGTAGATGCGTTTGCCTAACTAATTTTCTAAAGAGCTATAAGATTATTAGATGTTTCTTTCTTTCCTTTTTGTTAACAATTCACTTTCTTTTTCTTCTTCCTTTGCTCTCTGGTTCTTTACAACCCACTTTCTAATTATACCTCCACTTCTTTTTTTTTTAGAATTTATTTTTCCTTCGAACCAGGAATAATACTCAAATAAAATTCTCTTAAAATTTGGGTTGATCCAACTTTTTACAAATAAGATTTTAGTACCGTAAGACCATGTTTGATATGCTGTAATCAAGCATATAATAGAATAAAAATTACGTTCTATAGCTAATTATATTATTTGATTAGGTCTACGATCCTTACTACTTAAATTGATGTAATATTCATTATATAAAGTCCATTAAGTCTATATGAACCTATGTGAAACTATAGCGGTGGCCGCGGGAACAGTGTGATTATTGGTAGAGGTGGTAACGTATTAATTACATTACATATTTAAAAAAAACATTTTATGAAAAAGTGATTACATTCAATAAATTGGTACGAATCGAATCCATGTGTTTTCTGCTAGCAAAATGTCTCATGAGATTTTCTCAAATGCTATTAAGAGGTAGACTAAGGAAAACGTGTTATGTTTGCTTTTACAAAGTGATTTGCACCATTATGATCTTTCCACTATTTTAAGCAACAGTCACTCTCAATGTCGTAAACATGTTTTAACTTGTAATTTGGTTGTGTTAGCTTAAGAAGAAAATTGATTTCTCACATGAAAAACACGTGAACCAATTAATTTTGACATTTCATAAAACAAAAAAGCTAAGATCTTTGATGATAAAATAAATGAATTTGGTAAATTTTTTGTTTTTTTAAAGTAGTTGATTTTTACATTAAACAAGATCAAAATGTGACACAATGTTCAAAAACTTAATTTCCTTTTCAAAGCTTAAACCAGCTGTAAGTAATCAAACCTCTATTAAATTAATAAACCATGAGCTGACAATAGGATTAAAATGACAGAAAATGACATAATCGACATTAAACATGTGAGTTACAGTAGAGGATGATCATGAATGGTCCAAAGCTTGATATTTGATTTGAGATGACAACAACCTCAATTAAACTATTGTAAATGCTGCTTTTCATCGACCAAAAAGTCTTCCTCAAACTGTTTCAAATTATTTTTGTTTCAACTTTTCATCATGTTGGCATTGATTACAAAAAGCTTCAACAAGAACCGATCCAACAGTAGAGAGAGCAGCATGGAGTTCAAATGAGGATAAGTTGAGAACTTGCATTTTAGCGCCCTGTGCATAACATCAATCTTGATATTTTCCCAATCAGGTCTCACCTGTGCATCACATGAATTATTAGTTTCCATCAATCTTGACAATGTGCTTGAACAAAGTATTCACCACCACAATAACTTAAGATCAACAAAATTCCCCTCTGTTTCAAACGAAAATAGAAACTAACTTTGAAAAAGAATTGAGATCAATTAAGATCATTTTGTAAATTATTATGAATATTTTATTTTGAATTATTCACTTATCCATACTGTATAAAATTGTTACAAGAAATAGCACATATTCAGTAGTGATTTGCATCTTTTGTCCATATATTACAGAGCTAAGCAATTGCTTTCGCTCGATGTAGAGGAATCACCGAGAAATTCCGATCTCAACTTCATGAGCAGCCTACCCAGATAATTCAGGCCTTCACCTTCTCGACCTCCGCCCCAAAAAAGATCATGTGGGGAAGCTTCAACAAGAACCGATCCAACAGTAGAGAGCAGCATGGATTTCAAATGAGGATAAGTTGAGAACTTGCATTTTAGCGCCCTGTACATAACATCAATCTTGATATTTTCCCAATCAGGTCTCACCTGTGCATCACATGAATTATTAGTTTCCATCAGTTTGCAGGGGAAGTATAAGAGAATTGGATTCTAGCACCCAAATGTTGTTTCAAGTTCCATGTGTTCTGATAAGGTACCAGTTAAAAACGGTAGTGCAGTGCATGTTTTTTCTTATGGACATGAGACATGCAAAATCATATGAACATGAAATCACAATACTATCTAGACAGAATGTAAGCGTTTTTCGGCATTATTGACATCCTAAACCTTAGATTTTACTGAAACATTACAAGCAAAACCATCCTTGAATCTCCACAAAAGTAGTCATTCATTCCCTCAAAATAAGGAAATAACAAATTCCACTTGTGTGAAAAATTAATGTCACCACATTCTCAAAATATAAAAATAAACCACCCACTCATGCACTACCTGTTGACCATCCTTCCAACAATAAATTGATGTCAGCAATTTATGAGAATTGGAGAATGGCAATACTTCGCCTTCAATCATATATTATACAGTTATTTTATCTAGTATTGGATTTCTAGTACTATTAGACTGCAATACAAATCTGTAAACTCTGGTATCAGTAAAAGGTCCAATCTTTAGGTCATAAAAAAGGTATAGACTATAGAGGAACACACCAGATCAGGGTGCCGTCTCTGCATTGACCTTCCCATTCGTGCTGCTTCCTCTGGACTTTTTGCAGATTTTATCTTCTCAATGCAATCTTTTGCTACAGGATCATTCACACCCAGAAACTTGTGTGCCTATAATTCACAAAATTGTGATACAATTTCGACACTTTTTGCAAGAGAAAATAATTCATGCTTGAAATGCGAGTACCTGGTAGTAATGCTCCACAGTTGTCCATGTGGCGTAATTACCATTATCATCGAGCATTTGGATTGGATGAGGAGAAAAATTTGAAAGAGCTCCATAAGGATCCCAAGTCTTATAGAAGAATATGATACTTGATTCATAAGGAATGACAGTAGGATCAATTGCGAAAGTTTCTTCTTCTGATGGAATAACTGGGGTTGGTTCTGGGATTGGATGCAGAAATCCACTAATGAGCATATCTGGTCCAACCTGTTCAAGTGCCATTATGCAAGGGCAATCAAAGGCTGAAAGGAATTTCCCAAAAAGAATATGGACAACATCATTTCCACTGGTTCATTGTGAATCGAAGAGGCAAGGCAATGGTCTTAAAAGATAGAAAACAGCACCCATGACTAGATATTGTTTTCATTCCATTTTCATTCATGTAGAAGACTTGCAAGAGTCAAAGTAGTTATTTCAAGGTATAAAGGACTAGGTGAGAATCTGCAACACTTCTCAAATATCAACCCAAAAATGGGTATGAATGCATAAAGGATTTGGAAGATCGGGAAGAATCATTACCAACCTGTTCATAATGAAAATCAATTAAATCCAAAGCTTGTGACATCTCAACCATCCCTAGTTCAGCAACAGGAGATGGCGCATTCTTTCCACCAATAATCTTAGGGGCAACAAATGCAAAAACCTGCAACAAAAAAGTTATAGTAAAAAGAACATTAAAATAAAGTCAAAGCCATATTTGAGTTATAAGCATAATATCGCATATCTACTTAACAACTTGAGCCTTCAGAGAAAGTTGGTTGCTTAACATGGTAAAGGCGAACAAAGTGCAAACACAAACAACACTGAACTTCAGATCATTAATTCTCGGAGTTGGGCCCTATTCTGGGAAGAGGTAACTCCCACATAATATTTATTAATTATTAAATAAAATGATGTGCATCTAACTAACGGATCAAAATTTTAGAACAGGTGGAGCTTAACGGGAAATTTTGACATAGTATCGACTAGCACAGTCAGAATCTACACTAAGAAATGGAACAATCAGGAAAAATGAATAGGCTGATACATCATTTTGGAAAGAAATGTAAGAGCTACAATCTAATTGCATTAACAAACTGAGCAATAGAGAACTACGGCATATTAACAGGATAACCTTTGATTAAAAGAACCAGCAAATTATCTTTGAATAACAAATTTAGGAATTAAGCTAATGCCATGAGATGGCAAAAGGTTTTGCAGATACTGAACCAGGTTATAAGCTCAGATAAATATAACCCCTTATATCTTGTTCAAATACGATGACCATCATTCAACATAACATACTTCAATTTTTGTGGAAAATTTCAAGAAAGTTGACTTGAATTTGTTCGAGGAAAAATTCACATCATCATAAAAGTTTTCCAGGTGACAAGAAATTCTGAAAGAAAGGCCACCTATATGGAGATGTACATTAAAAAACAAGAGGATAAACCTTGTGTATAACACCAGCTGAAATAGCAGAGGCCGCTAGCGTCCCTCCACACTCCCACAAAATAGACAAATATCCACGATCATGAAAGTATTCCATAACTTCTCTGGGATTTAAGACATCAAACTCCACCACTTCAACTCCTTTGGATGCAAGTAGTTTTTGGAAACTCCTCCTGGCACCTCTTTGTGTTACAACTATGGTAGGAACATCAGAAATGTCCCAGAGATTTGCTTCCTCAGGAAGATTGAGTGTCTGGGACATTACAATCCTCATGGGCATATGCCCACCCCCATGTCTAGCAGTCAATCTAGGATCTGATTCAAAAAATTAATTAGCACCGCAAAACACATCTAGATATCTTTCACATCATCAAAACAATTACGAAATCAGAAATATCATACTTACTGTCCTTGCGTACTGTGTTTCCTCCCACAATAACAGCATCACTTCTACCCCTTAGTTCAAAAACTCGCTCTCTTGATTTCCTGCTGCTTATCCATGCTGCATGTCCAGTGGTAGCAGCAATTTTTCCTGTAAGAATCCAAGGAAGATTATTAGCATAGTTCTTTGTTAAAAGCTTTGAGGTCTCTCTGTAAGTGATTGAAGTTAACTAACTTCACTTGTCAGCCTTCAAAAAATCTAAAAACAGTAAACACTAAACAATAAACAAAAATTATTGTTTGAAACACAATTCTTACCGTCAAGAGTCATGGCATACTTGAGGGTTGAGAAGGGTACGCGAGAAGTAGCTCTATGAATTAAAGGAGCATTAACAAGGAGACATGATTTTCGAGCTTCCTACATTACAATGTAATGAAATGTCACAGAAAACATAACACGAAACACTAACTTTGTCGAGGATATGAGAGGGAAAAAAAAAAAAAAGGAGATAAACAAACTAAGAGTCAAATTTAAAGTAGTGAATAAAAATAATTAGGCGAAGCTAATTCAAAATAGTAGAGTGGTTTGTTTATCAATGCTTTATGCCATACACTTCACTCATCTCTCATGGACACATACAAGGAAAAGGAACAATAATTACAGTTTCAAGGATCAAATGTAACTAAAATTTAAACCTTTATACCTCAACAATCTTACTCTGGAGATCCTCTCCAAGAACATCAACCTGCAAACCTTGACTCCTAAGCGCACGGATAGAATTGCCTTGAAGATGCCTCAAGGGATGTCTAATGCCAACCACAACTCTTGTAATCCCTGCCTAATCTATGCGATTGTCAATCATCATCAAGTCGTTCGAATTATTAAAATTTATCATGCTAAACTAAAAAGAAGAGAAAAATAAGAAGTTTTATAAGCAAACCTCAACAAGAGCAGAGACAGCAGTGTGGTCTCCATGGCAATCCCCAGGCTCCATATTAAGATAAGCCGTGGCCCCTTTGCTCCACCCTCCAGCAGCCTCCGCCGCTTGAACCTCAGCAGGTCTTGTCCCCTGGGCGTAAAGATATCCCTCTCCGGCGACATTTCCGGATGCAGTAGTTATGACGCAGCCGAAATTCGGGTGTGGAGAGGATAAACCGGCGGACATGTCGGCTAACTCGGCCGCGCGTCTGATGAATGCGGTATCTTTCGAGTGGGAATGGTAGATATTGTTACTGTTGTAGTTAGCAATGGCATTGCAGGTGATAAGTGAGGAACGAAAGCAGCTGATTCCCAAAGAAAACGCCATATCTATTATTTTCCTCTCTCAGTTGATGACTCTAAAACCCGTAGCACCTATCGTCCTGCTCCTACCTGCAAGCTGCAACTAATTTCAGATTTTACTAGCTCTTTCAGTCTTGGGATATACCGTCAGTTTCTAGACGAAACCAGTAATACGGGTGAGGAAAATGGGCCCAAGATGGACCCAACTGTAAAATCTTGTTTAAAAGCTCTGACTCGTTCTCACTGCTTCATTCTGGTCGGCGTTGTTGGAATCTGACACTGACTTAAATCAGCGGTCGAGACTCGAGACTTTATGAACTCCTTCTGACTAATCAGGTCCCTAAACAATTTTTAACTCACAATTCTTAAATACTCGTTTTCCAAAAAAAAAAAAAAAAAAAAAAATGAACTCCTTCTCTCACTAATTTCAGGTCCCTAACAATTGTTAATCACAATTTCTTAAAATACTCGCTTTTCCAAAAAAAAAAAAAAAAATAAAAAAAAAAAAAAAAAAAAAATCAATCTTTAGTTTGGTCTTGCTACGTTATTTTTAATTTCATCTTCTGTGTTCATCTGGCATCTAACCTGAAACTTGATTTACCCAAGATTGACTTCACCCATCATCTCTCAATTTAATGGCAAGTATATTTTACACTGTAACTTAGACTACAGAGAAATTTTTTTATTCCTTACATTCCAGTGAGACTTCACCTGGAAATGGAATTTGACAAGCGAATAATTGAAGTTCAGATTTTTTTTTTTAATCACAATAGGCATGATAAAATGATCCAGTGCTACATTCAGAAATCAGTTGTAAAACTATCCCCGTTTTACCTAGGAAAGAAAAAAAAGAGCTGAACACACAATCTGATTTTCAGTCTTCCATGCAAATTAAAAACAAATTTGTTTGCGCAACTGAATGCGAAGATGATAATCTTGGGGTTAATTTTCCAAATGCTGAAATATTTCAAACACCCAAACACTATTGCCGTAAATAAAACAATCAAGTCAGAATATGAAAGAGAGACCATAGAGTAATATTGATTATTGCAAGTAATTAAGCATACATGGCTTTATCTTGTCATCATTATCAGAAAGGCACACCAAATATAATTAAAGCTGGAACTTTTAAGTTAAATATATCTCAGGAATTGATCGCAAATTGAACATGGAACAAGGTCGAATGTTGCATGAGCAGACTGCACTTATTCCTCTTCCTCTGCCTCTTCCAGCCAATTAACAAAGGGCTCAAGGGCCTTCACAAAGGTTTGCCTGCATCATTTCCCAATCCACACCAAGTAAGATACAGGTTTGATCAACTCAGAAATGGAATGCCACATATACCAAAAAAACACTAGCAGATCCCATTTTTAACTGCATACTAATGATCATATCTTGATGATTAATGATTATTAAAAATACTTCAAATAAAACAAGCAGGACACTTAAATAGGACTACAGGGATTTTATTTAATATGGCAGGTGCCACCAACCCAGCCTCATATTTATGGGAGAGAGACTTTATGATACGATGAAATGAAATAAACTTCATACCTGCCCTTAGGGTTTGTTCCCTTGCGGAACCAGTGAAGAATGGTGTCTTCTGCAAGGACATCCTGGTCATAGAGAGACCTCACTATCTCAGGGAACAGCTTCATCAGCTTAGCATCCTCATAGCACTGCATTTGAACCTTGTACAAGAGTTCCAGTTCAAGTTTTCCATTGGTGCAGAAGGTATTTAACAGTTCCGCCCATGTTTTCACCTGCATCACAGAAAGCAGCCTCCACAATAAGTTTTTCTGTTCTTCTTTCCAAATTGTCACAAGCAACTAAGCAATGCACAGACATACACTTGCCACACTTTAAATCTTACCTGGCGCAATGCTGCATTCGCATTCTGCTGCTGATTCTTTCCAGACCACTGAACAGCGTCCATCAATACATCCCATAAAACCCGCACCACCTCATTATCTGGGAGTTTAGCATCGTTAACCCGTTGCTTCACAGTGTCAATAACTTCAGTTATTTCAGCTTCCTCTGCTATCAGGGTTGTTAATGCAGATTTCATTTCCTTAAGTTTTACCTCAAATATTTTCTTTTCATTGTATTCAACCAAAGGTACAAGTCCTTCCTTGCTGCAAATCAACAATGAGTAGAAAACAATAAGTTCAACATTACATATCAACACATGTTATAAAACATAATAAATGAATAACCAACTTGAAAACCAAGTGTTTGGCAGAACTCAGAGGGAAATCTATGAATGGGTAAATCATCATGAACTCAAGTCAACAAATCGATTTTGATAATTTAACTTCTTACAATCAAACTCTTAAGATCCTTCCACATTTAGAGTCCAGTGGCATGCAAAGTAAGATAAGAACATTCCCAAAGACTTGAAATAAGAAGGAACAAGTACTTTTTGGCTATCATTATGAAATAACTACTAATCTAGGTTTATCCGCCTAAGGCTAAGTCTTTCGAAACAACATTAGCATGATAATATGACTACAGAAGTTTGGCTCCAACCAGAAACCCCATCAAGGAGTTGGTATCTAATCCATTCCAAGCTCATAATGTTATACCAAATTAATTCTCCCCTTTTTTAGGCAGATGAATCATCACAGTGCTTATAAACAAAGCAAAAGCATAAAGCAAAAGCACAATCTTTGTACAGGTACATCTATTGTGCAACACAGCTTCACACCAATTGTACAGAGGAGAAAAAAATTATTAGGAAATTAGGTTCAAATAGTAAGAGGGTAAAACTCACGTGAAATGCTCAGAGAAACCTTCAGCTGATCGCTTTGCAGAAGGGAAGAAGTCCAAAAGATTCTCTTCCACTTTACCTCGCTTGAGGATTGAAATAAGATCATCAAGGCTATTGTCAACCAGATACTCCTTAAAAAAGTCTGTTATAAATGAAAGAACTAGCCCTTTGGCCACAAGATTATCCTTAAGCATAGGCTGGAACACAGTCTCTGGTGGGAGCCCAGATAGTTTCTGGGAGAAAGCAAGTGCTGTGAAAATTGCCAACTTCTTCCTTTCATTTTCCTCAAATAGTTCCAGAGACTGCAGGAATCTTCGCATAACATTTTCTAGGTTCTTTATGAGAAATGGCCTACGCCGCAAAATTTTCTGTATGTAAATTACAGATGGTAAGATGACTTCACGCGTAGGCTCACAATCTATTATAGAGTAAGGATGGCGCTCCCCCTCATCAGGTTTTGTTGTTCCAGGTTGTGTACGGCCTCCTGTAAAAACAACCTGCACATACAATGAAAAGGTTCTTTATGATTTTTCAATGCTTCCTACAAAGGGGCTCATAATGTTATACCAAATTAATTCTCCCCTTTTTTAGGCAGATGAATCATCACAGTGCTTATAAACAAAGCAAAAGCATAAAGCAAAAGCACAATCTTTGTACAGGTACATCTATTGTGCAACACAGCTTCACACCAATTGTACAGAGGAGAAAAAAATTATTAGGAAATTAGGTTCAAATAGTAAGAGGGTAAAACTCACGTGAAATGCTCAGAGAAACCTTCAGCTGATCGCTTTGCAGAAGGGAAGAAGTCCAAAAGATTCTCTTCCACTTTACCTCGCTTGAGGATTGAAATAAGATCATCAAGGCTATTGTCAACCAGATACTCCTTAAAAAAGTCTGTTATAAATGAAAGAACTAGCCCTTTGGCCACAAGATTATCCTTAAGCATAGGCTGGAACACAGTCTCTGGTGGGAGCCCAGATAGTTTCTGGGAGAAAGCAAGTGCTGTGAAAATTGCCAACTTCTTCCTTTCATTTTCCTCAAATAGTTCCAGAGACTGCAGGAATCTTCGCATAACATTTTCTAGGTTCTTTATGAGAAATGGCCTACGCCGCAAAATTTTCTGTATGTAAATTACAGATGGTAAGATGACTTCACGCGTAGGCTCACAATCTATTATAGAGTAAGGATGGCGCTCCCCCTCATCAGGTTTTGTTGTTCCAGGTTGTGTACGGCCTCCTGTAAAAACAACCTGCACATACAATGAAAAGGTTCTTTATGATTTTTCAATGCTTCCTACAAAGGGGACCAAAGGAAAGAAAAAAACTGTGCACATATAATTGATATTGTAAAGTCGATAAGTGTCTCCACATATATAGACAACAGGGGGAAAAAAAGGAGAAATGTGAAATGGGAGTACCTAATGAGAGTTTAAAATAAAACAAAACAAAATGCAAAATGATCAGTAGAAATCTCACTTTCAGCAAACAATTTACAAGCTGGCGAAAAGAGATGATGAAAACAGTACCAACAACGGCCACAAGGCACTAACTTTCCAAGATGAATAAACATAACCATTTATATTTTCCATTTATCCAGATATATTACACAATTTGAAGAGAAGGAACAATCTATCAATTCTAACTCCAGACCAGCCCACAGAATTATGCAGATCACAAGCACAAGTAAATTGCTATTATTCTCAGAGCGTTAAGCCCATTCAGTACAAGCCACTTCAAGATCTAGCTTCCCGAAAGAGGCCTTGATTCTCTCTTTCCATATTTCTGTCTTAATTGAGAGAAATTGACAAATTGAAACTTTTGTAATAAACAAAGAAACTTGCCTCAAAAAAGGTATCACCGTATCTTGAGAAGTTAAGGTCTGAAGATTCAATGCTCTTGGCAATAAGTTCCTGCACATGAGAAGAAATTTACAAGTTCAATAAGGTTAACCATTTGAGCATATAACCATGGAACAAGTAAAAGATGCCAAATACTTACCAAATCACCAGCATTATCCAGATAAATCTGGACCACTGCATCCGCAAATGCTGCAGGGTCCAGCGGTGCTGCTATGTTCCGTTTGCGGGTCTTAATCCGCGTGCCACTAAATGTAGACAAGAAGTTTGGGGCAATAAATTTCACTCAAGTATGAATAGAGAAGCCAATTCATCCAAGATGCACATAACTAATTTCTACCATATGATAGATGTGTTATTAAGATTTAATAAAAAAGTAAAGCTCATGCCCAATTTTCTTCTCTGTAGGTATAATATAATCCATCATTCAAGAAATAAATACCTAAAAAGGCAACTGCTAGTGATCCATTAACTAACTTGATTGTGCCTATTTCAAAAATGGCTTAGAAAACATAGCTATAGAAAACATAATTTTCCACGACTCCACTGGAAAAGAGAGGAAAAAAGGGTGAAATTCTTCAAGAAAATTAATACTTATAAGCTACCATGTTTCATCAAACATACCTCATGCGAGTTTATAATTAAATTAAAAAAACAGAAAAGTAAATAAAATAACAAAGACTTACCCAAGAGTGGGTCTCTCCTTTGAGCTGCAAATGAGGGAAAAAAAAAAGCAATCAGAAACAAAGTAAGTAGGTATCTTTACAAAATATAGATCGAATCGTGATTACTACTAACATCAAACAAATTATGATAAGATTAACAGAAACAAAAGAGAAAAAAAGAAAATCCACAATGATATCAGAATTCACTAATCAAAAAAAAGAATAGCACATGATCGCAGATAAACAAAGTTCACAACTTCCTTCCTTCTCCCCAACACCCAAGCCAAAAAAATCCTTCCTTCTTCCCAACACCCAAGCCAAAAAAATCCTTCCTTCTCCCCAAACACCCAGACCAAAACATCCTTCCTTCTCCCAAAACACCCAAACCAAAAAAAACCTTCCTTCTCTCCAAACACCCAAAAAAAAAACAGAAAAAAAGGACAAAATCAAATATCGATAAGAACCAGTCAACACAATTATGATAGAAAAAGCAATATTAAACACTCATAACTAAAATTACAGAAACAAAACAACTAAAATAGTTTACTCAATTCAAGATCGGATACCATAAAAAAAAACGGTGAAAACCAAATATAACTGATTTTTTGGGAGGAAATCGCTTTGAAAATAACGGATCCGTAAATAGTTACCCTAGATATATACAAAGATCAAGAAATCGATACATACAGTCATGTATCTATATATACAAACAATGATCTATTCAGAGATAAAGCGAGGAGAGAGATAAGAGAGGGCGCGCACCTCATAAACCAAGATGAAAAGGATCAGAGAAGCAAAGAGTGTCTCTGAGATTCGGTGAGAGTGCTATTTTAGAGAGAGAGAGAGAGACACACACAAGGAGAGAGGGGGAGGAAAGAACAAAGAGATTTTGAGCGGTGGGTTTGGACACTGATATTAATGTTTTAGAGAGAGAGAGTTGGTAGAGAGAGAAAGGAAAGAAGAATTAAAATAAAATAAATTGTTGCTTAGAAAACACGACGAGCGCGTGCATTGCTGTAGAAAATCAATTGAAATTGTTGTTTTAAGGCACTGTACCATATAGCTACGTACTAATAATAAATAATTAATAATAATAATAATTCAAGAGGACTTAAATGAGATTAATCTCATAAAAAAAATTATATAATAACAGTAAAATTTCTAACTCTAAATTTTTTTCCATTCAGAAAAAATTGATTATCCCACTAGATTCATTGTAAATAGTTCAAGTAATTGCCAATTTAAAATAAAGGCAGTAAGCATGATCTTCATAAAAATTTGTATTCATGAGATTTTTTCTTTCCTAATATTGACTTTCTCAAAGTCAGATAGCTCATTTCAATTAATTTTGATCTAAAACCTAAAACTTGTTAACGATTGTAACGTTTCATAACTCCCTCTTTCAAATTTTGAATATTCATATAAAAACTATATTACTGAACAATACAAATGAAGAGTTGCTGCGGAACAATGCAAATGATTGAGATGGCTAGATGTAGCAGGACATAAATACTATGAACTTCATAGTGTTATTCACAAATTATGGGAACTACAAATTACAACCATCACAAATCATATACATCATTATGGTAATTCAAAACAACAGCTAGAGTTGAACTTATAATGAATAAATATCAAAATAACCAAAAAAAAGCCACATTGGAATCACCACAAGCTACTAAAATTAATGCATAGAGAGCATCAGTATTGAAGATACAAATTAGAAGCAATAAAAGTACAGATCAAAGGGCCCAGAATGAAACAAATTGTGACAGTAGCTGCAGCTAGCCCCAATGATTGGCCTAACCACTGATGTGCCTGCAAGAAATGCTAAAACCATAGCATAAATGGACCATTCACTGAGCAAGAAGGCATATTTTAACAAGAAAGTAGCAATATAATCCCTTTTAACTCCTGAAGCCCCAAAATTAAGAAACATCGAGGCAGTTGATAAACCAAATGCAAATGAATTTGCCATCACAAATACTCTAAAGCCAGATGCTTTGCTTAAAATTGCCAAGCCTTGATTATCTTGGCCATCCTTGTAGTACCCACCAGGCATTCTGAAACCCGCCACAAAGTTGACAGCGGCAATGATAGTTACTACCAGCAAGTTAACATTGCCAATTTCCTTGAAACATTGAGATGCATTCTTTTTCTCTCTTGCAGGCTTTGCTTCTTCATGGAGAGCTTCAGCTGCACCTTTTCCAGGTTCTTTTCTCTCTTTGTAGTGGTTCGTCATGTTCCTGAGCATCACTAGCATACACTTCTTCAGTTTTTATGGTGTCCAATTCTTCCAAACTTCTTACAGTACCTCTTATCCTCAATTTTGAGCCAGCAAGTATTTGGGAGGGAAAAAAAAAAGATTGCCATAAATCTTTCTGTATTAGTCCATGAATTTTGCAATATAATTGAATTCTGACATCTTGGATATGTGGAGAATACCTTTCCATGTTGTCTAAACTTCGTACTTAATTTAGTAATGTCAAATGTGGTCAAACGCCACTTGTTTATAGCCCCTTTGTCAACTCTACAATCATTTGCTAGCAATAATAAAGTTTTACAGTGCCCTTGAAGAGCAGCACAATGGAAAGGGGCGTTTCCATCTTTACCTCGATTGTTTATGATATCTGCAAAAACTAGTGTTGATAGGAATACCTTGACCACACTGTTCCTACCACTTTCTGCAGCAACTTGGAGAGCTGTACGATCTGTATTATCCAATAACTCAGACATATCGGGATATTTTGCAATAAGCTGTAGCACAACATCATCATGACCAGCCTTTGCAGATATGTGAAGAGCAGACGTGCCTGCTTTGTCCTCCACAGAAGCTAGGGAGGTATCAAATTGTAGCAAGAGGTCAACAACTTCTGCATTGCCCAAATATGCAGCATGGTGAAGAGGAATCCATCCAAACTTATCAGCTTCAGAAATTGCAGACAGACACCTCTTTAGCACCTCACCTATGAAATCTGAGAGGGAGAATGAGTTTGGCTTAGATAAAAAATCACATATAGTTAACTTTATTTTGCTTCTGATATTTATCTTCTACAACTGAGGTGAATACAAATTACACGTATAATAGATAACTTCAACATTGCTTATGTTTGCCATGATTTTCTGCGAGTTGTTACCATTGATGCTTGCCCACCAAATGCAAGAATGTGTGCCCCTCCAGGACATCTAATAAGTAGTTTTTGTTGGTAATGTTTTTTGAAACTACAATAATCCCTATTTGATCTCTATAGTTTTGACAGGAAACCTAGATGAATTTGATGTTGAAGATAGTTCCTAGAGCCATTTGCTATTAGAATCCTAAAAAAATAAGAGCAAGTTGGTTCGGTTTCAATCAGTTTATCAACTTTTTAACTCTCTGATAAGTTTGCTTGATCAGGTCAGATCAGGCGAACATCCAAAATGGGAAACATGCGTGATAGATCAACAACATACTTCCATAAGGTTGTGAAATTTTCCAAAACAACATTTTCATGTATAAAAACAATAAATTCAGAAGGAGATTATGTTTCAGGGTAAGAAGCGTTTACTTGCCCCAATGAAGCTAAACTTGTAAGATAATTTGATTTGTGAACAGCGGATCTTGGAAGAAGCAGGAAGGAACTTGTTTATATACAGGACAAAAATCTTCCAGTACACAGCCATAATTTGTATGACCATATTTTTCAGAACAATCAGAAACTCTACAAGCCATAGATTAACAAAGGCATAAGTTAGCCAATTCAGGAATGAAATCAGGAGTCAAGAGCCAGAAGGAAATAAGTGATTCAAAAAAAAGATAATAATATATGAAACTTGAAAGTTATGTCTTTGACCATAAAATAGGAACTTTACAACCCTGATATCAAAAGCATGAGGATATCCTAGGTTCTTTTTGATTTACAGTGATGAACCACTCACGGATAATCCATTGATGTTGAACTCTCACTGGAAAACTTACTCTTCTCAGCTCTAATGATTGCCACAAGCAAAACATTCATACTGTTCCTTCCTCCATAAGAGCAAGTACGAGCAACTTCAAGAATAAGGCAAGCAATTTTGTAGAACTTCCTATCCACAGTAAGGAAGAGTGGAGATTCTCAAGCATTATTTACAACTCGAGCCAATTCTGGTTCTTCATTTATCAGTAAATTCACAATCTCAAAGTGCCCATTTCGTGCAGCCTCATGCAAAGCAGTATCTTTTTCCAGATTCTGCATCCTCAGCAGTTCCTTCTCCACTTCAACCTCTATGAGTTTTGCACAATTAATTAGAAATTGAGTCACCTGGAGACGTCCCAATCTTGAAGCTATATGTAGTGGTGAATCGCCTTTTGAGTTGGTTTGATGCAGAAGTGATGGATGTAAAGGAATGATCTTTTCTGCCATCTGCAACTCTCCACATTTTGCTGCGATATGGAGAACGGAATTTTGGCAGCCAGATGTCACTTGTAGCAAGTTATATGAATCAGTATTTCTGAGATTCTCAAAGAATCTTTGATCTCCAGAAATTACAACAAGATATAATTTGGGATCCATCACTATTCAGTACAGACCTAAGCTGATCTATGCACAAACAAAAAGAAATAGACAGAACAAAAGGGAAACAAAAGAAACTCATGTTTGACCTTTCTTTCATCAATGATACAGTCAAGCATGTCTTGAAAAATCTTCTCATTTACAAGTTTTCTATAGATTATTATAAGAACATCGCTATGTCCACTCCAAAACAGCCTTCCATGTCCTTCCAAGCAATGGTTGGCTTTGTCTTCTTCTCTGTCCAGTAATAATCTAAACAGATAGTGAAATGGTAATTTATTTTGCTTTCAAAAACAAATGGGACAGCCTTTTACTTTCAGAGACCATTCTTTCTTATTCAATAAACATAACTCAATACATGCATTAAATTGGCGTTAATTCAATTTATGCACTTACAAATAATAGGCTAGAAGCTTCTTAAGAATCAAAACAAATGCCATTTAATTCAGATGTGGCTGATATAATGAGTTACATTATCAAAGTTATCAACTTTAAACTTGATTTACTCTGGAAGTGATTTCTGAAGCATAAAACCATCAAAAAAGCATCACCGTTTGTTTAGTAAAAGAAAAATGGAAATATGAAGAAAAGAAAAACCTTCGCTTAGACCATCCAACAGACACCTTAAGCGCATTTGTAAAACTCATTAAGTTGCTTCGCATAAAATAAATGGATGTTTAAGAGTACAAGAATGAGAACTTGACGTTCGTGCGATAAGATACTCTCTCAGGACATAAATCAAACATATTGCAGACAGAATGGGAAACTAAATTTTTAAAATAAAACCTATTATTTCACTTCTCGATTCCCTCCTGAGAGGCGAGCGAGTTGTCTACTATAATTGAATCGCTGAGAGAGCTTTTTGGCTGCTGTTCAGCATTCATTTGCTGTTCCATGTCCCTTAGCCTTGTCCTCACCACGCTTGTAACTAGAACTGTAAAAAAAGAAAAATGGTATATCAGTGTGTGTTAAAAAGCAGTGCAAAGCAGAGAGAAAATCAGAGAAAGAGAGAGTGGTGAGTGTACTGGCGGCGGTGCCAATGGTCCAAAGCCAGAGGATCTTGAGGCCTGGACTCTTCTCTCTCGGCATTTTACAAATGGACAGGCAAGTACTTCACTGAATTTGCTAAAAATAAGCAAAAGAGAACAAGAACAAGAACAAAAATTAGCAATTTGTACGTCTGATTTTTGAACGGGAAGTCTTCGCACAGTCTGCACGACAAAAAATGCTGTTTGCTGACGAGGCAAAAGTTTCCCTCGAACTCTGCATATGAGATGGAAAAGTTTCCTTCGCGTAAGAGAGATTTATAATAGTCACGGGCGGAATCGAAAAGGCCGAGTAACCCAAAAAGCCCAAAACTTGAGGGCTAAAAGCCCTTAATTTTTGAAAGACCAAAGCCAACTAACCTAACATTCAGTTACGCTCCCTAATACAAGCGCTTCCATGGCCACAAGCCTTCGCTGACAGTGTTGAAGATGTCGAAGACGTTGATCACGCGGCGAAGTATTTTGGAGACCACTTATTCAGCTCCAGTTTTTAGGAGATTTCAATTTCAACAAGAAATAGTTATGGGTACGATATTTACCAATTCAATCACCTGTGCTGGTTATACTAGTTACAGAAATAGACATAAAGGTTCAAGCTTTGACAAATTTTTAGGAGAGAAATGTAAATATGGGTCATTTACTAATGTTGATGATGCCTTAGTTTCGTTTGATCGGTTGCTTCATACAAATCCTCCTCCTTCTATTATGCAATTTAATCAGTTATTATCTGCACTTGTAAGAATGAAGCATTATCACACTGTGGTTTCCTTGGTTGGAAAAATGGAGTTATTAGGAATCTCATTTAATGTTTATACTTTTACTATTTTGATTAATTGCTTTTGCCATATGCACCTTGTAGATTTTGGGTTCTCAATTTTAGGGAAAATTCTCAAATTTGGATTTCAGCCCAGCATTGTAACATTGAATACCTTAATTAATGGACTATGCACAGAGGGTAAAGTTGTTCAAGCGGTGGAACTTTTAGATGAGATAGTAGCCAGAGGGTATCAACCTACTGTATATACTCATACTAATATAGTTAATGGTCTGTGTAAAATTGGGAAAACCATTAGGTTTACGTTATGATCGGTATATTGCTTTGATACAAAGCCTCCCTTCCCATTCTACTTATGCCAATTTCAATCAGATTTAATTAAGACATCTGCACTTGTAAGAATGAAGCATTATCACACCGTAGTGGTTCACATGTGGTTGGAAAGAATGGAGAGTATTAGGAATCTTCAATTTCAATGTTGATACTTTTACTATACTGTTGATTATATGTCTTTTGCCATATGACAAGCCTGTTAAATTTTGGGTCTCCAGATTTTGGGGGAAAATGTCTCAAAATTTGGATTTCAGCCCAGCAGCTTGTAACATTGAAATACACCACTTAAATTAATGGAGCTATGCACAGAGGGTAAAGTTGTTCAAGCGGGAAGCTGTTTAGGATGAGGGATAGTAAGCCAGAGGGTGATACACCCTAGCTGTAATATACTCATACTAATATAGTTAATGAGGTCCTGTGTAAAAATTGCCCGGAAAAGAATCACAGCTATGGCTATTGTGTTGGTATGAAAAAAAATGGTATTGAGAAGATTGGCTTGTGAGCCTGAAGGTGATGGCGATATACGATACAGAGGATCATTGAATAAGTACTTTGAGGAAGGCATAAAGTTACCGAGGCCTTTAGACCTCTTTTACTCAAATGAGGAGTATAGGACCAGGATGTCATCACCTGAGACGTTGTCCTTACAACTCACTAATTTCAGTGGTCATGAGCAATTTGGGTCAATGTGAAGCAAAGCAGACAAGCCATGTTAGAATTCAAAGAATGGCGACAGTGGAGATACATAGCGTCCAGATATATTTTACTTTTAGTAATAATATGGTATCGAGTGCACTTTTGTAAGGAAGGAAATGTTTTTGGAGGCCAAGGTAAGTTGCGTAAGATGAATTCCAAAGGGGCATTGAGCCTGATTTATTCAATAGACTACAGCTCTTAAATCCGTAGGTCTCTGCAATTCTAGGCCAAATGACAGGAATCGACCCACTTTGGTGAAATGAATATGATCAAGCGAAGAACACATACACCTGCCAGATGTGTGTACATTTTCGAGAATGAACATTGGGATTGATCAGTGTTATATAATGAGTTACATTATCAAAGTTATCAACTTTAAACTTGATTTACTCTGGAAGTGATTTCTGAAGCATAAAACCATCAAAAAAGCATCACCGTTTGTTTAGTAAAAGAAAAATGGAAATATGAAGAAAAGAAAAACCTTCGCTTAGACCATCCAACAGACACCTTAAGCGCATTTGTAAAACTCATTAAGTTGCTTCGCATAAAATAAATGGATGTTTAAGAGTACAAGAATGAGAACTTGACGTTCGTGCGATAAGATACTCTCTCAGGACATAAATCAAACATATTGCAGACAGAATGGGAAACTAAATTTTTAAAATAAAACCTATTATTTCACTTCTCGATTCCCTCCTGAGAGGCGAGCGAGTTGTCTACTATAATTGAATCGCTGAGAGAGCTTTTTGGCTGCTGTTCAGCATTCATTTGCTGTTCCATGTCCCTTAGCCTTGTCCTCACCACGCTTGTAACTAGAACTGTAAAAAAAGAAAAATGGTATATCAGTGTGTGTTAAAAAGCAGTGCAAAGCAGAGAGAAAATCAGAGAAAGAGAGAGTGGTGAGTGTACTGGCGGCGGTGCCAATGGTCCAAAGCCAGAGGATCTTGAGGCCTGGACTCTTCTCTCTCGGCATTTTACAAATGGACAGGCAAGTACTTCACTGAATTTGCTAAAAATAAGCAAAAGAGAACAAGAACAAGAACAAAAATTAGCAATTTGTACGTCTGATTTTTGAACGGGAAGTCTTCGCACAGTCTGCACGACAAAAAATGCTGTTTGCTGACGAGGCAAAAGTTTCCCTCGAACTCTGCATATGAGATGGAAAAGTTTCCTTCGCGTAAGAGAGATTTATAATAGTCACGGGCGGAATCGAAAAGGCCGAGTAACCCAAAAAGCCCAAAACTTGAGGGCTAAAAGCCCTTAATTTTTGAAAGACCAAAGCCAACTAACCTAACATTCAGTTACGCTCCCTAATACAAGCGCTTCCATGGCCACAAGCCTTCGCTGACAGTGTTGAAGATGTCGAAGACGTTGATCACGCGGCGAAGTATTTTGGAGACCACTTATTCAGCTCCAGTTTTTAGGAGATTTCAATTTCAACAAGAAATAGTTATGGGTACGATATTTACCAATTCAATCACCTGTGCTGGTTATACTAGTTACAGAAATAGACATAAAGGTTCAAGCTTTGACAAATTTTTAGGAGAGAAATGTAAATATGGGTCATTTACTAATGTTGATGATGCCTTAGTTTCGTTTGATCGGTTGCTTCATACAAATCCTCCTCCTTCTATTATGCAATTTAATCAGTTATTATCTGCACTTGTAAGAATGAAGCATTATCACACTGTGGTTTCCTTGGTTGGAAAAATGGAGTTATTAGGAATCTCATTTAATGTTTATACTTTTACTATTTTGATTAATTGCTTTTGCCATATGCACCTTGTAGATTTTGGGTTCTCAATTTTAGGGAAAATTCTCAAATTTGGATTTCAGCCCAGCATTGTAACATTGAATACCTTAATTAATGGACTATGCACAGAGGGTAAAGTTGTTCAAGCGGTGGAACTTTTAGATGAGATAGTAGCCAGAGGGTATCAACCTACTGTATATACTCATACTAATATAGTTAATGGTCTGTGTAAAATTGGGAAAACCAGCTTGGCTATTGGTTGGTTGAAAAAAATGGTTGAGAGTGGTTGTGAGCCTGAGGTGATGGCGTATAGTACAATCATTGATAGTCTTTGCAAGGATAGGCTAGTTACTGAGGCTTTAGACCTCTTTTCTCAAATGAGGAGTATAGGCATTTCACCTACCGTTGTCACTTACAACTCATTAATTTATGGTATGAGCAATTTGGGTCAATGGAAGCAAGCAGCAGCTTTATTCAAAGAAATGCGACAGTGGAACATAGCTCCAGATATATTTACTTTTAGTATATTGGTTGATGCACTTTGTAAGGAAGGAAATGTTTTGGAGGCCAAAGGTATGTTTGGTAAGATGATTCAAAGGGGCATTGAGCCTGATTTATTCATCTACAGCTCCTTAATCCGTGGTCTCTGCAATTCTAGCCAATGGAAGGAATCGACCACTTTGTTGAATGAAATGATCAAGCGAAACATCCCTCCAGATGTTGTTACATTCAGTACATTGGTTGATGTGTTCTGCAAGAAAGGAATGCTTTCAGAGGCTCAAATTATTGTCGATATGATGATTCAAAGAGGCTTAAAGCCCAATGTTGTCACTTACAATTCATTGATAGATGGATATTGTCTCCAAAGCCAAATGGATGAGGCCCGAAGAGTATTTGATGCAATGGTCAGCAAGGGTTGTATACCTGATGTTCTTAGTTACAACATCTTGATTAAAGGATACTGTATGAGTGGAAGGATAGATGAGGCAAGTCAACTTTTTGATGAAATGCCACAAAATGGATTGATTCCTAACTTAATTACTCACACTACTCTAATACGTGGCTTATGCCATACAGGGAGACCTCATGCAGCAGAAGAGCTTTTCAGTAAAATGAGTTCTCATGGCTGTCCTCCAGATATAATAACTTACTCAACTTTGCTTGATGGCTTTTGCAAACAAGGGCACCTTGATGAAGCACTGGCGCTATTTCAATCTATGAAAAAAAGCCAGTCGAAACCTAATAATGTGATCTATAATATCCTGATTGGCGGCATGTGCAAGGCTGGGAGGCTTAAAGATGCAGAGGAACTGATTTCTTGTCTTTCAGTTGAAGGGTTTTAGGCTAATATTTGAACATCTAGTTTATTAATATGTGGCCTTGAGAAGAATTAAAAGATGAATAATATAGATTTCCCCAAAAATGGAGGAAGATGACTGCTGAACTAATAGCTGCTCTTTGTCATGAAATGGCCAGTGCATGCATTTCTGCAAATTCCACAATGACCGCCTTGGTCGTGGAGCTTCTGTCAAGTACTATATATTGTTCTGAAGATGCTTCAAGGGTTTTCTCAAGGCTCTCAAGGTGCATATGTGAAGTGAGATATTTATATTAATGAATCTTCAATGGATACAGAAAACTGCAAGGAGCTTCAAATATGTTGTAAGTTATTGGTACTTGAATCTCTTTTAACATTTGATCAATGCCACTGGTCAATTGCTTTTGCTTTATAGGGAAACCTAATTTTCTCAGGCTTTTTGGGGATCAGGTAGCCATTTACTGAAGCAAATGTCTACATACGCCACTGAGGCAAAATCTTGAATGATATAGCCAACTAATTTTGTTGGAGAGAATTCAAGATCTTTTGCATTGACAGGATCTCTACTTATATAGGAAACCTGGGCACTTACCTTGAAATTGTTTTCCAGCAACTTGACGTAAGTATCTCAAATTTCTTATGTAAATAGTTCTGTACCAAGAATGTGATGACTCTGGTGAGTATCAATAGTTCTTCTATATATGGTTGTCCTGTGTTGAATTCATTTTGAAATTTGAGCTCGAAATATCTTAATATGATGACATCTGACTAAAATTCCCAATTCTGATGTGAAACTGCTCACTTCAGTTATCTTGTTCTCATATCAGTATCCTGCTTTTGAAGGTTATGTATTGTCATAAAATGTGCAGCTTTCATTTTGGATTCAACAAATTTGCTCTCTGATATGGTTAAAACACTAGATGCCAGGAATTTCGAACTCCTTGCACACAAAGAATTCATGTTCAGAAAGTTAAAGACAAGGTGATATGACTGATATAAATTCAATCAAATAATGGATTTAGATTCTATTATATTTGTCTATTTTCATTGTTCTTTCTATGTCACTCTCTCTCTATATGAATCCATATTAATATATATATATAGTACAGCCATGTGTCAGTTTGCAACTTTCTTGGGGGACATCAAAGGTGATGATGATGATAATAATGTTGCAGCAAGAATTTTAGGAGCTACTTCAGCTTCAGATTTAAGGAGCTTGAGCAAGAAGTGCAAATGGGTATATTCAATCTCCTACCTTGCATCCTGTTTAGTTTTTCTTTTAATGTTTCAATGCTAGAATAGAAAAGATGCATTCTTTGTCAAATTTAAGTTCCAGCAATTTAAAGGAAAGGAATGGCTAGGAATCACATAATGATTATGCTATTTACATCTTGACAAAGTGCTTTTCACTTACACTGTGTGGGATTTGGGTTCTACGTGCTGAGTGAAGTCTCTAAACTTCAAGTCAACTTCGAAGTAACTAGTATGCCAATATTGTAAAGTTTACTCCCTTAATTAACTGGCTGTGTATAGACATAAAATCACTTTAGAGCCTAATCTTCCTACCAATTCTGTGCTTGTAAGTCATCTTTGATTGGGAAACTGAACAGCAAAATCCGATTGCTGAAGAAAATGGTTGAGAGAGAAAGCGAAGAACAATGCAATCAACTAGTTTCATCAAATTTGAGCTCATATCATTTGGACAACAAATTTTTTTCCTGATCAATTTCTTTGGACTTTGGTGAAAAGATGATAATGTTAGGGGGACTTAGACATCTCATGTACTTCTCTAGATGGCACTGTTCCCTTGTCCATGTCAAGATTAAGCGATCTGTTGATTTTTATTCTCTCTAGCAACAACTTGACTGGAAATTTACCTCAATCATGAAATGATATACCGTATGTTTTATGTTATAGACTTTTCAAACAACAGTTTATCAGGCAGCATATCAACAAGTTTGGATTCACTTATTGGACCCAAATTGTTAAGGCAAAGGAACAATAGGCTTTTCTTGGGTCCCTTCAGCCTTACAAAACTGCACACAAGTAGAAACTCTTAATCTTGGAGATAATGAGTATTCAGGAAAGGTTCCTGAATGGATTGCAGAGAAGCTCCAACCTGTGCTGATTATAAGCCTGAGATCAAATTTGCTTACGGGAGAAATTCCATCTAATTTATGCAGTCTGTACTCTCTTCATATGCTGGACCTAGCACAAAATGACTTTTCAAGAGATATTCCAAACTGCATTGGCAATTTGAGTGGAATGACAACTGTTCTTGACCGTGCAAGGTATGAAGGACGGTTGTGGATAGTGGCAAAAAGTAGAGAATACTTTTATGATGGCACCTTTTATCTCGTAAACAGCGTAGATCTATCAGACAATAACCTATTTGGAGAAATGCCAAAAGGTTGATAGATCTCTCAAGATTAGGAACTTCGAACTTGTCCATGAATCAATTGAATGTTAAAATACCAGCTGATATTGATAACTTACAAAGACTCAAAACTTAAGATCTTTCAATTAACAATGTTTGTGGTACAATCCCTCTAAGCATGACCTCCATTATTTCTCTTAATCATTTGAACTTCCCATTTGAGTGTCCGATCAGATCCAACCATTTATGGAGGAAATCCTGCACCATATGACCTTCCAGTACCCACAAGGTGCAATGGCGACAAAGATGAAAAACCTGATCCTCTACTAAAAGGAATCTATGATGAAGAAAAAGAAGATAGAGATGAAAATGAAATGTTCTGGTTTTACATAAGCATAGTTCCAAGGTTTGCTGTAGGGCTTTGGGTCATCTGTGGAACTCTAATAGCAATGAAGACATCGAGACAATCCTTTTTCTAGTTCATTGAATGACACGAGAGACAGGTTGTTTGCTGCTTTTTCTGTCACATTTGCTCGCTTGAAAAGATCGTAAGCAGTAAGATACTTGGGAGGGGAGATAACACTAGAAGGTGCTGTAGAATACAGGTATGTGAAAGCTTTGTTATACTGGAAGTAGATGTACTCTATATTGATTGAAATAAATCATTCTGAGAAGTCTTTGTCAAATGATAGGCTAGGACATGTTATCAGCAAGACTAAGTGTATATAGAAAATTTTGAGTATAAGTGTTACACAAAAGATTTCACAAAATCCAAGATCATGAAATTTCCTTTTTGCTATTCTTGAGAACTTTCTTTGACCTTGTTGTTCTGAATGTCTGACCGTTGCATGAATGTGAGAAAGAACTAGAATATAATGTGGATGAGCTAATGAGTTTTCATCTAATAGTACTGTAAAGTTTCGAGTTTGAATCCCAGTCAGAGCTAATTAACTGAAAATAGATACTCTAAATGACAGCCATCGGATTGGATCAGCTGTACAGATGCTAATCCAAGGGACCTAAATTATTCTTCTAGATTATGGGAATCTGCAGATGATATTCAATTTATTGACATCTCACAACTGCTTATGCACCTAACTCTAATGAAAACTGACTCAATTTAAAAGAAATATGGTTAGCAAGGTAAAGTATAACTTCTGATTTAACACCTTTGGATCTTTGCTTATGTTTTGTTATTCAGTACCTTCTATATTTTTCCTTTTCAGGTCCAAGCAATGATGAACACGACACAAAGCAGTATGTATTTGATGCAAATAAACAATAACAAAATACAATGTACAGTATACTGGTTTAGACATTGACATGTATAAGACAAAAGGCAGTATATTAGTGCAAATGAAATAAGAAAGAAATATATTTATGTCAGGCTTGAATTGAGTGAAGGTGATTCATCCTCTTGGGATAGGATTTTAGTCTTGTATGTATATATATATTTTATTGACATAAACAATGAGAAAAATTGGTAGCAGAGATGCAGTGCTTTGTTTGACTCTGGAAGAGGATGCCAAATTTGACTGAATGCTTTTGGTTTTTGGCCTACTTTGGGGTTGTTAACTTGTTACTAGCAGCGGCAAAAATTTAATGGCTATATTTGTGGGCAAAGTCTATACTTTGCATTTTCAAAGTTAGACATTTTAAAAGGTAATACTCACTCGATCTCATTATATTTGCTTGTTATTTCTTTTTGAAATATTTGCAAGATTTTTAAATTTATATATTTAAATGATTATTTTTTCGAGAATCATATCTATGATTATTTATTAAATAAATGATTTTTATTAATATCTTAATGAGTAAAAGATAAAAATGATAATAATTTTTATTGACTAAATTTTTAATATATGTATTTTGTCAAACCATATAAATAAAATGGGACGGAAAAAAATATTATATTAGATAAAATTGTCAAATAAGGGATAGAAAAGGGAAATGCTATACTCTCACGGTTCATTAAGTGAAATTTTGACCACAAAATATCATGGAAATTTTTTAAAATTTTATCTTATAAAACAATGATTTTTTCTTTTTTTTTTTAAATTTAGCCTCCTTTACCTTAATTTTTTAGACAGTCTCCATCTCTTACCCTAATAATAAATAGGGATTAAAATCTTACAATAATCTTATAATAACAAAAGATTGTGTATATATATAAAAAAAATCATATCGAGATATTCATACTTGTAAATACAACAAATCTTGTAAAACTTTGACTAAAACCTAAAAACTAGTAATAAACAATTAATTAGTGGGTCCATCACATATTTTTTTAATTGTAATCCTAATTAAGCAAATTACCAAATATCAAAGATTTGCCAAATTACCTATTAAAATCAATAATCAAAATTGCATAAGAATCACAAGTTAAAGAAAAAAAAAAAAATGCTTCCATTCATAATTCGCGGATACTTCCACAACTCCATATATACACTTCCAAGTAATTGGAAAAATATATTAAACATAAAACAAAAAAGAGGAAAAATGTCTGTAGCCTCTCGCATGCTAAATACCCCTACCACCACCAGACTCTCTTCCTCACTTACCTCCTCTGCTTCATCTCGCTCTCCTCTGTTTCTTTCTTCCAATTTTGCCCTTCCATCTCTTCTTCGACTGCCTCCCATTCTTAAATCTTCTTCCCCTCCCTTCTCGAGGGTTTTTTCGTCTTCTCTGCCCTCAACCTCCGCTACTACCTCCATGGGTGACGCTCCAGATGCTGGCATGGACGCTGTCCAGAGACGCCTTATGTTTGAGGATGAGTCTGTTTTTAATCTTTGGCCTTCTGGTTAATTGTTATTTACGTGTTATTGCTTTGATTAAATTGCTGTGTAGCTGTGTTCGCATAAGTCTTTTGGTTATTCTTATTTTCCACTTATATTGGTTTTGGTAATACTGATACTGAAACACTTCAGAATTATAAGAATCTCTCTCTCTCTCTCTCTCTTTATTTTCTATTGTGCTCTTTATTTCCATGTTTCACATGTTCGCATTAGTCCGTGTTTGACTTTATAGTTGAAAATTTTCTAGTTTTTTGGGTTGTAAGTTAAACAGAAAGTGTATTTGTATATTAAGATTTGGATTTAGTTGTATGTATATGTCTTAAAGTTTCAATCTTTTATCGTGTTCTATTCATATGTGTTAATTGATTTTCTGGGTTCGTTTTGTCTATTGATTAGAGCACTTAAAATGAAGGATCTGCTTTGACTCTAATAGGAAAAGGTTGAAAAGTTAAAAGAAAAAAAATGCTGTTGGAAGTTATCTAGATGAGTTCGGTTGAATGAATCACTGGCTCGTTTGAAAAGGCTGATCTTTTATTGGATTAAAGTAGATTAGAGGAACGAGATTTTAGATTTCTTTTCTCTTATATTATTTAAACGGTTGGATAATAGACTTTTTAACAAAGTTCTTTTTTTTTTAATCCACTCAACCTTAGAAGTTAGAACTTTGGTTTGGTTAATGTTTATATTCCATGTCTTATGGATCTGAATTCAGATCCACTTTTTAACATCTGGGAAGTTCCTTTTTTGTGTTTTGCTTTGAAGTTGCAATCTGCATATTTTACTGGGGTTGCAAAATAAAATGAAAATAACATGTGAGTATGACTTGTGTCTTGATTATCATTTTCCTATTTATATTGCTTGCAGATGCATTCTAGTGGATGAGAATGATAAAGTCGTTGGTCATGTCTCCAAATATAGCTGTAAGTAAAATTTCCCATTCATAACTTTCTGTAATCTATTCTATGTTAAAAGGTTTTTGGGAATTTAGCATTTAGTGATGTTGAAAATTTGTGTTGTACATAATACGTTATTTATGTTGTTAGTTCAAATGACCTGAATAAGCAATATGCTGGAAAAGGAAGAAATCTTAATCCCCAGCTTGTAGTTAAAATCTTACCATTAAATTTGAATTCCGTTGTATTTGTTTTGATAACTCAAGATCGTACTATTCAGGTCCATATGCACACAGGATAAATTGTGGTCATCTTTGTTTTCTCATATTTTGATGCTTTCGGAATTTGCAGGTCATTTATGGGAAAATATTTTGAAAGGGAACTCGTTACACAGAGCCTTTAGTGTATTTCTCTTCAACACAAAATATGAGCTCCTACTTCAGGTATGTGATTACTACTCATGGGTTAGATTATAGGGGTTTTTATGTTATGTTTCAGAGTTTAAAGCTCAATATTATTCCTGTTTCTCTTTTTAGATCTTTTCTGTATCATCTTAAACACACAAGGTTTTGCATTTATTGGTGAATGCATGACTGAAAATTTCAAGTGGTACTAACAACTTAAAGTTATGAACCTTATTGGTTTTTTTACCTGATTCCAGAGTAGTAGAATGTTAGAACAAACTTATGAGTATGACAGAGAACAGTAGATTCTTGGAGGACAAACCTATATATATAACACATGATAACTTGTTATATATCTGTAATTGTAACTTTTTGTGCACTTTATTCGAAAACTGAAGATGGAAATAAGAAATGTCATTTAAGTGTGGTTTTCTTTTCTGTATATAAAGATTAGTGCAAACTGCCCATGCCAATGGACAGAACTTGAGACCTAAATGCCAAGTTTAGGAACCAATAAAAAATTTAGATGACTTGTTCTAAGATCTGTCTTTGTGGCTCAAAGAACGTGAATGGGTTAGACAAATTTCATTGGCAATTATTTCATGAAAGTTATGGTATATTGAGATTACATGCATTTTTCAATGTTGACAGCAACGCTCTGCAACAAAGGTCACATTCCCCCTTGTGTGGACAAACACTTGCTGCAGTCATCCTTTGTACCGTGATTCTGAGCTTATCGAAGAGAATGCTCTTGGTACATATTTCTGTATTTCTATCCCAATAAAAACTCAATCTCCAATTTCACTGGAAGATCAGTAATGATTTTCTTTTTCTTATATCAGGTGTGAGGAATGCTGCACAAAGGAAGCTTTTGGATGAGCTTGGTATCCCTGCTGAAGATGTTCCAGTTGATCAGTTTACCTCATTGGGGCGTATACTATACAAGGCACCTTCTGATGGAAAGTGGGGAGAGCATGAACGTAATAGTTTGATGATTAATTTTACTCTTTCCTCTATTCAATTTATATTATCTGAATCTTTTGAATTGAGTATGCCAGTAACTGCATCCCTACTAACAGTATGCTGGGTCTTTCGCAGCTTTTATATTTAATCTATATGTTGTTGCTGTTTCCACCAGAATCTCCTTGACTGTCTTTTTTTTTTCCCCTCCTTAATTTACAGTTGATTATCTGCTCTTCATAGTTCGTGATGTTAATGTAAATCCAAACCCTAATGAGGTAGCTGATATCAAGTACGTTAACCGAGATCAGTTGAAGGAACTATTAAGGAAAGCAGATGCTGGTGAGGAAGGTTTGAAGCTGTCACCATGGTTTAGACTAGTTGTTGACAACTTCTTGTTCAAATGGTGGGAACATGTTGAGCAGGGGACACTCAAGGATGTGGTTGACATGCAAACAATTCACAAGTTAACTTAAGATTTTAAAGCAAATTTGGGACAAAGTTTGATTGTGTGGTATCACCTGTAGCTTTATTTAAATAAATTTGGTCATTTAGGAGTTCTAAGCAAGTTAGCTTTCCGTATCCATTGTAACCTTCAATATTTTCCGAAGAGAGTTTATTTTAGCCTGGTTATGCTGAATTTTGAGTTATTACCTGAAACCAGCTGGGCATAACGTCTTGTATTATAATCTAGAATTGGCTTTTATGATTTAAGAACTTAATAAAGACTTTTATACTTGCATTGATTTTCTCTTGACAATGGAATGGTCCTACACACACCAAATCAACCAATCTATATGAGCATAACCTTGCTTTTGTGACATCTGAGAGGGACTATTTTGCCTAAGAAACTTTTTCTGATTACAACCTTACCAATCTGTATAATAGTTTTACAGTATAGAAGTACCAGTATGAGAATAGCCTTATCTCTCTTTTCTTATTAAAATTAAATGTTTACAGCGAAAAAGACAAAAAGAGATTAGACCTGCCGCTACCCCAAGATCTGAGCTAAATTTGAGAAATACCAGCCATTGTCTCTCACCAGTCCTAAAAGGAGGAGCAGACAAGTGGAAAAATAATTCCTTGATTGAATCTGTTTAATGCAATTTCTATCTATAAATATAATGCAAAAATGAAATAGAACAACTCCAAGTGGCATGTGCTGGCATGTGCTAACATGTGATCGTGGATTATAGCTCAGTTGTTCATACAGATAACTTTCAGAAATTAAGGGCAAAAGAAAGAGAAAGAGCACAGCAAAGAGTTCCCTTAAGACTGTCCATAACAATTCAAAACCATTCTGTGAAATTAACAACCGCACTATTGAACATTGCTATGACACAACAAAGAGCTTTGAGTTTTAACTCTAGAAATGACAAACAGAATATCATAATCTTTTGCACCTTCAGAGAAAATTTGCAAGATTGTCTCTAAAATTCAAAGGTGAATTCAAGAACCATGAGCTTACAAATAAGAATTACAACAGAACCTACTCGCTGTGAATAGCTTTTTGGAAAATACTCTCTTTCATAGAAAAAGGCAGCTCAGACAGACAACTCAGATCGAGAAATAAGGATCCCGTCAGTGTCTGCATAAAGCCATTCCCCATCACTGATTCTGGTCCCTCCAATGGCTATTGGAACATGTTTCTCCCCATTTCCCTTTTTATTGGCTTTCATTGGATGAGAAGCCAGAGCCCTGACCCCGATATCACAACCATTGATCTCATCAACATCCCTAATGCAGCCATTGACCACTATACCTGCCCACCCATTATTCTGAGCTTGTACCACCGGGTTACCTCCCAATATTGCACATCGCAAACTGCCACCCCCATCTACAACAAGAACTCTGCCATTGCCCTTCTCCTCAAGAAACTCACGAATCAGAACATTGTCTTCAAACACCTTAAGCGTCACTACTGGACCAGAGAAGACTTGACGCCGACCATAAATCTGAAACATTGGCTGGAGAGCCCGGAGTTCTCCACTCACAATGAGTTGTGGATTCGCATCACAAACTTCAGCAGTTGTGACAAATGCCATCTCTATTCAGTGCCTTAATAACATAAAGCATCAAATGCATTAGAATAGTAATAGGAAAAATATTATTAATTCATATTTCACATCTTGAACTGCAAGATAATAGTTAAGTATCAACTATCAACAATACTGGCAAACTAATAGGTATGGTTTCCAGTTTTATCACAGTTGCTAGATGTAACCCCATTGAGTCTGGATTTAAAACAATTATACTCTCTAGTGGTTTCCTGATACATCTGATAGGAAAAAAAAAAAAGTATCATAAATAAACAAGTTCAGAGTTTCCATTGCAGTACTAGATGCAAAACAAAGAAAACCTCTTGCATGCAATGCTAACAATGAAACTGACAAAGTAAATCTATTTGATGAAGAAACAGCAAATTTAAGACTTGTGATTACAAAAAGACATCAAGCACAAATAATTCCAGGGCTTCATCATTAAATTGAGAAGTAATAGTTTTCATCGGTCATTCCAAATACTATTTGTCTATCAGGATGGTTGAAAACTCATGTCAAAGCATCAGTCAGACTAGAACCACTTTGTAAATCATATACCCTCCTACCAAACAAAGTGCTGTTCCAGTTTTACAAGCAGTAGTTTGCGACATAAAAAGCTTGTTACCACATGGAAACGGGGTAAATACAGCCTAAAAGATAGTATCTTTATCATGTCTCAAATTACAATTTCTTTATCTGCCTTATAGTTGCTCTAATAATTCCATTGAATCAAGTCATGAAGCAGGCAATGGAACAAAATAAAAATCAATCCCTACAGTTTCATGTTCTAAACGGACCAGCTCAGGTAAAACCCAAGAGAAGTCCTTTCATACTTCAAAAAACAAATTAAAAATTCAGGTCAAAGAGCCCATTCACTTCCTCAATGAATCCGCTTTATTCGCCAAAACCACATAAACCCAGCCGAACCTCCATAAAGCTCTACTTATTGATTGTTCTATAACACCAAATGACTCAACAATCTAACGACTATGCCAAAAGATCAAAGAGGTAGTAAAACCAAGAAAAGTCCCAAGTATGCCATAAACAAAACAATCTAAATATCGAAAAATCATAAATTACATCCACAAGAAGTCTCAATAGTTTTACCTGGAAGTTTAAATTCAAAAATCTAAGTTATTTAATTAGATCCAATTTGTTCATGTGAGGGAGATTTAACTGAAGAATTCTGCAGCTAAAAAGCTAACCAAACAAATATGAGATATAGGCAAAGATATTAGATTTATAATAAATTCAAACACAATAATCCAAATCCAAATCAATCAAAGACAAATTCATATTAGCTCGAGTCTTTGCATCCAATCTCACCGAGAAAAAATCAAATGGAAAGGAAGAAAAGAAAAAAAACGAAGATTCAACGGCAAAAATTTACCAGCGATCGAGCACCGAACAAATCGGAATAAGTGAATTTGTCTCTGTTTGCGAATCTAAGGATTGGCTTCAACTGTATCTATAATCTATCACAGTATCAATGAAAATTAAACAAGAAAGAGTGGGAGAAATGATAGCGCATTAATTAATCACTTAAAGAGCCGCAGAGAGAGCGAAAGAGTGAAGTTCACGATTGTAAAGCGCGTGGAATTGATAAAGTTCTTTACTTTGCATAATTGTGTTATTTTTATTATTACAAATACAAGCATTCATTTTGAAAGATATTTATAAATCAAATTAATAATTAGTAATTACGAATCCTTCTCTCAACGACATATATCGAGTTTATCTAATCGGTTTCATGGCCCACCTTCGTGTGCATTATAATTATGGGAAACGCGACCCATACAATAAAATAAAAAAAGAGTTTTTTTTTTTTTAATTTTATTTTGTAATATACGTGAGTTTCATTCAGCCAGGGAGCTGAGAACTTCGTACACCGATGGTTAAAAAAAAAAAAAAAGGAAAAAAAAAAAATCAACGGGACATATATCGAGCTTTATCTAAATCGGGTTTCATGGGCCCACCTTCAGTTCAGTCCGCCGTGTGGCATTATAATTAATGGGAAACGGCGACCCAACCAAAAACTATAAAAAAAGAGTTTTTTCTTATATTTAAATTTTATTTTGTAATTATACGTGAGTTTCATTCAGCCAGGAGTCTGCGAACTTCGAGCGAACATACACCGAAATCTAGCGGTTACACAAAAAAAAAAAAAGAGAGAAAAAAAAAAAAAAATCGTAAAGTCACAAGCAACCTAACCCCCATAAAAAAAAAAAAAAAGGAAAAAAAAAAAAGACGAAATAAAGAACCTAAACACCAAGTACTAGGAGGAAAATAAAAACACTAACTGATATTAATCAATCACCTAAACAAACCGACTCTGAATCCTCAGTATCTTCGACCACCATGCTTGCGTCTTCCCTTGTAACACTCATGCTTGAAGCTGATGAGCCAACTGTTTCTGTTATATCTCTTTGCAAAAACATTCCCTTTCTCTTCCTCCTCTTTTGCTGCCACTTTCTCACTAACTCAGAAATTTCCCTTTCATCTCTAGTTTCCATTTCTTTCTCTTTTGATTCCTTCGTACCCAAATCTCTGTCATTGTCATCGTGTTCACCTAAAGTCACTCCTGTTAAGGGGAAGAGAAGAGGTCTACAACAACAGATTATAATTATAACCAATAAGATGTAAATGTATAATGTAACCCAGATAGAAATTGTCCATTTCCAATTCCGAACGATTTGCTTTGTCCATGGTAGCTTAGATTTCATCAGAATTTCAGATTCATATAATTGCGGGAGATATGATGTTCCAGCTCTTGGAATCAAAGTCACTCTAATAGATTTCGTTCTTGAATAATGTCCTTCCTTGTGATTTAATATCTGAATAGATATCTTCTGGGTCTCTGCAGAGATTCCTAATACTAATGGTATGCTCATAAGACATGTTCGTAGGAGGCGAATGGGTAGGCTTCTAAATGGCAACATGCATGGCTGGCTAGATTTTGCAATCACAAGTCCATTGCTTGATAAAAGTTCTGCAGCCAACTGATATGAAACTATATCAAGAAATTATAAAACATCAAAGTAACTAGAATCAAGCTTTTCTTTAATCTAGGGTTTTCCTTATTAATTTTTTGCTTGGAGAGTTTAATTAGCATACCTGAAACACCCCAATTTGCCTATTGTAGTCAGATTCAGGCACCAAAAGCTCCAAAGAAACATGAAAAGTATGACCAATTGGAACACCCATTTGCCTCCTCTTGATGCTATCAAAACTAAAAACAGCCTTAGGATTCACATCAGTATAATCAAAGAACAATCTCTCTCTTAAAAACACAGGCTCCTCCACGCAATAATGCACCAACCCAACACCTAAAAATCCAGCCAAAATCATAACACTTATCAAAACCATAACCACATGTACAGCACCCAGAACCCCAAATCCTATTTTCCTCACTAACGTTATACTGCCATGCGTCACTCTCAAGGGAATCTTGAGAACTTCAGACTCTATTCTAGCGGTTGCCGCCTCTGTGCTGCGGTAGGACTCGAAGGCCATGGAGAAGGAAAGTATGAAAGGCGATAAGAGAGCGACAATGCAATTGTATATAATATCAGCTTGAAAAGAGATTAATTTTGTGAACCAATTTGATTTAGATGTCAAGTGGTAGAGGTGATGATATTCTTCTTCCTCTTCCATTGTTGACGGTTGTGTTCAACCGTTAGCTTCATCCAGCTAGACGGAGTTATTACAGAGAGTGTTCAAATTTGAGAATTGAGAATTGAGAGTTAGAACCTAAAGCCTCCACCTGTGATTGCATGCAAAAAAAAGATGAAACGTGGTGGGTAAATAGAGAGTTATTGTTGACATCTGTTACAAATGGACTTATCTTGCCTAAAGGAAGATTAACTATTTTGCCGTTGACTGTTTTTACTTTTTACCATTGTTTTTTACATTTAATAATCGTTTATTATTAATCCATGTTCGCTTAATAATAGTAATTTTTTGAATTTATAATATATTTATACCTTCCAATTATTTTATGAAATTATTTAAATTCTTTTTATTTGTTATGAAACTCAAATACAACATAGATAGTCGTCTTTTACTTTTATAATCGAGAATATTTAAATCCGAAATTACTCCTCCAACGATAATAAAAAGCTATATAAATTTTAATATGGATATGAATAATGAAAATCATTTCTTGTTAAATCTATCTATATTAATCACTACTATTCAAAAAAAATTTATTTATATCTCAGTCAATAGATTCGATTTTTTTTTATCTGTCTCAAATTTCTGATCCAATATTTTTTTTGATAAAAATCAGTTATCTTTATCATAGTTTTTTATTCTATATATATTAAATACAATAATTTTAGAATAAACAACTGAATACATCATGGATTTCCATATTCTTTAGATTAGAAAAAAAAAATCCATAATAATATATTAAGAAAAAATATTATAAAAGATTATATTTAACCAGATTAATTATATTTACTTAATTTGTACGAAAGACAAATTAGACTTATTTTTACGGGATGAAGGTAGTATTATTACAATGTTATAAGTTTCTAACATTTTCATTTTAAAATTTTAAATGTAAAATTTAATCATAAATATGATTGAGTTTAATTGTATATTTATTTTCTCATAATTAATATGAAAAATAATTTTATAACAACCTTGTACTATATATACACAATGATCCGTTAAACTAATTAAGTTAGGATCTTATAAATAGATTTCATGCAAGAAAATCTCAAGTGTAGTTGAACAAATTTAGCCTATGTATTGTATTGTAGAGTGAATTTACCACACACCATTCTTTTCACGTGTCTTTTTTTTTTTTTTTGAACAATTTTCACGTGTCATTCTAACCGTAAAAATGAAAATGTACTTGTATTAATTTAACTGTACTTTCAAGATTTCCCGCAAACCAAAATATTTTTGCGGAGACAAAATCTATAATACAAAAACTAATTTTTTCACAATCTCACCCATAAGTATTACTTCCGTACAGAATTAACAAAGAGTTTGACTCTGAAATTGTATTCAATTCATCTAATACGTCAATTATGTAAACTTAGGTTGCCGATCAATTTGATAAATGATAATCATTTGGTTTTGATTCCTGTTCAATTATATATAATTAATGTAATTGATTTTTTATACTCGAGATTGATGGTTCATATTGAAATAATAGAATTAAATTTGAACCAGTCTTATTAATTTGACATTAAATTGATTTTTATACTGTTTAGTAGGATTCGATTATTATGATAATTAATTCGATCGGACTGAACTGAATCGAACCAATTTAATTAGATTAAACTAAACATAATGCTTATCTCTAATTCAGTAATAAGTGTATATAAAATTTTTACATAAATTAAAATTCGAAACTCTCAGTCCCATTACCTAAAAAAAATTAACAAGCAAATTAAATAAAGAATTTAAAAAGGGTAAAATTCATGATATTTTTGAAAAATTATATAAAGTTCAAATAGGCAATCTCATTCTCAAATTGGTAATATATCTCGTTCTAAAACAAAAAATGGTAATATATTAAAATTTTACAACTGATAATGAGGTAATAATAAATTACAGTATGGTCAAAACTCATTAGTCGGTAATTTTACAGACGAAACGATTACAGTGGGTCCGACATTACTCCCTCCTTATTGCAGGCGCCAACGGATCATTTTCGAGAGAACCCAAGAAGAAGAACTGTATACCTTAAAAAGAGAAATAAAAAGAAAAATTATTTTATTTTTTTTTAAATATATTAATTATTGATTAATATTAATATCCTAAAACGGGCAGTGTCACACACTTTCTCTTTCAAACTGTCTGTGTGTTGGAATTCTGATAATCTCTTCCTCAAAGCCTCCATTTGCAGTCTCTCTCTTACTCTCTAATTAGTTTCAGCTCCAAAATTAATCCAGAAAACCAAAAAAGTGGGGCCAAACTTCCTTCACAACCCTCCAGTCTCTCCCTCTGAAAATGACAGTCGCGTAACTCTTACACTTCCCTTTCTAATCTACCACCGGAAATGGACCCGAATCCACCGCCGCAACAGCCATCCACCTTCGCCGACTTCGAAACCAAAACCCTAGTTTCCGCTTCCAATTCTCAAACCGATGACTTCTCTAACAGAAATGACTACGCCAATGCTGATGATGCATCGGGAACTGCTATCAGAGGAAGCATTGCGGAGAGAAGAGCTGCAAAATGTGGCTTCAAAGCGGAGAGGATTAATACGGCACGGTTTCGGACCACTAGCCCCTTGAATTCACCGGCTGCGACGGCTCTCGTTCGGTCTCCTTGTATTACTATTCCGCCCGGGATTAGCCCCACCGCGCTGCTCGATTCGCCGATTATGCTGCCTAATTCTCAGGTGAATTCAGTTATTTGATTTACGATTTTTGTTGTGAAGTTGACTGTTTCATAGGACATTTTAATTGAAATGGAATCATTAGTGTCTGAATTCCCAGTCATTTCCACGATGTTTCAATTCTGAACCTGATTGTGAATGTGTCTCTTTGTTTCAATTTAAAGAGTGTTCTGTTTGATTCTGCAATTGTGTTTGGTAATCGATCCCTCACCTCTGCTTTTTGATGGATTTTCTGAGAAGAGGGAAAATTCTTCTGTTTAGTAATTGTATATGACAACATATAGCTGTTTGTTTAACAAGCTTAAATAGAGAGCAGGGAAACCCAATAGTTGGCATGTTTCAGATTGCAATTTTTTCCTGGTGAGGAAAAGATTAACGGAACCTAGAGTAATGCAAGCACTGTCTTAACGGACTGCACCATCTCTACAGAAATCAAGTTTCTGCTGTTTATTATGGTTTCTGATTGCTTTGAAATCAAGGGCTTGAGCTGGTACTCTCAGAATTCGTTTGAATAGATTTCACACAACAACTTCTACTAATTTTACATAATCTGCACTGCTATTGCACATTCTAGTGCTGCTTGTTTTCATTCACCATGATTATTGCTGAACACTGGCACTTATCTGTACTGCCTCTGAACCTTTTCTAGAATGATCAACCAACAAGATCCCTCCCGACTTAGCTCATACTCTTTTTTTTTTTTTCTTGAATATTACATGTTAAAATGTGGTTGCTTTCCAAAGCAACAACGTCCCTCCTTCCTTGGCTCATACTCCTGTTTTACATGATAAATGAACTTTTGATAATCACCGAAGCTATGTGTCCCTTTATATCTTGTTTACCATGGCATTGGTTGTGTTTATGGTATGTCTCTTTAGTTCTATCATCATTCTTTCAATGTCTGCACACATTATTGCCTATTTTCATGATGTGACCTGCGTGGCTTTTTCCAGCCCCACTTTTTGTTTTATATCAATTTCTTTGGTTTTTTTTTTTTTTTTTGGGAAAACAGCCTTCTCCCACCACTGGAACTTTTCCGTTACCGCTACTCAATTATGAAAGTCCAATGCTGAATACAGTGACTTCTGCTGATGGGGACGAAGGCTGTGATTCTGGTTCCTTCAGATTCAAGCCTCACCAGGATCCGGGTTCTTTGCCAGAGTTTTCTACCTTGGAAATTCAGGTACTTGGTGTGCCAACTAACATGACTTGTTCAGTGTTGTAGAACAATAGTCAACGGTTAAATTGTTCCATTCCCCCCTCCTTACAATAGTCAACGGTTAAATTTGCTCCATCCCCCTCTCCTCTTCCCCTTTCTCAGCCCAACAAAAAAGAAGTTATTTGTATGAATGAGTAATTGTTTATAGTGGTCTTGGTTTGGTTCAAGATGGTGTCAGATCTACAGTCTATAGAGTCAAAATTTTACCTGAAGCTTTGTACATTGAGACCTCTGAGCAGATATTGAAATAGCATTGTCTGACCTAAGTTGATAGCATCATGGGCATAATTCAATTATGGTAACTAGGTTATTCTTGTAATTTAATCAATGTTTCACTTGGGATTTCTATCCTATGTAAACTTTTTTTTTTGTTCTTGGGCAGGCAAATAATGTAGATTTTCAAGCTGGTTCAGCAGAACCATCAATGGATTTTGAATTCCCTGTAGAGTTTTCGAAGGAAGCTACAACAGATAGCTGTGCTAAAGATTCAGAAACTGATGTGAAAGTTTTAAATAGCATGATTGCAAGTGCCAACTTCAGTGACATGCAAATGGGTCATGCGGATGTAGGTAGCAAACAAATATCTCTTCATATGGAACCTGTTTCTGGGGAAAATATTGGGACACGTCAACCTTTGGATCATGAAAGAGGGATATTCCGTTCAATAGGAATGGCAAGGAATTCAGAAGATGGATACAATTGGAGAAAGTATGGGCAGAAGCAGGTGAAGGGTAGTGAATATCCTAGGAGCTACTATAAGTGTACGCATCCAAATTGTCAGGTGAAGAAAAAAATTGAGCGTTCACATGACGGTCAAATAACTGAAATCATCTACAAAGGTGCCCATAATCACCCTAAACCTCAGCCTAGTCGCCGAGCACAAGTTGGACCAGCTTCTTCATTTGATGAGATGCCAGAGATGGATGAAGCCAGTGAAAACCGTGTCAAAGTTGAAGTTGGGTCTATTTGGAAAAATCCACAACCAGGGTCCAGGGATTTTAAGGCTGATGGTCTGGAAAGAACATCTTCAACATCTGTTTTAACTGAGCTTTCTGATCCATTCTCAACCACCCAAGTCAAATCTATAGGAACTTTTGAATCAGCAGAAACTCCAGAGCTTTCTTCCACACTTGTTAGTAATGATGATGATGATGATGGGGCCACTCAGGGAAGCTTATATGTTGGAGTTGATGCTGATATTGAGGAATCTGAGTCAAAAAGAAGGTAGTTATCTCTATGCAGTTGTGAGTACTTGCAATGCAAAACATGATAAATTGGATATATTTTATTCATTAATTTTTTCTCTCTCATTTCAGGAAGATTGACAGCTGCTTGGTTGAAACTAGTTTGGCATCCAGAGCTGTTCGTGAACCAAGAGTAGTTGTCCAAATAGAGAGTGATGTTGACATACTTGACGATGGGTACCGCTGGAGAAAATATGGTCAAAAAGTAGTCAAGGGGAATCCAAATCCTAGGTATTTATACTGTTTTATCATAGTCCATTTCTCTACCATTTTCAATTGAAATGGGCAAGGAGTGATAGGGATTCTTATGTGGACCTCTTTGAATTCTTATGGAGTAGGTGTTTGATTTTTGCGAGTGTAAAATTTGTATATTTCACCACATATGTTTGCCTTTCAGGTTTCTTCCTGTTTGGCAAGTACGCTTGATTAATGCATTTAAAACGTGTTTTTTTCTAAAAAGCCAAATCTCCCGTCTCTTTGACAGGAGTTACTACAAATGCACGAGTGCTGGATGTTCAGTGAGGAAACATGTTGAGAGAGCCTCTCACAATCTAAAATATGTAATTACAACATACGAGGGGAAACACAATCATGAAGTGCCTGCAGCCAGAAACAGCAATAATGTGAACTCAAATGGTAGCAATTTACCTCAGGTTACTACCAATACACAGCCTGCCCTGGCATTAACCAGAAACGCCAATGGGGCAAAACCTGAAACACAATTTCATGAGCTTGCACCTGGTTTTGATAGAAAACCAATATTTAACAATGAGTTTTTGAGACCTAGTTTTCCTGGAAATTTCAGTAATGAAATGAAGCTTGGAGCTTCCACCATTTATCCATTGAAGTTTCCCACCTTTCAACATACCATGCCTTACAACTCTTTTGATTTCAACCGTAGTGCAATCCATCACTCTGGCTCCATAGCTTCTCTTGTTCCAAATTTTCCAATTTCGTTGCCATCAACTGTTCATGCATCTGCTACTGTTTCTCTGAGTGGTGTTGATTTTAATTATAATGGGAAACCAATTGGTCAAGGTCAGCCTTTCCTCTCAGGACAGCAACTGGTCAAGCCCAAGCAAGAACAAAGAGATGATAATCTTTATGAGGGTCAGCCTATCATTGATCATGTAAATGCATCTCAGCCATCATCAGTATATCAACACATCATGGGAAATTTTCCATCATAAAGAACTTGCCTTACGTCAAAAGTAGCATCAGAAAAGAAAAGGGTAAAAAAAGACACAGTTCAAGTGATTAAAGGCCTTTCTCTTGCAATGTTGTTATTGTGGTAAATTTCTTTCTCATATCTACAGTAATGAACTTTATATTATAGAAAATGTACACAGGTACTTGTATTAATTTATATAGTTTTCAATTTTGTAAGTAGAAGCTCCTTCTCTCTTACTCTACCGAGACCTACTTTGATTAACTTGTTGGAACCCTTTAGAGTAAGTCGCCTATATAGTGATATTTAAAAGTTAATATATGTATTTGCATGTTTGTACAGTACTTAGAAGACAATGCTTGAAATGCAATGCTATGGAAAGTGAATTTTTTAAATTATTTGCTTCCCAGGAGCATACTGAGACGAAAAGGAATTGTCATGAAGATGATTACATTTTACTTTTCATGTACACTTCTTTAGAGTCATTTTCCACTGACTGGTTTTCCCCTTGTCCAGTTTATGTTTTCTTCTGAAATGAGAAGAATGTAGCTCAATCACCAATATAATACGGTAAGCACTTAACACCTATCATTAAATTGTTTCTTCGCATGTTCTTTTCCCTGTGTGCATTGAGCATGCATTTAGTTGGCAAACTATTTTAGCTCTGCTTGAAAAAGCCATGACATTTTAAACCTTAACCATATATTAGAGAGAGGCAGATATATACATATGCTCGACTTGGTTTGGTTGAGTTCCTCAATGGTCGAACTAAAACCCAAATTGACATATTTGATCTTTGAATTTTTTAAAATAAATTTGGTTGTTCCCTTGAATCGTTTTGTCATGGGTCGGTTTCTGCGTCCATGTACATCCCTACCTGCCCCCATAGCATTTTTTTGTGAAGCAAAGCTTGGATTTTGAACATTTAGCGTTCCTAAAACAAGAATGTGATCACAGGAACATCCTTCTTTTAAGAATGATAAGAAAATTTAACATCAGTACTATCAAGCCTTGTGTAATTTTTACCTCAGGGTTACACAAAACAGCAGAGATCCCATTTACTGATAACTCTAATCAATTTATAAGACTTCAAATTTCTCAGATCCCCTATCTGATATTTTGGCCTATGGTGCATGAATTGTCTCTCCAAAAACCACCGTGTTTTTCCATCTTTGATTATTACTTATTATTCTTAATTGTGGTGAATAGGCAATTGGATTCTTCCATTTTCAAAACAAAAACATCATATTTGAACTCCATTAGATGAATGCAAAAGCCAGTGAAAACATCCATTGACAAAGGCACGATGAGGATCTTGGTCAGGACAATAATAATAATAATAACCCTCTGTAAAAGGAGGAGTTCGTTACATCTTCATTCATTATTTTACGTACTCATCTGAGGATTGTTCTTAACAGGATCGAACAAGAGAAGGAAGGTGGAAGGTTATTTTGATGACATTGAATCATGAAGTTCAGCAAAATCAAGGTCTACGAGAATAGTGTTTTCTTGCCAACCTAATTAAGGGTTTTGATTAATTTAAGTTTAAAACCATAATAATAAAAGGGGAAAACAGAAACAAAAATTGTGTTATTTTCAATGCCTCGTTTGAGAATTCAAAACAGAGGATCGGTGTATTGGGCTTATGATTCTTGAGCCTCTTTTATTTGATATTGGGGTACGCCTTGACGCTTGTATTTCTATTTAATCAAGGTAGCAACTCCAAAACACAATCCTTCAAATGGAGACGTTTATGGCTGATAGTACAATAAGAATACTGTACGCACAAAACAATACTAATTCTTAATCTCCCGTCTTCATTAATTTGCTTTTTAGAAATCAAATCAAGTTTCAATCGATTAATACATGCGCAGACATGAATATCTAATGCCATAAAGAAACAAGCTGCGAAGAGACGAGCTATATAAGTATCATCTTTCTCCTCCGTCAGAAGAGAGAGAGAGAGAGAGAGAGAGAGAGAGAGATGTGCCAGAACACAACCATCAATATAGGCATAAATAATAACAAAAGGAGAAGCTCAAAATATATAAACATCTCCTTATTATTTCCTCATACTACAAGCTTTATCTTCAACCTCTAGTTGAACCAAGCTAACTGACCAAAAGGCAAAATCAAATTAGCTTACATGTTATCTTAATTACACAATTGGCATTTGTAAAAGTTTTGATCTTTCAAGTGTGTTGACATTCAGCTCATCCTTAAATCTGCTCTACCTCCTCAATCTTATACCAGTTTAATTATTAGAGCTAAAAAACAATTATCAGCTAAGTAAACGTATCATAAGCAACTATTATGGGCACACACCAGTATAGTGTAAACATAACCAACAACTCCCATTAAATTCAACTCATTAAAGGCAGAAAAGTTACCAATAAGGCCATACCCGCTTCATAATTACCATAATAATAACATATCTCTAATATACATTCCATCCCACTATCAAAGCAGATGCTAGGAACTCCCTTGTTATGTTAACTGAAAACATCATAGCTTCCCACAAGCACCAGAAAGGAAAAACACAACCAGATCGTACCCAAGAAAACATTAAAAAGGAAAAAAAAAAAAAAGGAAAACATGGGAAGTAGTAGTTTTTTTAAGTTTGGCCCTCACCCTTCACTTTTTGTGGCTGCCCCTAACGCCGGGACGCGGTTTGGAGGATGAATCGGCAACATGGACAGCATGTAGATTCACGAGCTTATCTTCCTCGTAGGGAAGCTTTGGGTGGCGAGCCTCGTGATGGATCTGCATAGATTTCAGGTCAGGAGCGGTGACTTTACAGTGAGGACACTCATACTTGGCGTGACCTCCTTTATCTTGTCCCGTCCTGTCTTTCTGTCCTGCCTTCCCTCCGCCTCTGTTTGTGGTGGCTGCATCGACCTTCGCCGCGATCTCCTTCGCCGTATGCTTCTTTGGCTTCGCCTTTCCGGTCATAATTGATTGATTATCGGGACGACGGCAATCGCCGAAGATTGGTTGATGGATTTTGGAAATAGAGAAACCCTAGGAGGGAAGAAAACCCTAAATAATTGGGTTATTGATTGGGAGTGAGGGAGACAGAGACGGAGATTGTAGGACTTATATATGTGTAGGCTTATCTGCCATGTAGGTGATACTAATTTTTATACTCTAAGGATGAGTTGAGTGAAACCACCACGTGTTACGCATTAATTGGACAAGGTTTTCGTTTATTTTCGACGGCTGAGGCCAATGAAATTATAATTAGAGATTGAGATTGGATATGACATGTATTCCTTTTTTTTTTTTTTTTTTTTTTTGGAAATTAGAAAAAAAATAAAAGAAAAACCCTATGAGGAAGAAAACCTAAATAATTGGGTTGTTACATTAGATTGGAGTACTGAGAGGGATGAACATGAGACAGGGAGATTTGTAGGACTTATACTATGTGGTAGGCTTATCTGGCCATGTAGGTGATAGCTATTTGTTAATACTCTAAAGGATAGTTTGAGTGAAACCATCCACGTGTTACGTCATTAATTGGTACATAGGTTTTCGTTATTTTCAAGAAACGGCTGAGGCCAATGAAATTAAATAATGATAGAGATTATTGAGAATTAGGACTAATGAACATGTATTAAATCCTTAATTTTATTTTTATATTTTTTTCCTAATTGAGATGATGGATTAAGTAGTTTTTTTTTTTTTTTTTTTTTTCTAATTGAGATAGGATAGTTAATTATTGATTATTATATAGTAATATTTCAATATTATTTGTCAAAATTTTTATTCAAAACTTAAAAAAAATCAATTTTTGGTATTATATATTTTTAAAAAATTATTTTTTCACCTAAAAATACAAATTCTTTTGATGGCATTTTCAAAAAATAAAAATTTTAATATGCATTAGACTCAATGTTGTATCGATGAAATATAATTCTAATAAATTATTTTCGTCAATTTTATTAATATAACAATTTTTAAGGATTTGGAAGTGATAATTAAAATAATGGAAAGCATGTACACCCTTAGATTCCATATGGTTGTTTTTATATATCAACATCTAAAGCCTTCGTTTGTTATAATTGTTTATTTTTAATTTTTTATTTATTAGAAACACAAAATAATTTTTAGTTTTTGATTACTCATTTTTTCAAAACCGTTTTTTCTCTAAGATTATTTTTTTCTTTTCTTTTGGTTCATAAGGTAAAAAATTCTTCCAACTATCAAATCTCTTCTTTATTAAGCCATTAAAAATTTTAATTAATAATAATTAAAAATCCAACTCTTGAGAGTAAATAATTAAAAATATTTCACACTTTAACTTTTAAATTTCAATAAATTTTACGGTAATTATTTATTATTATGTATACAATCAATTGAATAAAAATATAATATCCAAATATTATAATAAATAAATAATAATAAATTACGTTAGAAAATAATAATAAATATAAAAATAATACTAAATAAAGAAAAGATAGAAAACAACATAGAATTTCAATGGAGATAAAACTATTTACTTGTATATTTTGGATAATTGATATTAGATTTAAATAGGTAGAGAAAATAATAATAATAATAATAATAAGATAGAAAAAAAACAACAACTATGAATTTTCAAAATGGAGATAAAATCTATTTACTAAGTATACGAGATAATTGATATTTAATAAGATTTATAATATAGTAAAGTAAAAAAATAATAAATAATAAATAAATAAAATTAAGATTAATAATAATATAAAGATAACATATGAGATAAAACGTATCAAAAGAAAAAAAAAAAAAGAGAATGAGTTAAAGACAGAATACCTGATATGTGTAGTAGTGTTTTTATGATAGAATTTTATTATTTATTATAAGAATAGGTGTCGACAGAGGAAGAAGTAAAGAGAGTAGAGAGGAAATTAACAGCAAGTGAGGTGTTAATGGTGTAGGAAGGAGAGGAAATGGAAAGACACAAAATATTAGAGGTTTCTATCTCTATATGATACGAATATGAGATTTATACGAATTTACTTTTGTCCACTCATGTTTCCTAAATTATAACCCTTAAAATCTATGTACCTTAATTTACGGTACTCACCGATTATGTTAAATATCAAATCGTAGTGCGCTAAATATATGGTTTCCATAGTGTTGGAAGATAGAGAGATTAAGATGTTGTTAATTGGAACGGAAAAAAGAGAGGATAATCATAACGGTGGTGGAGAAGTAAAATGGAAAAAAAAGTTTTAAACTATTGAGACTTTGAGGAAGGTAATTCTTCATAACCTTTAATATTGTGAAAATGTTAGTTGTAAATATAATAATAATAATAATAACATTATGAGGATAAATCTTATCAAAATGAAAAAAAAAAAGGAGAAATGTAGTTAAAAACAGAAAACACAATGATATAAACCGTTATTTGTAGTTTCATAAAATTTATTTTTTTATTTTAAAAATAGTTTCCTAGAAAGTAAAGAAAAAAAATTAAACAAGTTTTGTTTATTTTTTAAGAAAAAAATGAAACACAAAATATTTATTTTCACCAAGATTACGAAAGTGATTTACAAATTTTCTTTGCCTTGTTTTTCCTAATTTACCCCTTAATATCTTACTAATTTCTCTTTTAATATCAACGTATGCCTTAAATAATGTTCCAATTTTAAATAAGAATTTAAATGTTTTATTGGAACGAAAGAAATACATAACGTGGAAAAAAAAGTTTAACTTTGACTTTGGAAGGTAATTCTTTTCATCTTTATTTGGAAATGTTGTGTAAAAATATAAAAACTTGTGCATACGAAAACTTATGCTCGTTAGACCTTCCAACTACCTATGGTTATTGAAAATATATTTTAAATATGACTCGATTTTTCAAATATTCAAACAACGTCCAAAGGGATTCTTTTTAATGTGTTCACCTTTGTGGCTACTTTCTATGCAAACTCCATTTTATTCAAACTCCATTTTAATTAAACTTTTTATATTGACAATGTCTCCAAAGTTATCAAATTAGGTAAAGTTCTCTATATAAAAAGAATACTCAAAATAGGGGAACGAGGAGTAACAGAGGGAGTATATTTTTTATATTAAAACAATAGTCGTTTAAAATTTTTCTTTCTTAACAATTGACATTTTTTTTTACAAAAGGAATAAATCTTATAATGTTTTAGAGTAAAAAAAAAAAAAAATTATATTTTCAACATTATCATAATTGATATAATTTTGAAAAATAACAATTAATTGGCCAATTACCCAAAAAAATAATCCCTTCATTCTATTTTATTTACTTGTTATTCCTTTTTTTTGAATGTATAAATAATTATTTTTCTCATAATAACTTTTATAATTATTCATTGAATTTTATTAATATCCTAATGAGTAAAAGACTTTTGGTAAACAAGAGAAAAATATCTTTTATTAACTAAATCTTTAATACGTGTATTTTATCAAACCATGCAAATAAAATGAAACAGTAATAAAAAAGTTACTAATTGCTAATAGTTTCGTTTACAAAGACAAACCCATCATTTGGGGTTCCAACAATTGAGGAAATTTATAATTGAGGTGGAATTCCAGATAATATACAAATATGATGATTAAATCTGAAATCCCGAAATTATGCTATAGTACCTCCATCATCGCCAATGTGGCAATCCTCTCCCTTGTATATGAAAAGTTAAAAAATAAAGGAAAAGAAAAAAAAAAAAAAAATGAAAGGCACGAAACAATGAGTACAAATGGATAATGCTTTGATAACGGAAACTGTATAATTGGAGACTATAAGTCTGAAACATATGCCTTTGAAGTGGCTGACTGGCGATTGTTGTTAGTAACCAAACTAAAATGAGGTTCTTAATTGGACTTGATCTGGGGCTTCTGTACATTCTCTTCTCTGTACAGTAAACGCCTCTTGTTCGACCCGAATCCATGGTACTGGTAGATAATGCTGTAAAGACACTGCCTCAAGCACACCACTTTGAAGCTCTCAATGAACTTCTGATCTGTAATCCTCGATTTCACACCAGCAAAATGTTGGTATTCCTCAAACACAGAAGACAAGCACCAATTTTGAAGCTTTCTAAAGCAACCAACAAGACAACCCGTGCGATGCTGCAGGAGAAATGAAATGGAAAGTTAGATGCATATGGTCTTGTATATAAGGATCAAAGAATCAATATAAGAATGCCAGCAATTATGGACAGCAAATCATGCAGGAATCAATGAGGGTCTATATGATATTGAGCTACTGCTTGTGCACCATGAAGTGTCGAGAATCAGATAGAAGGCCAAGGAATTATACGAAACAAACGATATGATCTCAGAATGGAGTAATGTTAAACATGTTCTGAACAGACACAAATATGTATCAGCAGATGTTAATAAATTCACTTAATTACTTCAATACACTGTCCTATGACAAGAGAGAGAATGAGTAACAGCCTTCATCAAACAAAATAACAAAAAAGAGTGGTTCTTGTTCTTCCTATAGTTAGGACTCACCTATCTAACACTTCTTATGAACATAGGAAAATAATTGGGGTTAAGGAATTCAAGATACAGTTAATTAACTGAATCTCTTAGGTTTAATTACCAAGTTGGATGGCAAAACAGAAAGCATCCATTGTTACGATTTCAAGAGTTACAAACAGAAGGCATAATGGAAATTGATTCTGAGAGCACATAACATTGCATATATCTTGGCAACTTTCAAATGCATATAGGAAAGAAAACAAATGGAATATGCAATAAAACTGAATACCTTTCCACGTTTGCAGTGAATCAGAACTGGATGATTCCTCACATCTGGAAATACCAATAAACAATATCAATAAGCATAGCAAGAAAGAGTCATTGGAAGGGGAGAAAACAAAAGTAAACTACGAGGGAAAAAAAAAAGCAATTGACAGTTCAAAATAGAAATACAAATTTTCTGCAAATTTTTAATTACCAATTAAGACTTTAAGAGCATTCATGATAGTCTCCTCGGGAATAGATACTGAAGGTTCCTGCATATACAAAAAATTACAGCATGAGCAACAGAGATTGCAAAAATACAGCTTATACAGTATTATAATAACCACTACAAATAAATCATCACAGCCAAGCAAGCACCAAAGTTATAATCTTTTATTGAAATACTATTCAGAGATTTTAGGCTCAAATGGTTATGATTATCATATAAACGGTAAACACTATTCAGAAAGCCCATAAAATACTTGAACAATAAGAAAAAGAGAGAAAAAATTTTCAGCTTTAAAAGAATGAAAGAGAAGAAAAGTAATATTACCGTTTTTCCTTCAATTCCAAACTGAAATAGTTTGATGTTATGATCACGAAGAAACTGCATATTCTCTTCTGGATAAGGTTCGTAACACAAGTATCTGCACAATCACAAACAAGAAACGTTGAGGAAAAAGAAAACAAATATATACAAACACATTCACATATCAAATCTAAGGGTTTATTACTATTTAGCAGTTGTAGAGATCAATTTTTTGATCAAACTTACTCATCCAACTCTTTCAAAAACCGAAATAACAATTCATACCACCAAAAAGAAAACACAAAATCTGCGCAAGAAATCACTTACATGATTGATCGGAGATTTAAAGACTCTAGAAAAGAGAAATTGGAAGGTTGAGGGAATGCAGATCTGTAAATGCCGTCATCAACCATGGAAAAATTCGCCGGCGGAAACAAAACTTGGTCGTCGTCGTCCTGAACGGATTCGAATATCAAACCCATTTGTGATTGTTTCTATTAACCCTTGCCAACAAAAAAAGAGTGGGGGGGCGGGGGACAAGCAAAACAAGTCTTCTCTTTGATCGTTCTATGAATTATAATATGAAATCAAAAAGAAGACTTGCTGTTTAAAAAGAAGGATCAAGAACAAGGGGAGGAAGAGCCCATTGATTCAGAAAAAAGACAAGAAAAGAAAGCGAGAGAAGTAGGTATTTAATAGATGGATTAGGAGAAGAGGAAGAAACGAAGTCGTTTTCAGTTGGGATTCCGATTCCGATTCCAACTTTTGTTTGAGATTCAGTGTTTGGAGAGGAAAGGGCTATCAGATGAGTGGTTTTATTGAGAGATTTTAGGATTGGTTGTATATATATATATATATATTGATAAAAGAGGAGAAGAAAAGCGAAGTCGGTTTGTCGAGTTGGGGGAATTATAAAGTAGACCTAACGAGAGAATTCCGATTAACCAGACTTATTGATAAATTTGAGATTCAAGCTCTGTTCTCGGTATGAGGAAAGGGTCTTATCTAGATTAAGTGGTTTTATTGAGTTAGATATTAATTGGGTGTATATATATTATTTATTATATATTAATTAGGTATATTATATTATATTTATATTTATTATTTTTATAAAATAATAAAAAAAAATATAGAAAAAGAAAATATATATATTATTTTATTTATCAAAAATAAAAAAAAAAGAAAAAGAAAAAGAAAAAGAAAAGGAGGTAGAGGCGGCATAGTGTAAAGGTGATAGTAATGGATGTGAAATTGTCCAAATTGGACCAGAATTCTGATTTTATATGGATTAGATCTTGAATTAGTCAGATTGATCTCATATGAAAGGACACGGATTAAAGTTTGTGGGTCCCATTTAAGGAATGTTCTACGAGTCTTCTCATCTTGACACCAATGAAACTCTAATCAATAGAAGTGAATTGTTCTTTCGGATGAAATTTAACTATAAAGTTTATTTATTATAATTTTACATTTTACTTTTTAATTTAGAGTTTTAAGATAAATTTTATTTTTTTATTATATTATGTATTTTCAAGAATAACTTATATATCCTATTCTTGAAAGTCTTGAAAAAATTTTCCGATCCACTGGTCAATTTCTTGGTTGACAATTTGGAAATTTTCAATTTCACGTCTTTCATATGGGAAAAAAAAAAAGCAGTAGGATAAAATTTCATAACTCTTATATATTTTTATAGATTGTTACTATTATTTTTCTTCATTCCACATTTAAGACTTTATAATAGTTGAAAATTATAAAATCAATTTCAAAGGTTTAATTCAGAAGTAGGATTTAAAATTTTAGCAGTTTTCACAATTCATTGATCGAGTATTTATCAACACGAGTGGCTTTTCCTTTTTTTTTTTTTTTTTTTTTTTAACTTTTCCTTTTTTTTTTATTTTCTTCCTATTTAAGAGATAACATCCCATGATCGACTTTTATGTCAAATAAAATTAATATATATATATATATAGTAAAGATTATCATTTAAATTACTATTATGGATTTACACAAATAGAGAAATTCGTTTTGGAAACTAATGGGGAAGAAAAGTTCATTATTGTTTTGAAAGAGCTAAAAAAAATTATGTTTTTTTTTTTTTTTTTTTTCTTTTAAGAATAACATCCCTGATCGATTTTTATTCAAATAAAATTAATATATAAAAATATAAAGATTATCACTTTAAAATACTATTTGGATTAAAATAAGAAATTCTTTTGGAATACTATGGGATTTGATTTTCATTATTTTTTTAAATTTCTAATAAAATTATATGAGTTGCAGTTGTCTTTAATTGAAATTCATCATTTAAAAACTTAAAAAAGAAGAAACAACAGTGAAGTGTTTATGGGTCTCAAACTGATCTGATCCATACATTCTCTTCTCTTCATAGGCTCATCCATAAAGGATGGGCCTCTATGAAACCAATATATAATTAAATTTTTTTTCCCTTAGTTAATTAGTTAATCTCTTTTGTTCCCAAATGTGTAGATAAGACCAACTGCTAATAGATATAAGTTTCGAACAATTTTTAAAAAATGTTTAGTTAATGGAACCATGAACCCGGGCTATGCAAGTTTTTTTCAACGAAAGACAGAAATATATGTATGAAATAATGAAAAAATTTACAAACTAATCTTGAGAATTGACAAATGCCAAAAAAATATGTATATGAGATGCCATGCACATACATAATTACAAAACCAAATCTCCAATGGCAATTATAAAAAGTTTCACAGATACATGTATGCAATAGAATTACAAGTACAAGAGAATATTGCAATTTGACTTCTTTTTTTTGCCTTTTGGGTTTAAATATAAAGCTATTATGAATACACCATCTGTAATTTGGCTAATAAGAAGAAGGCATGCATGATTAAGCAGATGAAGGCCTAACAAGAGGTGAATTATTAGTTTTTGCAGCCATAGAAAGCTCAAATTGCCTTAAAGAAGGTTGAAGAGGAAGCAACTGATCAGGAGAAATCAGATTATCCCAACCTTGAATTGGGTTTTCATTTCCTGAACCATCCCATCCTATATGCGTCACATGCTTCACATCTGTTGGAAGCCCTATTTCCATTTCCATTTCTTCTATTTCTTCTTCATACACTGCCAAATTAACAGGTACAACAAGGCATCTTCTAAGTAATTTCTATGAGCTATAATATTATATGCTCATAAAAAATAATACTGCTAATTAAGTAGCTTACCAAATAATTGAGAGAAGGTCTTGAAGCCCTTGACTATCCTGTGAAACCGATCAGAAATATTGGGTTTTGAAAGAGCAAGAAATTTCAATGCATTCTTCATACTCTCATCAGAACTTGATAAACTTTCCTCGTCTTCTTCTTTTGGTCCTGGTAAAAGTTTCAAGAAAACAAAACACAGATTAACAAAAACACCAGAAGAAACCTATGGGACAAACCAGAGCCAAATTAATAATAGAAACCAGAAAGATAGAGACTTGTTGAAGATGGGTTTGTATCATGTGATGGCTTAGTTCTTCTAGGATGGTGAATCCCAATAGCCACACTTGATTCAGAGACACAACCAATGGAAAAAGGAAGAAGAACAAGCCTTTCCATTCTATCTCTCATTTCTTCATCAACAAACAAACAAACAACCAAATAAAATTATATGTGAAGTGGACTGAGAGACCGAAAGAAAAGAAAAAAAGTTAATAGGTCGGTTGAGGAAGACAACCCTAGAGCTTGGATTTGGGTTTGTTATATTGGTGGTGGTGGTGTTGGCTTTGTAACCAAGTTAATATAATTTCACGTACAACAAGTCAAATGTACAAATGAGTTCTTGTTTGGTAGAGAGAGTGAAAGAAAGGGAGAGGTATATATGTTTGTTTCTGTTTTATTTTTGTTTAATGTTTTGAGTTACAAGTGATGTTTATGTTTGGACGTGTAATTTAAAAAATCAAGAACAGGTTTAATTGATAAGTTTAACCTAATTAATAACAGACCCAACATAAACGTATTTGCTTTAGACATGCAATAATCCAAAGTAGGTGGAACTGCTATGTTTAGCCTACTGCAATCTCCCAACTAAACCTAAAATTAAAAACTATAATTATATTTATCTTTTTGTTTAAGTTCTCCACAGTGGGCTCCTACTTATACTTGCCTGCTTCTCTTGTAGAATAAGCATTAACCTTTTTTTTTGTATTATTGTTTATAATTTTTCTAGGTTAATACTTTTGCCCAATTCTTTCTTTTTGTTTTCTTGATTTTTTTTTTTTTTTTTTTTTTTTTTTTTTTTTTAATAATCAATTTATCTAGTATAAGACTTTTGCCCCGCCGAGAGATATGCGATGTTTGAATATTACACTTGATTTTTTTTTTTTTTTTGTCTATTTATTTTTGATTTTTAGTGGGTTTTCTTGGTTTGGATCTCAAACCAAAACTTGAAGGGAAGGAGAGATGCATAATTCACAAAGCGTATTAAATCTTCTCATACTGTAGAATCATTTTCTTTTTTCTTGTCATAGCTCTCTGTGCGAGATTAGGTACCTAAGAAGCTGCACATAATGTTATACTTAAAGAAAGGAATAAAAGAGATTTGCCGATTCCTCAACATAATAATTACACACAGATATACAGTAAATTTTTTTTGTTGGGTACATATGATGTATGTTGGACAGGGGAACTGTTTTCTAAAAATCCATTGATTTGTAATCAATGGAAAACAAAGTTTCCTTCCTCTATTATTAGGATTTTTTTTTTTTTTTTTTTTTTTTTTTTTTTTTTGGTGGGTTTTCTTGGTTTGGACTCAATACCAAACTTGAAGGGGAGAGTGCAATACAAGCGATATCTTTCTCTTAGAATCCTGTCAGAGCTCTCTTTGCAATTGAGGACCAAACTGCACTTTCTTGTTCTTAAAGAAGAGAGAAATGATTGATGCTCAGAATATTAATTACAATAGAAACATAAATTTTTGTTGGGACAATGATGTAGTTGGACAGGGGAACTTGTTTCTAAAAATCATTGAGTGATCAATGGAAAAACAAGTTCCTTTGCCTATTATTAGGATAAGATCAAGAACTTGGATAAATTGAGTATATTAAAATGAAATTTAAACAGGCATTGGCTAGTTAATTTCGCTTTCAGATACATATTTGGGTTTTCTATTTTGAAAAATGAAAAATCTAACAATTTTCATTCATTAGTACAACTGAAGAATGGGATAATTTTCAAACAAAACATTTAAAATTATTTGGAATTATTGTTAATACAAGTGTCGATCTATTTGTGTCAAATATATAAATTATATGTTGTAAATAGTCCGCACTAGCTACATCTTTGGCAGTAATCATGCTTTAATAAGCTTATAGAACAAAATCTCAGCTGAGGCAGTCTGACTCAGATATTAACCTGTAATTATCAGAGAAAGAAAATTAGGTCAACATGATCAGAAAAGCAAGAAGAAATTGTATCTCTGAAATCACTTTATATTTTCTATTCTATTTGCTCTTTATTTTCCTTCAATTCTAATAAAAGAATGAAGATCAAGACTTTTTCTTTTCTTTCCTTTTCCACCTGGGAAAAATTCAGGCCTACTCAAGTAACAGATATTTACCTTATGAAGAAAAACAACTGTACAGCAAAGCTTATTGAGTCAGGATTCAGGAAATTCTTACATTTGTGGTAAAGCTCTCAACTACTCCCCTCAGTGTCTAGTACTCTGTTGCTAATCCATAATCGTTGTAAACCAGAGATGCATTACATTTACATCCACATGATTAACCGTTTCAAGCCCACATTCTTATTCTCTGTCATCATCATTCTGCAACATTCCAAAACACACTTCACAGATTAAAAAAAGTTGCTCTAGGAAGATATTGATGTAACTTTAAGGGCCAAATAAGGATCGTGATATGTCATAATATAAGAAAATACTCTTTCTGCGAACTATCTTATTAGTATCCATGAACCATACTGGATCAGGAAATTGGCTGCTGTCATATAGTTTTGCCTTCGTAATAAGCCCAAGTTAGAGAAAAACAGACTTAAATGCCAACACATTACACATGCAAGAGGGCAAACGGGTACCCCTCAGGCCACTGACTCATTCAGAGATTAAGGCCGGTTATAGACAATTACTCTTTCCGCAAACATTCCAAGAAGTTTTTTCAAGTTTCATAGTACTATCCTCTCAAAAGAGGAACTGCGCTCAAAATCTCAAAATAAGAACATGTGGAGCAATGTTGCATTAGATCCTTGGGATACAGACTGTTTCCTTTTTAGTGGAAAAAGTACTTATCATGCCTATCATTAATTTTATGATACTAATTAAAAATAAGTAGCTTTTTTTTTGTCATACAATTACTTGATTAATTTAACTCTGTCTATGTTGCATCAAAATACCTTGATAAAAAAAGTGAAAGAAAATAAGAGCAGAAATATAGAAGAACCAAAACAATTTCCAATCCATTAATCAAAACTTCATTTAACCACTATTCATACAAATACTTGAATAAACATAAGCTCGAGTACACTTCTGTTAGGTCGTGCCTAATGTATATGCTCAATGATGTGATGCTTGACAAACAAAATCAATCAAAATGTTACAATTTTAATTTTTTAAGCCATTTGAGGATTGTTGTAAATAATAGGTAATTGGATAGGAATATTATGGCATCATAGAGAATACCTGCATTATGCTTTGGGATGAGGGTGTCAAAGTCAGCAAGACATAACCAAGAAGCTTGGACTTGGTCAAGACATCATGTAATTCCAATTGCTTCTCCGTTGAATTACCATGCCAGCCTCAGTCATAATTAGTTGCTGGGTAATAAGGATATTAATTGTAGCAAGTAAGAGCATCACAATGACCTATGGCTCATATTGACCTACGAGATCACAACCATAAGAAGCTCTTTGTTCACCAGTAATCTCCACAAGAACAATGTCCATTCTTGAAATGATGAAACCGGCAAAGATCTCTCACGATTATTTCTCTAACTGAAAGCTGAGAAGTATACTTGATAAAATTATGACAATCAGAGCAGATACGAAGGTTCTTCATTATACGAATCGGCATTTCAGATGATGTCCGCATAAAAGCATAAGCAAGTGCTAGTTTCTCGCTATGGAAACCAAGAAGAATTTCGCTCTGCTCTTCTTCCACATCTTGCATTATAGGTTTCACATCAGATGAGTACCCAATTTCTTTCAATCTTCCAATGAGCTTTTCTAAGTAGGAATATATCTCAGTGACTTGTGGATGAGACCTATCTCCCATGACAAAAGTATGGACCTGATTCTTCAGTAGCATCCAAGACTGTCCTGGGAGTTTGTTAACTCTTTTCTGCTGCATTAAACTCCTAATAACAGCTGCGTCTTCCCATCTATGACCTGTAGCATAAATATTTGATAACAAAACATAAGAACCTGCATCAGATTGTTCAAGTTGAAGTAATCTTTCAGACACCCACTTTCCCATCTCAAAATTTTTGTGTAGTCTGCAAGAGGATAGAAATGACTTCCAAACTGCACTTTGGTCGGAGATGCTATTTTCTTGAATGAAATTCTTTGCCTCATTCAAGTGACCAGCTCGACCATAAAGATCTACCATACATACATAGTGTTCAGCACCAGGCTTGATACCATAAGCTTTTTGCATCAACTCAAAGTACTTGCACCCTTCTTCAAGCAACCCTGCATGGTTACAAGCAGTTAAAATGCCAATAAATGTAATCTCATTTGGTGTAATTCCCTCATTCATCATGCATTCAAAGAGTTGAACAGCCTCCCTTGCCTGTCCATGCAAAGCTAAACCGGATATCATTGATGTCCATAGTACAACATTCAAATTATTGTTTTGTTTAAAAATCTTCATAGCATCACTCAAGCTTCCACATTTAGCATACATATCAACTAATGAGGAACCTAAATGAGCATCGATTTTGTGCCCAACTTTCTGAATGTGGGCATGGATCTGTCTTCCTAGTTCCAACATCCCACTATTTGCGCAAGCAGAGATAATGCTTGTCAGTGTAAACTTGTCCACCACAAAATATTCATTAACCATAAATCTAAATGTTTGTAAAGCAAGTTCATAATTGCCATTCCTAACATATCCAGAAACCATTGAGCTCCATGAGACAATGTCTGCCAATGAATCATCACAAGAAATCTCCACAGGCATTTTCCTAAATATGATGGACGCCTCATCCATTTTCCCACATTTGCAATACATATCTAGAAGTGAATTCCTAATGAAACCATTGCTGTGAAGTACAAGTCTTAGAACCCGGCCATGAATCTGTTTGCCCAGTCCCAAAAGCGATAAACAGGAAGCCAAATTCAAAGCTATAGAAAAAGTAACTTCATTGAACACAGGTCCACTTTCCACCATCTTATAAATGAATCCCAGTGCTTTTACTTCGCATCCATTTCTCATTAGTCCATCTACGATATTGTTCCAACTCGTTACATCTTTAAAGTACAAACTTTGAAACAAACCAAGTGCTCCTTCCACATTTCCAATATGCAGATATCCACCAATCATTATATTCCAAGACACTGTGTCTTTGCCCTCCATTGACTCAAACAATCTTTCCGCGTAATCCAAAGCACCACATTTAACATAAAGATCAAGAATTGAATTCTCCAAAACAACATCTAATCCAATCCCATTTGTCAATATCCACCCATGAATCCCTTTCCCATTTCTTAGTTCAAACAAACTAGAGCAACACTTCAAAACGCTTGATAAGGTGAATTGATTAGGACAAATACCTTCCTTTTGCATTCTTCTAAATGCATCAAATACCATTTCATACTTCTCACATTGAGCAAAACCTGATATCAGAACAGTCCACGAGCGTACGTCTCTATTAAGAATTTCATCGAACAACTTGTGGGCGTGATGCAAATTCAGACATTTCTTTGCGTAGAGGTTCAAAAGATGGTTAAGGGTACCCACATTATGAAGAGAGCCAGTCTTGATAAAATTAGCATGCAGTATTTCTGCTTCTGTCAAGTTTTTTGAGTGACCAGAAGATAAGGGTTGATGGTGCCTATAGAATCGCCGACATTGGTGACGCTCATATTTAGTGGTGTTTATAACATGTGTGATTATGGGAACCGGAGAGGGTGAGAGGGTCAGGTTATTTTTGAGATAAAACATATGGTGCCTACTCAACTGCATCTCATTCTACCGGTATGGCATTATCAAGCTTGATAGTTTCAGACTCGGTCACAGTTTGGCTGCTGAAAGAGTGTGACCACAAACGTGGACAAGAGCTACATTTGCGCAGGGTTTCGGAATAAATCATGCCGAGGAATATTTTTCCCTCCATACTCAAAGAAAGATCATTCAGCAATGCCAAAGGAAAGCTTTCCATCGACTCAAAAATAATATTTCTTATTTAGAAACTACAGATTTTTTTTATGCAAGACTGCAAGAAAACTTTACATAATTAAGTAGTAATTATCAATTTGACTATTTTCGCACTAACCTGAAAATTAAATTATTTTGCATTCCATCGCCTTTATTTTCCATACTTACAATACAAATGACACTAGTAAGTATCGACTATTACTATTTTACTTACTAATGTATCCGCTCTCTTAAACTCTATTTTCCATTAAGTTAAAAATTCCAAAATCATCTCCCTTAACGAAGGCACTGCCTTGCATCTCCAAAATTGTTGGCAGGAACTAGTAAACAGATCAAATATCAAATTAAGCTACCTGTGTTAACATTCATCATAGTTTGCCAAGATCATAGCTGATGAAAAACTTGTTTAAAGCCATTAATATATGCTAATTACACAAATGAATAACTGAAACTGTCTAGTTTCAACTAGTTAGTATAAAACCTTTTCAACAATATATAAAAAGAATTAGGAAGGAAAAAAAAATGGAAACTGCATTACAGTGTGCAGAGAGATATGTTAACCTACATTTTTAAACTCATAGAGGAGGATAGAAATAAGAAGATAAAGAAAAGCCAAGGAAAAGCAAGCCTCCAATTGTAGCAACTGTCCCTTGTGAGATCTTAGATGCTAGCATGCTCCCTCCCACCACTGCCAAGGAAGTGCAGATTGTGTGTCCTAGGGTAGCACCCACAGCTACACCGATTGCATTTTTGTGCGTTGCTAGCTGCAGATCAGAAATTCTAGTTTCAGCATTACATGAATGCCATCGATAAAGAAAAATGCAGGTGTAAAATTGCATGTGTTGATATGTGTACATAAATGCCTTATATAAGAAGAGAAGTTAATTTGATTGAACTTTGCAGCTAAATGTATAAGAAGAGAAGTTGATTAAATTGTCTTACAGCAATTGTTGCAATCTGGCTACGATCCCCCCATTCAGCTAGAAAGGTTAAAATAAATGACTGCATAATGAAACAAAACTATATTATTAATACAAGTACCAAATGATAAACAAATAATAACAAGGGGCTGAGCAAAAAATTATATCAAACTATCATAGATTATACTCCATATTTCATGCAATTAATACTACTATATAAGTTCCAAGGCATCAAACGTACTTCCAAAAATATTGGAGTACAAAATCTTGAAAAGAAGCGGCGGAAGGTTGTTTTCCCTTGCCCTGCTTCCAGCTTTTCCTCTACCTGAAAGCATAATATACAATATCAGAATAGAGATAATACCAAAATCTGGCAAGAGTGATGCAGAGACAAAGAAGAAGGGGGAAGGGAAGAACATTGAGTTTTGATCTTCAAAAGCAATCCACAGAAAAAATCTTTCAAAATCATATACAAGAAAATAGAAGGAATCTCAATTTAGTATTATTAACTAAACTTATAAACAATAATAATAAGCATTGGACAAAGCAAAACAAAAGGGAACAGACCATAAGGACATCTTTCTAAAGAAGTGTTGTTTCTGAAAGATAAACCATCAAGGGGAAGAAAAGTAAACAACAATATGTTTACAAGGATGGAAATATGGAAAAGATGGTTCAAGGCGACTCAGTAATATGCCAGTTCATTGGCTAATCCAAGCAATTCATTCATGTAATGGGAAGATTGCAAAGAAAGAAGCTTCATGCAATTGGTAAACAGGAAATTGCCTATCAAAAATATATATATATAAGTAAGCCACAAATCTCCACAGGCCAAAACTAATAACCGTCCTTTTAGCATATCACTTGTCTGTAAAGAAATCAGAAGCTTGATATAGAAGCCAGCATTTGAATGCCATAACACCATTCAACCAACAAATATGTTCTCACTTTTCGTTTAAAATAGAATTGGAATGAAGTGTGTGCAGCTTTGGAATAAAAATGCATCAGCTTTACTGCAAAAACACCAATGACAATGTATGAAACTGAAACTGAAAATGGGAAAAAGAATACTTCTTCCATTTCTTTTTTCTGGGATGATTTTGAATCAGATCTCCAGGCAATGTAAAGTAATCGCAGACCAAAAAAAGCATAAAGAACTGCACGAGAAAAGAAAATTCCAAGGTTAATGATTGATAATTAAATCCACATAGACATGCTATAGCATATTGTCCTAGAATGTATATATGGGCAATGTTTTCTGCATTTAACATTTTTTTACAAAATATCCAGAACCCAAATCAAGTTGATTTATTAACTTAGTTCAAAAATAATCTAAAAAATTTTTCCACAAAACAACATTATAGAAAGCTTCAATGGCTGCGAATTGCTTATCTAGAAGAAAGTGAACAAAAAATGACATGCTGAAAGCAATATTACATATTGCTCTCTGCATACTCATCATGCCAACCATGGCGCATCCAGAACCCAAATGGATGATTTACCACAACAAAATTTTTGGTTCTTGCCTAACACTCAATATAGAAACTACAGGATACATCTAGAAATCTCCAAAGTCTTGAATTCAAAGACACTTCCACATACGCCACTCAAGGTATTAGCTGGTTAATAAAAAGTGCAACATACAGAATCATCAGATTCTGCTACTTTTCCAACCTCTCAACATCCACAAACAATAAAATGCACCGAAAAGGACTAGATTATAACTCCAAACTGATATGAACTCACATCACGTATGATCAACAAGACATACAACAGAAAGCATCCTATATAAAACATTAAAAGGGGAAAGAGAGTATATGCCACCCAAATAAGTATTAATAGATACAATTTATATTTTTAAGTACCTGTAGCAGCACTATTTGTATGCTTTCTTGATATCAAATTTGGCACAATCCTACCTAGTCCTGTAGAAAGTACCTAATTAACACATAAAACAAACTTTTTAAGTTTCATAAAATTGAGCTGGGAGAAGTACTTTCTAGTTGCTGGCACCATTCCATTACATTGCCATGCAAATGCATTGCAATATCAGGTAGAAAACAAGTCGCGGCAGATCTAAAGGGAAAACATAACTCTTTCAGGCAAAGTTAAAACAGAAACAAAATAAATGGATAACTCACTGTCATAACCACTAATGCAGAGAGAGCACCAGATAAAACAATTGACTTGGGGTGGCGCATTGCCATAAGAGCTGCTATAATAAAAGTCTCATCTCCAATCTATAAAAAAAATTGTCATCAAAAGAAACATATATTAGATAAATAAGCAGCAAAAGTTAACTGCAGTCAACTCTTTAATCGCCATCACACAACAAGAATGGGATCATTTATTGATGGATGCCAGATCATCTTTTTCCTCCTCCCTTATTCTAATAAGGGCATATGCAGAACACAAAATATTAAGAGAAATCAGGACTTGCATTGCAGAGCTAGTAAAAAAAAATGTTCAAAAAGCTGAAATTGTTATATAAGAAGGCGAAAGTAAGAAATGAGCTCAGAACAAACCTCACTAACAACAATCATGGACAAGCTTGCAATAAATGCATCAAAAATTCCAAGACCAGAGTCCACCTGAAGTCCAAGATTATTAACAGAATTGACGTCAAGGTCATGTGTGATTATCTGCACTCACAAACCCCAAATACAATAAGCATATCTCCAGTTATAATTGAAGCAGAAAACAATTTCCGCTATAATTTTTCAAAATTTCCAAATATGGATAAGCTCACCATGCCACGGCGGCCAAGATCTTTATGAGATACAGTCGACTCTTCCTTCCCATTTTCCATCAAAGTTTCCTGGAAAAAAAAACAAAAAGCTTGAAATAAAAAAAAAAAAAATTGTTTTATGCAAAAAACAAAGCACACGAACTGTAGTAGAGAGAGACCTGAGCAGCGACGTAGGAGAGAGCCAGTAATAGGAAGGAAGCGAGAAGGAGAAGCCTAGAATACGAATGAAACCCCATGATAAGAACGAATTGGAGGTGAAGTAGATGAATAAGTATGTGTTTGGCGAGAGAGAAAGCAGAGGAAATTGGGGAATTAGCTTAGCTTTTCTGAGGCAAGTGGATCAGAATCATGGAAATGAGATAAAAAAGATAGGAATGGGGATCTAATTGTACCTTTACTCCGATTTTAAGGTACAGTCGTGAAGTAATGAGATCTAAGAAAGTAGAAACGAGGGAGAAAGAGAGAGATCTTGCGAAAGAGCGAAGATCCCCAGAGGAAAGAGGGAAGTGGGAGAGATTATGTAATATAAAAAGAATTGCGCGTTTGGTGTATGACCAAACAATTTTGGGCAAATTTTTATTTAGTCCTTGAATTTTTAATCTAATTGTAATAATCACTATATTTTGATCAAATAACTAAATCGTCTATAACTTTTAGATACATGAAACTATTTAATCCTTTTTAAAAAAATGCCATTTCACCTTTGAGTGAGAGATTAATTGTCAAAATTATGTTAATTTTCAAAAAAAAAAAATATCAAAATTATGTTAAATAGTAATATAATACTCCGTTGCAACAAAAACAGTCAACCTTTTCATTTTGCTCTGTCCCAAAATATAGTCAATTTACTTTTTTTTAATTATAATTAATCTTTAAATTATTTACTATGCCTTTTTAAGTTTTATCTTATTTTTAATAATCTTCATTAATTTATTATTTTTCCTAAATCAGTCATCCTTCAATTAATATGGTATTTATAAGTAGTTTTTTTTTGCCTCTTGAATTTTAGAAAATTATCAATATTAGTCACTCTCATTAATTGCAATTTACATTATGATTTTTATTATTACAATATAATATTAATTGCTTATATGCTATTTAAAACGAGTATAATAAAAATATTCGACAACAAAATTTTCCACCAACCATAATAAATTTCATTTCTTAACCTGCGTGGAAAAGAAAGTGAAATGTCTTGTTCAAGTTGGAGCATGAATTTTTGACTTTGGTAAAAGTAAAAACAGAGACATAGTGGACAACTACACAGGACTATTTAAATTATGGAATATTCTTTTTCAAATTGATGCAGTTGCAGACTAGGCAGTAAATAGTGCAAAAATTATAAAGCTTGAATCTTTTTCATAAATTCCTGAGTATTAACTTCAGCTTTAAAGAATCATATACCAACTACCAAAAAACAGAATCCATGAAATCATTCCTCATGATAGGTTAGCTCAACCTTTTTTCAGCTTCTGATACTATCCTTTGTTCTTCAGCTTCTAAAATTATGATCCATAATTTGTTTTCGTGAATTTTAAATTATTGATATTGCATTTCACTTGTCTCCTCCTTGCATACAAGTATGAAAGTTACAGGTAACTTCATACGGCTTGAGAAGGAAAGATTAAAAGAATGATGAAATGTAGATTCAAGAAATGAAATGCACTTCAAAATATCAAGCAGTAAGAGTTTGAAATTTACAACTATAATATCCAGTGGACAGTTTTACCCAGAACAACAGCAATTATGATGGAAATAAGAGCTGTCAAGGCACCATGTCTAGAAAGCCAGAACTCGTACAGCGTCAACGGCCTAGTAACCTGCAATAATACTTTCTGGAATTGTTCCTCCAAGTCTTCTAATGAACCAGTATTATCAATGACAATGTCAGCCTTGGACCTTTTCAGATCTAGGGCCATCTGAGCATTTATCCTATTTCTGGCATCCTCCTCGCTGGATTTATCTCTTGCCATAAGCCGTTGAAGCTGTGTTTCCATATCAACCCATACAATAATAGTCGGTTTTGTCCATTTATCTATCTTGGTCTCAAAAAGCAATGGGATATCAAGAACAATTACTTTATATCCCTTCAACCATAGCTTCAGAGTTTCCCAGAAGATGCCAAAAGAGATATAAGGAGCCAAAAGCCTGCAAGAAATGAGAGCCAAAGTTAAGAGTGAGGTAATGCACAATTCTCTGAACATTGTCCAATGCAGTTCTCTTGCTAGCAAACCAATGCAAAACCAATACCAATGCTCTAGCAACCAAGATTTGAGACATCATAACGATTTAACCTTGGAAAAGTAAAAAATTACGAAACAGAACTTCAATCATATGACTTCACTATTAAATCGAAACTGCTTTAAGATTATCATTGCGATTAGGAATTCAATTTGCTATGACATGACTATCAAACTAAATCGTCAAGGAAGTTGAAGACAAACAGCTTTTGTAGAATCATGAACTAGTGGAAGCAAGAAGCTAATTAGCCAGTGGCCCTGACACTAAACAAGGAGCTTTGCTTCTATTTCCATCAATCAAATAACATATGTTCAAACTATGCATTTCTATATTTCCTTCAGATCACATTGATGCATTTCGATACCAGTACAAAGGGGATTCTCCAGAAATTTAATCCTTGCACTACCATAGACAAAAATACAATTCTAACATAGACCGTGCAGCCATGATGATAACAAACAAATCAAGATGATTAAGAGCATTAAATTTTATTCAGTTGCTCTATTGATTTGTTAGCTTATCAATTGATTCAAATTTAATCAATTTTCATAGACATAAACTCCTATTAGGAACTAAGCTTACCTATTAAGAAGTTGACGTTTTGCAGTATCAGAGAACACTATCTGGCCTAATTTTGGCCTATCCACTTCCCCATTAGCTTGTAAGATATCCTCTCCAAATGCTGCAACAACCTTCTTATATCCACAGGCTTCTTTCTTCAAAACGTCCTGCATAAAGTACCTAGAGAGAACATCAGGAAATTTTAAGTGCTATAACCTGAACATAAAGCATATAACTTTAGAGAAAAAAAAAAAAAAAAAAAGCTCCAATCGAATACTAAAAATAGAAGCGATTACTATGGAGATATATAAGAGAAACGAGCATACGCGTGAGACGAGATCGGCGTCAACAATGGGAATTCCATGGGTTTTGAAAAGATTGGAGACAGTACTCTTTCCAGACGCTATTCCACCAGTCAATCCCACCATTCTCATTCTCACTGCTGTCTTCGAGATGCTCCTTTGGCACTCATAGTCATGTACAGCCTTTTGAAAGCAGGTTAGAGGTGGACGGATTTCATAGGACATCATCGAAAGCTAAAAGGAAGATGCCATAGCAGACTCTTTGAACAGAAAAAGACAAAAGTCAGGAAAAACAAAAGCTAGAGATTAATACCCGGTTAATATCTGGGCGGGCCTTGCAATGCATTAAGACCCGGTTAATATCTGGGCGGGCCTTGCAATACATTAAGACCCGGTTAATATATAAAATAAAGAAATAAAATTTTATTATTAATAAAAATTCAGAAAGTTTGTATTTCTTCGTCAGAGTCACTTGTGTACTCGTCTTCATCTCTAACCAGAGTCTCATTTTCAATCTCTAAGCATCTCTGCGACTTCATTATTCCGTCAAGCTCCATTGCTACTTCTTTCATTGAAGGCCTATTCTTACCATTTGGATTTACACATTTCACAGCAAGTTTTGCAATGCCATGAACATCTTCACTCCTAGCTTCTCTAGGATCAAGAATTTGAAGCAGGCAATTCTCTTCTTCCATTGAAGTGAAATGTGCAACAAGGTTTCTCTCATCCTCAGCTCTAGTAGAAGAAATTGGCTTTTCTCCAGTTAAAAGCTCAATTAGCACAACGCCAAAACTGTACACATCACTTTTCTCTGTAAATTGACTTGTGTAGAAGTATTTAGGATAAGTATCCAAATGTGCCTTGCACTATGGTGGTTATATGAGTTTTGTCATATGAGAACGATCTTGAAGTACCAAAGTCAGCAACTTTTGCACTATACTTCTCGTCAAGAAGTATATTTGAAGATTTGATGTCCCGATGAAAGATTGGGAATGAAGCTGCGGAATGCATATAGGCTACTGCTCCAGCTACTTCACTTGCAATTCTAAAGCGATCTTCCCATGAAATCGAAGATTCTGTATTTTCCTTATGAATATGATGAGAAAGAGTTCCATTGGAAATGAACTCATATACCAACAATGGAAATTCAGTTTCTAAACAACAGCCTAAAAGCTTGACAACGTTTCGATGATTTATTTGAGATAGAATCACAACCTCATTTACAAATTGATCAATTTGGCATCTGTCAATAGTTTTTGATCTTTTAACAGCAACTATACTACCATCTGGTTGTTAGGATTAATTCAAAATAATATTATTAAAAATATTTTGGCTTACGCTACTGGTGGTTATTATGACGCTTTTGTTCATATGAGAACGATCATTGAATTTACCAAAGGGTCAGCAACTTATCTGCACTCTACTTTCGTCAAGAAGTATATTTGAAGATATTGACTGTCGCGATGGAAAAGATTGGGGAATGAAGCTGTGGAATGTTCATACTAGGCTACTTGCTCCAGCTAACTTGCACTTGCAATTCTAAAGCGATCTTCCAGTTGAAATCTAGATTTCTGTTTTTTCCTTATGATATGATGAGAAAGAGTTCATTGGAAATGAACTCAAAGTTATTTTACCAACGAACTGGAAACTTTCAGATTCTCTAAACAACAGCCTAAAACGCCTTGACAAACGTTTCGATGATTTATTTGAGATAGATCACAACCTCAATTTACAAATTTGATCAATTTGGCATGCTGTCAATAGTTTTTTGAATCTTTTTCAACTCAGCAAACTATACTACCATACTTGGTTGTTAGGATATATTCAAAATTACACTTATTATTAAAAATATTTTGCAGCTTTTTATTTAGTTAGTGCAGATTCTGTACCATAAGTAATGTGTGATGTTTTTTATTATGAGGATTAATGAGTTCTTTAGGGTATTTTTAAGTCTTATTTGAACTAGTTAGTGCAGATTTTCTGCATAGAATTTGATGTTTTTATTATTAGGATTAATGATTTTTAGGAGTATTTTTAAGTCTTATTTGATTCACTTGTAAACTTATAAATAGGCATATCCTTTTGCTAATTCAGGTGTAAAATATTGTTAATCATCTTGTGTATTTCCATTCTTCCTTCCCTAAAAATCTCAACACAGGTAACATTCCCTTGTAAACTGTTCCAAAGCCTCCCTGACCAAGAAATCTACTTTGGTTATAGTTGTCTGTTGCTCTTTGTAGCTCCTCTGCAGTAAATACTTTAGCCTTTTCACTAATTCCATACCATGCCAGCCTCTGTTGCAAGCCTCCATTTTGCTCGAAATATTTTGATTTTCGAATTCTTTCTCTTCTTTTCTTCAAGAATTGGTAAAATTTGTAGGCAAAAAGGAATAAAGATGTAACTCCCATACCAATAACAATACCTGAAGTAAGTATAAAGATAATTTAGTAATATTCATGCAAAAGCTAGAGTTTAAACGTAAAACATCAAAAGAACCAAGTGTGAGAAACAGACCCAGTACTACAATAAGTTTGGCTGGAAACTTTTTACTACTTTTTGGTGCGCAGTCTACACCAACTGCAATAGAACCATTGGGATCTTGGCAGGGTAAAACCCCTGGATTTGTCAAACGACTCTCATTTGTAAGAGGAAGCAGAAGAGGTGTGAAAGGATAGATAATGCTGTCATCTGACAATTTATTGGCTTCAATAACGCTTGCTACGTCGCACTTGCAACTTTTGAAATTGTATCTCCCCTTGTCACCATATACACCAGCAAAGATATCACCCCTTTTTTAGTTTGGTTCTGAGTTGGGCATACACATCTTAATGGAACTATAAGCTCCTGGCTACCAATGTCGTTTTGGTCCATAATTGCCTGACAAGTAGTTAAGCCTTGGTAAGTATTATCGGCAATAGTAAAATATGTCTCATCTGTACCTTTGATATAAGAAGTGTTGTGCTGGTAAATGCTACCAGAACATGAACAGGAAATAGGAACTGTGATTAATTTGTCAGAGGGAAATGTGAATATGGAAGAAACATTGTTGATCAAGGCTAAAACTGAGGCTTCTGAACCTAAAAGAGAAGAGACGGTGATTGGTGAGTCATAAGGTGCGCGTGATGAAAAGGTTAAGAAAGCTTGACATTGGAATTGGTTTCCATTGCAGACATACCCTTTCGATATAGAAGAATTATCTGCACAATTTGTTGTCCTCTTGCTAATATATTCTTGTTGGGAGTTTACTGGTTGATGGGTTAGAAACAGGAGAAGGAAAATTGAGAGGCTGTAAAAAGATGATAACTCCATGGATTTAAGTTCTTGGGCTAAGGTCTGTTGAACTTAGTTATCTAGCTACTTTCCTGCAACTGATATAACTGGCACAGCAATTAGGCTGGATTCTTTCACTTGACAGTTCTGGAGAACTATAAACAAACGTAAACAAGTAAACAACAGCCTCTTCTTGGACTTTTAACGAGAAAGGAAGTTTCCAAAATGTTTCCCCTTCTATAAAATGTTGAACATTGACTCTTATAGCATGCATCTAACGCGCTAATAATACAATAAATTTATCTGTAAGTTTTGGAAGAATTGTATTTCTCTTATTTTTTTATTGAGGTAAATATATATAAATTGCACTAATGTACAGAGACTGGGACTGTGAAATGTAACTTTGATGCAGCTATCCATACCACAGAAGATCGTTCATCGTATGCTGGTCTCATTCGAAACGAAGCTGGGCAATTCTTGGCAGCTTGCACAGGTCATTTTGCGGGAGTGCTGAAACCTCACATTGCAGAGGTCATCGGTCTTAGGGAAGTATTGTCTTGGCTGCTCACGAGATCTATCGATTGGGTTCCGGTGGAAACAGATTGCCTGCAACTGTAACTGCTGGGTTTGAATCTTATTCAGACTGGGCACCAGTGCTCGAAGAGATTAAACAACTGATTTCTCAAATGCCATCTTGTGAATTGGTTTGGGTTAGGAGGCAAGTCAACAAACCTACACACACTCTTGCTCGTGTGGCATGTTTATATCCTTGTTTTCGTCTATGGGACTCAGACTCACCCATGTATTGCAACTCTTATTTCTCATGATTTATTATAAATATATGATCTTATTTACTGTCAAAAAAAAAAATATATGGGAAGGTAATAACGAATAAGCATAGAATCCCTATAATCACTCCGTAAAATATCCTCTGACAGCTCAAGTCAACAATATGAATAATTAAAAATCACTTAAATACAAAAATAAGTCAAATTAAGATATCCACATCTTTGCATTCATACACAGAAACTACACCAACATATTTAGTCTTGAATGATAATCAGAGGAAAAAGTCCAATTAAAATGTTACTGTTTTGATACCTCTAAAAAGCATTCATTAATGGTTGGGATGATAAGCAAACTCAATCTGTAAGGGTGAGAATACAAGTTTGATCTCGGGCAAAAAACTTTTAGGCTCTATGGTTTGAGGGGATTAAACCTTGCTGGTTTTTTTTTTTTTTTTGTGTAAAATGAAGAGCAGAGCTCAAAAGAAACTACAGTAGACAAAGTCGAGGATTTTAATCTCAACAATCCAGATTTTAGACCAAGCAAGCAAAGAAAGAAAAGAAAAAATCTCATCTTGCTTAGAAAATCTATGTCAAAGTCCAATGTGGAGGCTGCTGAAAGTCAATGCCGTTTTAAAATTGAAGTTGGGGAAGATAATATATTAATTAATATCTGATGTGAAATAACTTGGTTTTTTCAATTGCCAAGTTAAAGTCAAAGTTATAACTCAACTAATATGCATAATAAACGCAGGTAACCAAACACTATTGCCTAAGAACTCAGTTCCATGGAGGCACCATCATCATTTTACTGCCTTTCAATCTTCCTGTTTCTGTTTCTTTTACACCAACCATCAAAGTGCCAGCAAGAATATCTTAACAATACTCAGCTCAATTGTTATGAAAATCCTTCCATATCGAAAGGGTATCTTTGCAATGGCAATCAAATGCCATGTCAATCATTTTTGACCTTTTTATCTCGCCCGCCTTATGACTCCCCCGTTTCCATTGCTTACCTTTTAGGTTCAGAAGCTTCAAGTATAGCCTTGATCAACAATATACCACTCCATGATAAAATTTCCTTTGAAAAATTGATTATAGTTCCTGTTTCTTGTTCTTGTACCGGTAGCATTTACCAGCATAATGCACCTTACACTGTTAAAAATCTATCTGAAACTTACTTTCGAATAGCTAATGACACTTACCAAGGCCTAACTACTTGCCAAGCACTAATGGGTCAAAACTACTATAATTCTGGAAATCTTCAGGTAGGAATGGAGCTAATGGTTCCTTTAAGATGTGCTTGTCCAAGTCAAAACCAAACAGCAAATGGGGTGATCTCTTTGCTGATGTATATGGTGACATGGGGAGATACAATTTCATCGATTGGAAAAGCTTTCGGGGTTGATGTAGAAAGCATACTGGAGGCTAACAAGTTGTCACAAAACAGTCTGATCTTTCCATTTACACCTATTTTGGTTCCGCTTAAGAGTGAGAGTTGCATGGCTAATTCAGATAATTTCTTTTGCCAATGTCCTAATGGGTTTCTTGTCAATGGAGGGGCAGAAGGTCTTAATTGCATACCAGACAGCAAAAAATTTCCTGTCAAACTGGTTACACTATTAGGTATGTATCTACGCCCTCTCCCAATTCAATCTGGCTTGCGTTCGATTACATTATATTGCACTACAACCTTAGTGTACCTCTTTGGTTTAGTCCACTTATTCATGTATCTATTGTAGGCATTGGAATTGGGATCGGACTGTTGTTTGTATTCCTCTGTAGCTACAAGTTATATCAGTACCTAAAGAATAGAAGACAAAGAATTCGCAAAGAGAGATTACTTGAGCAAAATGGAGGCTTCTTGTTACAGAAGAGACTATTATCTTGTGGAGGAGGTGAAAAGGCAAAATTGTTCAGGGAAGAGGAGCTGAAAAGAGCAACAGACAACTACAACCAAAGTAGATTTCTTGGTCAAGGAGGTTATGGCACTGTGTACAAAGGAATGTTACCAGATGGCACAATAGTTGCTGTTAAAAGATCAAAAACTATTGAAAGAAGCCAAATTGATCAATTCATAAATGAAGTTGTGATTCTATCTCAGATAAATCATCGAAACATTGTCAAGCTTCTAGGCTGTTGTTTAGAGACTGAATTTCCATTATTAGTGTACGAGTTCATTTCCAATGGAAACCTTTCGCATCATATTCGTAAGGAAAATTGTAGAGAATCTTCAATTTCATGGGAAGATCGCTTCAGAATTGCAAGTGAAGTAGCTGGAGCAATAGCATACATGCACTCTGCAGCTTCATTTCCAATCTTTCATCGCGACATCAAATCTTCAAACATACTACTAGATGATAAGTACAGTGCAAAAGTATCAGATTTTGGGACTTCAAGATCAATCCCATATGACAGAACTCATTTAACCACAGCAGTACAAGGAACATTTGGATACATGGATCCTGAATACTTCCACACAAGTCAATTCACTGATAAAAGCGATGTGTATAGTTTCGGGGTTGTGCTGATAGAACTCCTGACAGGCCAAAAGCCTATTTCTTTTACTAGAACTGAAGATGAGAGAGGCCTTGTTGCACATTTCATGTCATCAATAAAGGAGGATCGTCTTTCTCAACTTTTAGACCCCACAGTTGCTACAGAAGCAAGGAAAGAAGATATTGAAACCATTGCAAAGCTTGCAATGAGATGTCTGAGATTGAATGGAAAAAAGAGGCCGACAATGAGAGAAGTAGCAATGGAGCTAGATGGATTAAGGAAGTACAAAGGAAGCTTGGAAATTGACAAGCCTAATTGGTTGATCAAAGAGGAAGGATTGTTGCTGCACTCTATTGATGTGTCTTCACAAGAATCAATAGAGGATTTCATTACCTTGGAAATGGAATCTACCTCACTCTAGATAGCTGATTATATTTTATTTTTGTAAATTCTCCTAGGGAAGTTTATGTGTATAGATAATACTTATTGGTAGGTGCAACCTTGAATGAATGTATCTTTTAAATTCATTATTTTATTCAACCTCCAATTTTGTGAACATGAAATAATTTCAACAGCATAATATTCTTTAATTTGTTCCTATATGTTATCCACACATTTAACTTTGAAGGCATTATTTAGAACATCTAAGAAACTTTAAACTTTATTGTCCGTCTGCTAGCAGCTTTTCATTTGCATTCAAGATAGGGACAGCACTAGAGCAGAGGAAGAATCAGACATCACTGACTAGTTAGAAGAAGCAGCTTCTGTTTGGAAGGTTTTGGGAACTCTATTAAGTTGCTTAGAAATAAGCAATCCAAAATGGAAAATAATAATATTTGACCTCAGTTTTTCGTTTTGAGATTGGTTGTCTGGCTATTATTTTGCAGTAAAGATACTAAAAATGAATAAGACTCTTTTGATTGTCCATTGTTTTACTTCTCTCAAATAAATGATCAAAAGGTGCTTTGTTTCAATTGTGTAAACATAATACATAGAAATTCTTGATCATAGAATAAGCATTGCTTTTATTATCCAAAATAAGAAAATGGGCTGATCACATCTAGATTGAGATGGTTTCCATCTCTGCATATTCATGTTCTGCAGTTTCATCAAAGGCATACACAAAGGATGATGCTTCATCACTCAATGAAAGCTCATGACCTATCTCTATGGACTTTTGTGACTTCCTTAGTTCATCCAACTCCATTGCTGCTTCTTTCATTGTAGGCCTCTTTTTCCCATTCAAACTTAGACATCTCATTGCAAGCCTAGCAATGCCATCAATATCTTCTTCCCTTGCTTCTCTAGCGACTATAGGGTCTAAAAGTTGGAAAAGGCGATCCTCCTTTGTTGATGATATGAAATGAGCAACAAGGCCTTTCTCATCTTGAGATCTAGCAAAGGAGATAGGTTTTTCCCCAGTTAGAAGCTCTATTAACACAACACCAAAACTGTAGACATCGCTTTTCTCTGTGAATCGACTTGTATGAAAGTACACAGGATCTAAGTAACCGAATGTTCCTTGTACTGCAGTAGTTAGGTGAGTTTTGTCATATGGGATTGATCTTGAAGTTCCGAAATCGGACACTTTTGCACTGTACTTATCGTCTAAAAGTATGTTTGAAGATTTGATGTCTCGATGAAAGATAGGAAATGAAGCTGCAGAGTGCATGTAAGCTACTGCTCCAGCTATTTCACTTGCAATTCTAAAGCGATCTTCCCATGAAATCGAAGATTCTGTATTTTCCTTATGAACATGATGAGAAAGAGTTCCATTGGAAATGAACTCATAGACCAATAATGGAGATTCAGTTTCTAAACAACAGCCAAGAAGCTTGACAATGTTCCTATGATTTATCTGAGAGAGAATCACAACCTCATTTATAAATTGGTCAATTTGGGTTCTGTCGATAGTTTTTGATCTTTTAACAGCAACTATGCTACCATCTGGTAACATTCCCTTGTAAACAGTGCCAAAACCTCCCTGACCAAGAAATCTACTCTGGTTATAGTTGTCTGTTGCTCTCTGAAGCTCCTCTGCCGTAAATAGTTTTGCCTTTTCACCTACTCCACAAGATGCAAGGCGTTGTTGCAACAAGAAGCCACCGTTTTGCTCAAACAATTTCTGCTTGTGCATTATGTATGATCTTCTCCTTAAGAACTGACATACCTTGAAGACGAGAAGAAACAAGCATAAGAGTCCAATTCCAATGCCAATACCTGAAGTATAAATACATAGACAATTTAGTATTCTGATTGTCATATATAGAAAAGCTGTTTGATTTCTTTTAAGTGTATGCAAGAGAGAGACCTAATATGATAACCAGTTTGACAGGAAACTTTTTTCTGTCCTTTTTGCAGTTGAGACCTTGGACGCTTTCATCTTCAAGAGAATCATAAATAAGACAATTGCAGAAGAATTTTCCTGGATCAGCCTTACAGCTCTGGCTTTTAAGTGGAACCAGAATAGGTGTAAAGGGATAAATAGGGCTGTCCTTCGACAACATGTTAGCCTCTAATATGCTTGCTTCATCAACACCAAAAATATTGCCAATAGAAGCAACGGAGTCTCCATCTCTCAACATATACATCAACAAAGAAATCACCCCATTTGCAGTTTGGCTTGAACTTGGACATGCACATCTTATTGGAACCATCAATTGCCCTTCGATTGTTAAATTAGGTGCATCATAGTAATTTTGACCGAGAAGGGCTGCACAAGTGGTCAAGCCTTGGAAATTCTCATTGGCTATTGCATAATAATAGTCCCCCGCTTGAATGGTGTAGGGAGTGCTATGCTGGTATATGCTGCCTGTACAAGAACAAGAAATAGGAACTATGACCAATTTCTCTGAAGGAAATTCTTCTCCGGGTGAAATACCATTATTGATTAAGGCTATACTTGGGGCTTCTGAACCTAAAAGAGATGCAATGTTGGCTGGGGAGTCATATGGTGAGCGGGATAGAAAGGTCACGAAGGATTGGCATGGAACTTGAGGTCCATTGCACAGGTATCCTTTGGACACATTACAGGTAGTTTGATTGCTGTGAAGATACTCTTGTTGGCAGTTTGTTGGTTGTTGAATAAGAAATAGAAAGACGCAGATGAAGAGGCAGTAGAATGATGATGACTCCATGAGTTTAATTTTTGGGATATAGGTTGATTTTGTCTGCAATTTATTGATCTTCTTGATTTACTGGTTGGAGGAGGTGAACCCGAAAACTCTCCTTATGCAGGTCAAATATGCACTTCTAGCCATCTCTATCAAAAAAGAAGGAAAAAATAAAAAGAAGGAAAAAATATGTTCAGTGACTTATACAACCAAATTCGCAAACGCAAGCAGCTTTCATTTGCATTCAAGAGACAGAAAGCTTTCAAATGTCACTGACTGGTCAACAGAAGCAGGCTCTGTTTAGCAACTCTAGGAAATTGTAGAGAAATAAACAACACTAATCTGAACATAAATTTTGCCTGCCTTAGTTACTAAAATATCCAGTGAAAATGAAGGTACCACCAACATAGATTTACACCATTGATTTCCCTAATTTAAAGGTCTTTGATTCCTAGCACTGGAAGGAAATTTTGGAACTGGAAGAAATTTCAAGCTCTTTGAGTATTCTTAGAGATACATAATGGAAAATAAAGTGGAATATTCATTTTATGTTTTCAGGTTGGTTAGTTGGCTTGATGTTTATATTGCATTGAAGATACCCAAAATTGGTGAAGAAAGAGTGCAGCTGTTTACAATTTGATGCAGTGTCATCATAATCAAGAAAATAATTGCCTTTCAGATTGATTCAAAGTTTCAAGTTTTAGCAGATGAATATGAATGTGAATAAATGACAAACAAGTTAAAAATTGTTTTAACAACAAGAAAACCCACAAATAAAATTATACCATTACTTTTTGTTTATTATAGTCCCAATCTTTTAATCTCTCTTTCTCTCTATTATATATTCACTGCAACCATCTGATGAAAAACCAAGTTCAGTTAATGCTTAATGTATTACACAAGACAGAACTCTAATGCAGATGTCAGAAGGGAAGCAAGGAATCACTAATGTTAGAAAATGACACTACTTATATAGTATTATATCCAACCTAATTATTGTTTTTCTTTTTCATGTACATGAAGTAACCCGTTTCTTGGAAAATATATATATACATATACAAGAATTATACAGTGAAGATTTAATAAACAGTCTTTGTCAGGATTATATAGTGACTGAACAAGTGAGACTGTCTACTGATATTTCAGCAGGTATTAGAATTTCCACTTGCATATTCCCTTCCTTGCTTAGTAATCTTAATTCTTCACTCATTTTCGCAGGATCAAATAAATCCGAGACTGCCTCTGTTATCTCTCGAACAAAGTCAACGATCACCCCTTCCACGCCCATCAAATGCTGCACATATACCACTTCTGGCACATTGCTGCGAAATGCACAACTATTTTTTACTGTGTTAGTGAAACTAATCAATTCTGCAGAAAACCCCAATTAGTAAATGTTACTAAAAAGCAAAAAAACCGAGAACAATTCAATGCTTACTTTAGTAGGCCATAACTGATGAGGGAAAGCTTAGACTCTTTAACTTTTGTTACTGCTTCTGGATTTCTAAAGATAGCCTTGACTTCAGATACAATTCCTTGCAGGTCACCTTCCTTACAAACTTTTATTGCTTCATCCAATGAATTCCTTCTTATGTCCGCATATATTTCTGATCCCCCATTAGTTAAGAAGAATACCTGTTGTAATATTTAGAAAATGGAGCACGGTCATTTGCTTCAATTCTATAAAATCTATAATTTATATATTATTACAGAATCAAAAAAAGATGAGAAAGTTATCTTACAGGATACTTATTCTGCAATTTTCTCATCAATTGAGCTGCATCAGGTTGAAAGCTAGAGAACATGATAGGTCTATCCTTAGCATGCTCAAACACAACCTAGCCAATTTTTGAAATGAATTATTTACTTCAAAATTCATTTACACTAAATAAGCGGTAAATAACAGATGTTAATTCGCAAGAATACCTTCAGGATTGCTCCAAGAATGCGTTCGAAATCTTCCTGTTTGTAGACAATCTGATCATCAAATTTCAACTCAATATTGAAGCCTATTGTACTATGGACGTTTTCAAAAACCTCTTGTAATGTACAAAGAGGATCATCTTCTTCAACTTTCCATTCAAAGATTCTCCCATCTTTTGTTCTCCTGAACAAAGGCTTTGCCACCTGAATTTTGATGACAATAGAGTATAAAAAAGAACTACCAACAATATCAATACAGTAAAAATCATACAAATTATGAATATATACTTACATGTGCAGCCTCCTTTTGGGGTCCATAGGAGAGAAATTCAGCTAAAGTGAGGTCTGTAACTCTTTTCTCAACAATGGCACCCTAGAAAATTTAGCATTACTTAACAAATCAGCATTAACGATTAGCCTGTTGAAGAAAATTCTTACAATATTAAAACAACGGTAAGGTTAAACATATAAAAAGCAAAAACCAACTGACCTGGTCTTCAGTAAGAATGAAGTTGTCATGGAAAATGACTGGAATGTCATCTTTGGTCACCTACAACAAATATGTTTTGTTTTTGTTTACAGAATTCTTTCTAAAGGAGCTTCCCTCATCAATAGTAAAAGAAGAAAGGGGGAACATTTTGACACAACAAGACACCAGAAACAAACCAATTAGTACTCTTCAAAGGAGATTGTTGTTCTGACAAAATGTGTCAAATTAATTAAAAGTTAACAATTACATATTTCATGTTGTATTTTTTATTTAATTTTTAAATTAAAAATATATTTGGTTAAGTTGTAACATAATAAACGCAGCAAAAATTGTCCAATTCACTGGTTTTACAATTGTGAATTATCCAGATGATATAAGGGTAGAACAAACATCTACAATTATACAAACACAACAATTACGTCTTAATCCAATTTGGTTCTATCTGTTCTAAGTCTGCACAAACATCAAGAAACAGCGACACTTTACAACTTATAGATACAGACAACAAAGGTGACAAAATGGAAAACAAAAAGTCCACGTGGTTACATGACAAAAAAATCCATAATCCTCAATTAATCGGTGGCAGTTTTCCGCGGATGGAGACAAGCCTAAATGCAGCTTTTTGGCGTTCGGGTGAGGAATATAATCTTAAAAGCATTAACATTTACAACAAATAACAAGTAAAATAATAAAAAAAAAATCCGATCACTCACCTGAACATCAAATTCAATGAAATCCAAAGCCAATTTAGCTGCAGCATTGAAGGAGAGGATTGAATTCTCTTTCTTGGATTTCATTCTCCTATCAGAAGATTGTAACATGTTCATTCCACTCCCTCTGTGACCCATCACCACAAATTTTGGGAATTTAAATGGAACAGACTTTCTGTTATCATCACCATCATCATCATTAACACCTGAAAATATCATTCAAGAAGTAACCATATAAATAACCAAGAATAGTAAAGAAATGAAAATTATATCATAGATTGTGATTCAAGAAACCGAACTTTTATTGGAGAAACAGGTGGAGCAGAGGGCTAATGTTGCACTTTCTTGGACTTGATCAAGATTTGGCACATCACATACATGAACAGCTTTGAGAGCCATCTTTCTTTTAACTTTGTAGAAATAAGGATTTCAAGAATGATGACTCAGATGAGAATGCGTAGCTCTGTCTTGACAAAGGCTGCAGGGCGAGGCAAATGCAAGGGATGGAGGGATGGTACTTAAAAGGGTCGGTTGGAGTCTAATTTTGAAAAAGAAAACATATGTAATAAAATAAATAAATTGAGAAAAAAAAAAAGAAAAAAGAGAGCATATTCTTGAAAGGGAGAAAATAGAAATAGATAGAATATTCCACTTAAATGAGGTAGCATTGGTTTTTTTTTCCCCCTTTTTTCTTTCTTTTCTTGGTTAATTTGGATTGGGATTTTCTTGATAGATGAAGAAAGAGAGTAATTTGCGGTTTTTCTACATCATACTATCAGTTTTAAGACAGAAGAGATATTTTCAAGGGGGAAAATGGTGTTTTGAGCCTTTCAAATTTGTTAATGGAAACGTAGAGGAATGTTTTTCATACGTGGATTACATGTCCATTCAGTTTTTGTGTTTTTGATAAATATACTTTTATATTTTCTTACAAAAATTCCATATTTATTTTGCTAAAATTGAATGATTTAGTTAAAGTCAAAATTATTAAAGTTGGTAAATTAGGAATGACAAAGTAACTTTCTTTCTTAGAATAGATAAATTATGTTGTTCTATTTAAATTAAGAACAGTTCAGGGTTATCAAATCATATATACAAGGAATTACAAAAATAATTTTATTTTTGGATTGTCTTAAAGATGCATGTCTAAATTATTATATATACATTTATTATTAGATTATGCTTTAATACCTATTAAAACTTAGACTTTTTTTCTCCCTGAATATTCAATGGTTGATGATGATGGAGTTCTAGATACATCATTCTTTTCTCAGATTTCTACAAAAATCTCGATTTGAATCTTCTATAAAGGAAACAAAAAAGTTTTCAAAGATAAAGAAAATTTTAAACATAAGAAAATATGGATGTGTTTTTTTCTAGGGAAAAAAAAAAGAAAGAAAAGGAAAGCTTTTATTGGACCTCTTACCATTAAAGAAAAGGGCAAAGGAAAAAAGAAAAAGAAAAAGAAAGACTGTTGCAGAATGCACTAGAACATGATAGGAGTCTCACGTTCATATATAGATATAAATACAGTTGGTACATATTAATTCTAATTGCAGACAGAGTAGTTTTGAGACTAAAAGACAGCTTCTAGTACATTTATACGTGTCAAGAAAACACTTATTCTATAATCTGAGCAAATGAGATGAAGCCACCATACAAGGCAAATATTAAAGCTTGGAAAAGGTAGGGTTTCTTTTCTGGATTTGTGCTTTAATGGCCTCAGTTAAATCATCAGATACAAGCATTGCAGAATTCCAAGTTGCAATATAATCTAATCCTTGTTCTAAATTCATGTCTCTGCTTCTTAGTAAGACTGCTTTTGTCCCAGTGACAGCCAGAGGAGACTTTGCTGCAATCTCTGGCCAAAATCAACACCAAATTAAGAATCAGAACAAATCATCTTTAGCTATTGAATTTTTATAAAATACAAAAATGATTAGCAATGTTAAGAATGATGATTTAAATAACTATAGAGATCTTAAAAAAGACCAATTTCGAACCACATCTACAATTGATCTAATCAAAATATCAATCTAAAACAGTCACACAACAACACAAGTCTCAACAAGCACCTACACCTGTTTGTGGACTGCATGGTGAGCCTCGATCCATGATGAAAATTATGGATTGAGTTTTTGAATATTCAGTATTTTCCAAGTATGGGCTCAGTCCATGAACAGGTCTTTACATAACAGTTATGAGACTGTATAAGGATATGCCACCATAACTATTCTGCCAAAAACTCATACTGGACAGGACGCAACATGGAAACAAATGTCAGTGATTCATGAAATATATGCACAGCCATATATGATATATCCAAACCCCACCACCATTTTTCCTTTCTCTTTTCCAGGGACAAAATCAGCAAGCCAGAAGATTAGTTTGGAGGCCTCCCTTGCGACACTGGTTGAAAATTAACTTTGATACTTCTGTGAATAAAAAACTGAAGGTGAGGTCTATTGGTGTCATTGCCAGGGACAATCAATCAAAGATCTTCAAGTGGGTTGTTAAGAGAATTCAGTTTCAGACATGCCATCAAGTTCTTGGAGCACTGGTAAGTAATGAGGGAAGCTGTTTGCTTCCTCTCAAGGTTATTATCGGGTTGGTCATCCAAGCTATTCAGGATCCTAGCATTGGCTGTTCCGCCAATTCAAAGCGTTGTCCAGGATACAAATTGTATTCTCCTTATATGTCTACTAATGAACATGGTCAGAAATAAGAATTCTAATAGATTCCGTGTTCCCTTACTACAAGAACACTACTGATAAATCTCTCGAGGCAAGAACACATGTATTATGCATACATTATACAATACCTAGTGCTATAAGAGAGTGATCATGTCTGTTTATAACATTTATAACACAGTTTAATTAGTTCAGATCATATCATTTAGTAACAAATTATTCACATTCATTGTAATTGTCAGAGAATTAAGAGAATAAAGATACGAACTTACCTTCAGCTACAAGCCTTGCACCTTCATCCAATGACTCTTTAGATGCAAAAACCCGTGAAACCAGACCCAACTCCTTGGCCTCTTGACCCGAGAATCTCCGACCCGTTAAAGCCAATTCCATCGCGTTACCATAACCGACTATACCAGGCAGCCTCTGGAGTGTCCCGAGATCCGCCGTGATCCCCAAATCCACCTCCTTAACTGAAAAGAATGCATCTTGAGTACAATACCTGATGTCACAGGCAGTCACAATATCAACACCCCCGCCAATACAACCCCCATGGACACAAGCTATTACGGGTTTCCTACACCTCTCGATCGCAGTGATCGCATCCTGTAAAACCTTTATCTCTCGTCGGAGCTTCTCGTTGGCACGGGCTCTATCGAAGGATGGGGGATGGTCGGTGATGGAATTTAGTGCTTTGAAGTCGATGCCGGAGCAGAAGTGATCGCCGGTACCGGAGAGTACGATGACGGCGGCGTCTGTATTCTGGTCCAGAGATGAGAGGGCAGCGGAGAATTCGGTGAAGAAGTCACGTGATAGGGCATTGCGATGATGTGGACGGTTGAGATATAAATGAAAAACTCGTGAATTTGGGGATTTTTGTAAGATCTGTAGGGTTCTGTATTGCTGCATTTTTCGTTTATCCTAAGTGAAAAAAGGGAGAGGAAAATGAGAGAAAGTGAAGGAAAATCGGAAATGATAAGGTGACAAAAAAAAAAAAAAAAAAAAAAAAACAAAAAAAAAAAAAAAAAAAAAAAAAAAAAAACTTTATTTAAGTCAATTCAATATATTACAGTCATGTGAGAAGAAGGACAACGAGTTTAATAAATTAAACTTCCCAATAAATATAAGTATTTATGATATTCTTCCACAAGATCAAATAAAAAAAAAAAAAAAAAAAAAAAAAAAACTTTATTTAAGTCAATCAATAATATTACAGTCATGTGAGAAGCAAGGACACGAGTTTATAAATTAAACTTCCAATAAATATAAGTATTTATGATATTCTTCCACAAGATAAATAAATAAACATATCATTAAAATTTATTTACAAAATATTTAAAAATATGAAAAAATTAGAGAGCTCATTAAAATACTAAAATTTTTTAATTATCTTGACTCTCAAGATGATATTAATCTAAGCAGTCAATTAAAGTACAATTAATATGTTTTCTTAACAAAATATATTTATATCATATTTCAATGTAAATAAATATTTTTAATTCTAAAAATTTTAGACTAGAGAACCTTACTCTTTTTCAAATCCTCTTCAAAAATTTACTTATGCTATTTAATTTGAAAACTCATAACGTAAATATTAGCTATTTGAATTAAATATGGCTCGCAATCAATTAATTAATTTTCATCATATCTTATTATACATTAGAGATTTTAGAAATTCCATATCCTTATATGTACACAAAGACATGGATTGTTTTATTTAAGCAATTAAATCAGAAAATTTATAAATCATAGAATATTTTTGGTTGGACCTATTTAACAACTAGTGTGGGCTTTGTTGGGCTGAAATTAGACTTTTTAACAAGTAGCGTGGGCTTTGTTGGGCTGAAATTAGACTTAAAAGATTCGGTTTATCTCAACTTGTCCTTTTTTAGAAATGTTTTCTGTATTTTTATTTTGAATAATTAATGATAATAATCTTTAATTTTTTTTTATAATATTAAAAAAAAAAAAGAGGATAATTATTGAAAAACGTTAAGCTCACCAATATTTTACTTGAACATTTTGAAGACGCCTTCAGTAAATCAAATTGGCAAATACTTCTTTAAAAAATAGGTCCTACCGGGAGTCGAACCCAGGTCGCTGGATTCAAAGTCCAGAGTGCTAACCACTACACCATAGAACCCCAGACGGCAACTATTTCAAATTTAGATATTTATAAGATAGAGTTCTAAACAACAATTATTGTTACCTTCCAATCATAAACAGAAAGAAGAGTTGAAGGCCAACCTGCTACGAAGAGAAATCCATACACGTAACATTTCGTAATGTCCTCGTACACTGAAACATATTATTATTATTTGTTGTCCACTTGGATGCCAGATGTGCAATGCAATGAGCAACGTTGAAAATCGAAGAACTCAAGCTACAAAATTGATTAGAAGCTCATCATATGAAGAGACTTCACCTTCTCTTCCCGCATCTCTATCTTCAAGTATAGTTTTAAGAATGTTTTTGCCATTTTCAATATATAACTTTATCTTTTTATTTCTTTTGCACTAATACTTAAAATATATATATAGAGAAATTATTCGAATTTAAATATTTTAATATTGCAATATAATTATTCGATCGCTAAATTACTGCATCAATATTAATTAGCATTAATTAATAAAAATAATATTAATGATAAATTATTATTTAATTACTGCCTCAAGATTTTTTTGGAAGCACAAAAGGTCCCCAGCTTATTTAATTTAATTAAAGTAATTGAGTAGTGCGAAATTGGTTGTTAATGATTGCTATTACAGTATCACTTTCAACAAATCACATCATCAAGTATTTTCTTAATTAACGACTCAGAAGTGTTAAGGATTAATTAATGTAGACAACTCACCTTATTTACTTCAAAATGACCTAATTATTTGGGAAATCAAATAATTGGTTCATCACACCTCCTAATAAATTAAAAAAGTTACATTCAAATTGTAATTAAACCCGGACCGAATTAGACGGTCCTCCAAAAACCGTGATTTACAAAAAAAAAAAAATAATAATAATTATCTTATGGATGAGATAAGAAAGTTTATTTTATTTATTTTTTTTTTTTTTGTTAATGTTGATTGATGAAGTTGCATACGAAACTTTGTGTACATTGATTGAAATTAATAGTTCCACATAAAGATAATTGAGTTAGAGATATAATAGTAATTTAGGATTATCATGGTCCCAGAAGGTATTATAATTTAATAAATCAAGAAAGAAAATTAAGCCATTTAAAGAGCTCCATCTTGCACGTAATCAAATGATTTCCAGCTGATTAGAGTAGATTATAGTAGAGTAGATTTTTATTTTTTTAGACAAAAAAAGATAACACGGTTTGTTAAAGCTCCAATAGGAAAATATGCTCTTTAATGCCTCACCTTCTTTCACACAATTATTGGATGCAATTCAAGATTGCGGCACCAATAATATATGCATCTGCCTTGTTGTCGGTTAAATGTTATTTACATCATAAAAATTAATTAATTTTTCTTAATTTATGTAATAAATTTATTTAATTAATATTGAAAAGAATCTAACTTTTAATTACTTTTCTTTTTGAAAAAAAATATATATATATAAGCTTTTAATTCTTTCAATTTAGACATTTAATTTCATTCTCTAGGTATATAACAAAGAATGCCCCCCAAATCTTTCAAATGTCAATTCTTAGTCTATAAATAGATCTTTCAAATCAGTGCATATATAATAATAACGTAAATATTATTCTAAAAAAAGAAAAAAAAATCATGTTTTCCTTGCTTAAAATTACATGTTGTTAAGTAATTGGACACAAAAATTAATATATATCCATCTTCTAAGGTTACCATATTCCACAAAATTCTCAATGTTGTCTTGTTCCCCCCACCATCTCAATAATTATATGTATATTCAAAACCAAATACGAAGAAATTTTCAAACACAACCACTCTTTTTTTAATTAATTATTAATTTTAGTGTTTGTCAATTTGACTTGAATTTGAAGTTTTGTTTTCGCATACTATTTATATTATACATGACTTACATGTCATGTATGTATATATATGTATATCTTTGTAATGCGTAGTCTGGTTGGTCTTCTTATGAATACAAAAAGTGATAAATCTCGAGTTTGAGTCTGAGTTCTCTCAACCATAAGAATTTTTACCAGTTTAGCGACACAGGAGAAGATTGCATCTGTTGTGTAGCTCGTGGTGTTAATTCAGAATATTGGGCCTTCTAAATTGAAGAAAAAAAAAAAAAAAACTCTGTAGATTTCAATGATTGGAGATCTCTCTAGATCAAACACTCAACAATTATATATGGGTGACATCACAAGGGTTGTTTAGTTGTATTTATTATGATCTTGAGACAAATGTCTGGTTCAGATTAAATTTCATCTATGGTATGCATGAACATGTAATTTTCAATTTTCATAGTGGCCAATGAAAGCGATTCTTCTTTCATTTCTAGCTATCTCCCTTTGAAGCATTTTGCTTGCAAGTACAATTGCATGGGATAGTGATAGAAGTCCACTGTTATATATATGACAAAATATATTAGATCTTATGTAATTCATAAATTATCTCAAGCAAAATAGTTATTAAAAATTTCGATGGACCGACCTGTAACGCCCCATTTTTCTGTGTCTGAAATAGTACGTATGTGAATTATGAGCACCACTGAGTTTGATACTTAAATTATTTGTATTTTAAGTAAATTGTCATCGCAACTTTGGTAAATATGTAAATTATGAGCACCACTAAGTTTTATACTCAGCGCGTCGATTTTTATCACGCATAGGTTGAAGATCGTGGTTGCGACTTGAAGATTTGAAGAGTAATAGCAAAGCAGAAGTGACTAGTTTAGAGTTAGATAATTAAGAATTATGACATGTATAATTATTACATTTTTCGATTTTTATGCAAGCATAGGTGAATATCGTGGTTGCGACTTGAAGATTTTGAAGGTTGCGACTTGAAGATTTGAAGAGTAATAGCAAAGCAGAAGTGACTAGTTTAGAGTTAGATAATTAAGAATTATGACATGTATAATTATTACATTTTTAGAGATTATATGATTTGAAATATAATTGAAGCCTGTAATTATTTTGGCGTAAGTATTTAGAGAGAAGAATAATACTTATTAAATGATTGATCATGAAATATTTTAAAATAGTTCACTAAGACTTGATATATATAATGAATGCAATTATTTGATGGATATTAAATCCTATTGAGGATTTATACAGTTATAAAAATATAACAGTGTTATTGTGTTCTGATGATTATTTGGAGATGTTGGAAGTTTGGAGTTTAATTGGGAGTGTTTTGTATTCACATGATTGGCGAGCTCAGTTAGATTGGCGAGCTCAGTTTAGTTTTTTAAAGGAATTCTTCTAGTTTTAATGTAAGATTTTTCCAAATCTTGTATAAAAAAAAAAAAAAAAAAAAAACATGACATAAAAAAAAAAAAAAAAAAAAAAAAACATGACATAATATTTAGCATGCAGGATGATATCAGCATGACAGGACATAGGTTCAACCAGAGTATAGCGTCTCGGTTTGGTTCATTCGAATAATGGGTGGACCGAGAAGGGATGTTACACGACTGACTTTAATTATTATTATTATTATTTAATAATCCTGACACTGAATTCGCCGTTAAACTTAAGAAAAAGCGAAGCCAAGTAGGAAAAAAAGCTGAAAGCTGTCAAGCTGTGATGGTTTACACCTAGCAGAAATTCTGAAACAAATCCTAACAATTTATACATAATAAGAACAAAATGAAAAAAAGAATAACAAACCATCATTAGTGTTATATTGTTGAAGATGTCATGTATTTTGTCATTGCTTTTTTGCCTGAAATAACTGCAATAACACCAAAGAGCTAGCTTGGAAATAATCTCGTCTGTCACACGGAATTTGTAATATATATATAGGAATATTACTAACAAACAAGAAACAAAAAACAGAAATGGGAATTAGGGCTTACGCGTACTCTTTTTTCTGTTTTTCACGAACAATAGAGGAAAATTTGTACACAATTAATAAGAAAAGAAACGGCTAAAAAGCCACTCTAAAAGGGTGTTTGGACAAACCTTCACGTGAATTAAGCTTTACGCATGACAGACTTTCCATATCTTAGTAACGTAAATCCCCTAACTTCACTTCTTCATTAATATATCTTACACCTCAACACGCTCTTTCCAAGCGTGTATTTTTCCATCAACAGCTTCGTTCCAGGTTTTTAAACCCTGAATTTTACAGGCCTTAGGCAAAAACTTAGTTATCTCTGTTATTTACCGTATCGCAGTTGAAAGAGTGTATTATAAAACATCGCTCTCTTTAACAATAACGTTAAATATAATGCTAATAAACTAGAGCTTTTAGAGATAATTGACAACTAATAAAATAACGAATTTTGCCGAACGGTGCCTAAGAATATAAATACTAATTAAACTTTCAAGATTTTCTTGATTCCTTTAACTATTGACTCCCGAACTTGATTCTTTAGTTTTAAACGCTAATTCTGCCTCTAAAGTTTATCTGATAATGCAATATATTTCTGCGAATTTGATTGAATTGATCATCATCCAATCAATAAATATACTATATACCGACTTATCTTAGTTTTATTTTTCATAATTAATGATTGAATAAGCATCTTTCTGTGTAGTAGAAAAATTTAATGAGATGAATAATAGGTTAATTAGTCACCCTCTTAGCTATATACTTCTGTAGCTATATATATATAATTATATATTATATATATTATATAATATATAATATATATTATATATTATATTATATATATTCTATATATATATAAGAATAAGGTGAATTACTAAATTGTTAGTGTTACGTACAAATTAGGGTAAATTAAGTTAATTTCCAAGAAGATGATGATAGAAAGTAAAAACTAAAAAAAGAAAGAAAGAAAGAAAGAAGATAGATCATAAATGAGATGTAATAAAGGCCATAAGATTGGAATTATTGGGACGCGAAGTGGGGGCACGTGTTTCAGAGATATGTGGCTGTGTGTAAAGAATGATTTTGTGCTACGCTACCTACTATGACTCCACTTGTCAATGCAACAAGAATGAGTTCATTACGCACACTCTCTTCTGTTCTATTTTTATTTTACTTCTTACTATTTTCCTCTTAATATATAAATCCAAACAACCCATTGCTTCTTTCTGCATGAGGTTGAGAGCTTTCTTCTTTAGATCACAGAGAGCTAGGGTTTCTTCAAGGCCCTGCTTCTTCTGTTTTGTCCATAGTTTCAGAGAGAGCTAGAAAGACAGAGAAAGAAAGAGAGAGAGAGAGAGAGAGAAAGAGAGAGGAGAGACGAGAGGGAGAGGAGAGCCTTGTGCTTTTGTTATTCGGAGAATTATTAATAATTGGCAGTACTTAAGCAACTCACCAACCATTAGCATTCTGCATTGTGGCCTCCTTGGTATATATAGTTTCTTCAAGGCCCTGCTTCTTCTGTTTTGTCCATAGTTTCAGAGAGAGCTAGAAAGACAGAGAAAGAAAGAGAGAGAGAGAGAGAGAGAGAGAGAGAGCCTTGTGCTTTGTTATTCGGAGATTATTAATAATGGCAGTACTTAGCACTCACCAACCATTAGCATTTGCATTTGGCCTCCTTGGTATATATACAAGCTTCACTCTTTCTTGTTCTCTTTTTGTTTTCTGGTTATCTTTCTTCTAGTTTATTCATAGGTTTAAATCACTGATTTCACTTTCTTGTTGTGTGACTTAATTGCAAGAAGCCCTTTTGCAAATGTTCAATTAAGTGCAGTTAAAACTGCTGCTTAATTGATTATCCAATGCTTAAAAATAATGTAAATACATTTTATTAAATTTAATATGATCCACCAATCAGTTTTGGTTCAAAAATATATTAAATCAAACTTATTTTGGGAGAATCACAATCAAAGAATTAAGAAAAATTATGATCCACCCTCTTAATAAATAATAATAATATTAGTATTTATGAGTTATATATGTGAGTATATGATTTTCTTTATTAATGTATGAAAATGTTCTAGAATACCAAAAAATGATTAATTAATGATTGCTTTTTTTTTTTCTTTTGTTCAAAAAATGGTAGGCAACATTATCTCAGTGTTGGTGTACCTGGCTCCAGTGTGAGTACCTTTTTACATTCAATCATTTTTTATTATTGAATATGACAGGCAATTACGAAAAATCAATTCTTGTTTTTTTGAAAATTTTCATTACAGGCCAACATTTTTAAGAATTTACAGAAAGAAATCAACTGAAGGTTTCCATTCACTTCCATACCTTGTCGCACTCTTCAGTTCTATGCTTTGGCTCCATTATGCAATGCTCAAAAAAGACGTTTTCCTTCTTGTCACCATCAACGTATTTGGATGTGCAATTGAGACCATTTACATTTTCCTGTATATGTTTTACGCTTCCAAAGAAATTCGGGTGTGTATATATGTAATTATAACATTTCAATCATTAAAATGCTTAATCGAATTTTATTTTATAATTACTAAAATAATGAAATAATATATTTGCAGGTCTCAACTTTCAGACTTCTTGTGTCCATGAACATAGCTTTGTTCTCCTCCATTGTCCTCTTCACTCATTTTCTAATGAAGGGTTCGATCCGAGTTCAGGTTCTTGGTTGGATTTGTGTTGCTGTTTCTGTCAGTGTTTTTGCATCTCCTTTAAGCATTGTGGTGAGTAAATATTATTAATTAATTCTCAGAAACATATATATTATTTATATTCTCGATTCTTCCAGTACTGAATAATTAATTTTTTTTTTAATAATTTATTATGTAGGCTCAAGTTGTCAGAACTAGAAGCGTCGAGTTCATGCCATTCACTCTGTCGTTTTTCCTTACACTGAGTGCTGTTATGTGGTTTGCTTATGGTTTTACTACAAAGAACATGTGTGTCGCTGTAAGTTATTTTTCCGGCTCTTACATTAATTACTCATGTTCTATTCAATCATTATTATTAAGTGGGACATATTATAATTACTATCTGTCTCTAAATCATGGATTTATGATTGTCGTACTAATATGTGAATATGAGGTCCACATTAAAATAAAAAAGATGACTTTGTCCCAAAATATCTAGCTAATTATATGTTTGATGTAAACAAATTTCATATTTTTATATTTATTATATATTTTACTTTTACGAAATGCAATATAAATAAAACAAATTCAAATAAGAAAAAGAATTACCCAATATTTTTAAATTAATTTGTGTTAAATAAGAAAAAGACTCGGTCTAAATTAATAGTTCAAACATTATGCTACCGAACACTGTAAAAAATAATAAAAACTACTTAAAAGACTCTTACCAAGTACAACCTTAATATAATAAAGAAAAATCAATCCCTTGTATCCCCTTTCATTAGTTGTAAATATATTAACGGATTTATAACCCACACGGAATAAAGTTGTCATAAAAGATCTAAAATTTCTTATCGTCAGTGTGGATTTAGCTATGAACGAGACAAGATGGAAATGATTTATATAGCCGTAGTAAACTAGTTATTAGAATTAAGGCTTTGTTATTATTGTTGTTGTATTTTGAATATATTGAATAATAATTTTATTTAATTCGATAATCTAATTGGTTTTTGTTCATTTTGATTAGCTCCCAAACATCTTAGGATTCATCTTGGGGCTACTTCAGATGCTGTTATATGCAATCTACAGGAAAGCAAAGGTGGTGGTTATAGAGGAAAAGTTACCAGAAAAAAATTTGAAGAGCATTGTCATACTAAGCACATTAGGCAATTCTGAGGTTTATCCTGTGGATGTTCGACCCGAATCCGAACCCGATGAGAATAAAGTTGCAAAAGAACAAGAACAAATAGAGGAAGGAAGCAAGAAGAGTAATGAGAGAAGCTTGGAAACATCAAATGATCTTAATCCAAATGAAATTGCAGTTTAATATGTTCTCATGTATTAATTATAAATGGCTGAATAATTAATGTTTGTATACTCTCTTTTTTTTCCCTTTTTGTGTATTATTACCTCCCTTGGTTGATGAGGGAGGTATGTGTTATATGTAAGCATAAAACAAGAGAAATACTAAAAAATAGGTTTTTTTTTTTTTTTCAGTCCAAAATGTAAATCGTTTAAAGTTTTTACGCGAGAATTAATTCTCTTAAATTATGATAAAATTTGAACAAATTACCCTTTTATCTCAAAACCAAAGGATAATATATAAAGATAGTTTTTTTTCTAATATAAATAATGTAAAATTAAAAAATATCATTTATTACTTCTTAAAATACTCAAAACGAGGACTTATGTTTTGAAACAAAATAATTACACTAAAACGAATTATATTTTAGACAGAGAAAATATCAACTGAAATGTCAATTCATTCTATATTAATTTTGATGCCTTAGGATCCAAATGTTCCAAGTTCCATTAAAATTTGGATTACTCTTTTAGTGGGTTGTATTGCCTTTAATAGACTTTATAACGGATTTTAAAGGCTTTATAACGGTTTATACTACCTTGACGAAGTTTGTCATCTATTATAACGGTTACATACACAGTAACTAATGACAAAAAGAAATAATTAGTTGGAAAAGACAGTGTGTGTAACTTTCAAGTGGAAATAAATATTATACCTAATAAAAATCACATCAAATACATATTATATGGCCTTTGAGAAGAGGGTATGGTGCCCTAAATAGATTTGTCTGCATCAGACAGGTTTGATGCATACTTATTATATGACCTAGACTTGGCTTTAGCATTTATTATCAATTTACCACCGCCGTTGGTGGTGGTTTCAATGGTTAGCTACTGGTTTTGGGCAATCCATGCTTTAGACGTGGCAACTTTTACAAGGTTCTTGTTAGATATTTTCATTCTACTGCTGATTCTGATTATAACCTTCACAAGAGTCAACAAAAACACCTGACAATAGTTGTTCCACTGCTGCAAATTCCGTACATTAACTGTTCTTAAAATGTAATTTCTTTTGTCCTATAATACTTATCTTGCTTTCTTTCCTTTTTCAATTTTGTCAAATTGCAATTTTGTTTTTTATTTTCAGAGTCAAAAATATCCCAAGTTTATTGTTTTTACGCTTGTTTAATACCCTTTTTGTTCTGTAAAGATCGTCTTTTATGTGAATAAGATGAAAAACGGAAACAAATAAATTATCATTACATTAATTGTATTTTTTTTTTTAATTTATCTGAAAAGAAATGTAAAAAATATTTTTTGTGACGGATGAAGTTTTTTTTTTTTTCTTACCAAAAAATATAATAATCAAAGTACCATATTATCATTAATTAAATCCAGATATAAAAAAAACTAAAATATCAACATTTAAGATATTACCTTCGTTCTGTTAATTCCGACATTATTTGATTTTTCACTCGAATCATGATATACATATACAAATCATGATATACATTATTGAATGAAAAGAGTGTAATCAATCATTTTGATAATCTGTATATAAATCTAAGTCATGATATACGTATACAAATGATATATATTACGGAACGGAAAGAGTATAATCAATCATTTCATTTTCATAATAGAGTAGTTGCAAGGAAGAAATCATCACATGCCATGAAACCTGGCCTAATGGCAATGGCAAAGCAGGGACCCTCAGACCATTTCAATCTCTTCCTCTCCTCTTTAATTATAATATCTCTCTATATATATATTTTTTAAATGGGCTTTATAGCTCCAATTTTTTCATTTATGTTAAATTTATAATAATTCTATAAAAATGTTGGAATTACAGCATTGTAAGAAAATTATTCTACCATCATATCTTGGAAGAAGAAAAAGAAAAAGAAAAAAAAAAAATTCACATCACATCAAAAGTAAGCAACTAAGCATCCCTTTCTTGAAACCGTTCTTTGAATCGTAATTTAATTAGAAATGTATAAATCTTACAACTTTGAAAAGGAATTCAAAATTATAAGCTTCAATTCATTATTAGAACAAGATGAGTAGCTTAAATTCATTGAGTAAGATTACACAGAAATTAGTTGGTAAAATGCCATTCAGCAAGATTACAAAGTACAGACAGCAGAAATGTTATTGCTCAAAAGAAACCTACACAAGAGCAAAGAAGAACATGACCCAGGCTTTGTAACTCAAAATTTTGTTTTTCTTTTTTCTAAATGTCTTGTTCTTATCTTGCTCTCTTGGCAGATAATGTACACTCAATTATGTTTTTCTTCTTCATAATCATCTTCTTGCTCTACGTTTCAACAAAAAGAGAACTCTAAAAAAGTGAGTAAAAAATTTAAAAGAGAAAGTTAAGAACATGTTGGCAGACCAGCTCAAAGCTTAGCTTCTGATGCTTTCCCACCTCACCCCGCAAGTCCGGTGGCAAAGTCAGGAAAGAAGAGAAGATGGAGAAATGATGGCCAGAATACTACCCATTACTGCCATCAAAACTACCTTGAGCACTTTGTCGCCTTTTTTCTCGCCAGTTCTCACCCCACATCTTTGCCTCTGCAACAGCTCGTTCTCTATCTAAATCCCTGTTTAACATTCTTGCCGTTTCTCTTGGGGAATCCTCTTTTTCCGACCCATCCAAGTCCCATCTACAACCAGATCCTCCCCCTTCTTCGCTCTTTGATAACTGTCCACCTCTCTCATCTCTGTGTCTTTTATCATCCTTATCACCAGAACCCCGAGTTTCATATGCCTGGTTTGCCAAATAAGAGAGAGCAGTTACCACATCCCCAATGAGAGGGCGTGCAGCAGCCTGTTCCTGGATGCACATGGAAGCCACTGCTAGAGCCTGGTAAAGTCCCCTCATCGGATACCGACCCTGCAATAGTGGATCTGCCAATTTCGAAAATTTCCTACGATCATTGAATAGTGGACGAGCCTGCATATTTGTAAAACCACCACCACCACCACCAACACAATTATTAGAAGGGCAGTGAAACAATGCATGTAACAGTAAGACAAGAAAATGAAAGGACAGGTTATACTATACGTTCAGAGTATTACCCATGTGACAAGGTTCTGTTCCCCGTGTGGTCGAGTACTGTCAATGGCTTTCCGTCCAGTAATGAGCTCCAAGAAAACTACTCCAAAACTGTAAACATCAGATTTCACAGTCAATTGTCCAGTCATGGCATATTCAGGAGCACAATAACCATAAGTGCCCATAACTCTGGTGGATACATGTGACTTGTCTCCAGTGGGACCAAGTTTTGCAAGTCCAAAATCAGAAAGTTTTGGGTGAAACCCTTCATCAAGTAATATGTTGGATGACTTGAAATCCCTGTAAATAACAGGGGGACTTGCTTTATCATGCAGGTATTCCAAACCTTTGGCAGCACCCGCTGCTATCCTCATCCTTGTGTTCCAATCAAGTGGTTCCTTTTCAGGTGGGAGATCTGGACAAAAATTCATCAACCACCATTCAAGAAGAACAAAGGCAATTGTGAGAAACAGAATTGGTAAAATATCTAATATGCATCAATTTTATATCAACATTCAATGCTTCTACACCTCTCCGAATGCAGAAAACAAGGCTTGAGCTTCCATACTAAAAAACTTATCTAGAACAAAGCCGGGTACTGAAAAATTTCAAGGTCAAAAGTTCATTGTTCAGTCGTAATATCAATATATGGCCTCCCATTATTCACCATGTAACTTGATCAATTCTTGGGTTATAATATTAGATTCTTTGAAATTTGGAGGCCACATCCAATTATCTATTAAGTATCTCAGTCAAAGCAACATCAATGGGTAGAGAGTAGAAAATAATACTTTCAACATGTCTACCAAAATTTTCAGTAGCCATGGTATGTCAGCAAACTTGAATTCATGAGACAACAATAAGCAGTTAATGTTATTATCACAAATATTGATGAGCAAACTGAAATTTATGCTTCCATAGTCACAAGTAGCAGTAATTTATAGTTTTAATATCTTACAAGTAAAAACTAGTCAATTATGAAAACACAGTTGATACAGGTTCTTGGTTTACTATTACCTCATGGATCAACAACCACCCTCCAAATAAAGTGCCCAAACTTGCATATTTGAACTCATACCCAGTGAATGCACATATTCTTTTTCTTGAACATCTAGTTCTAAGATGAATGATATTCCACTTTCACAGACTATACTGTTATCATAATTAGAGTTCAGTCTAGCTCAGTTGCAAGAATTATATCTATCTCTTCAACATATTAACCCGGGATTTGTAATTTGGGTATAAATTTATCGTTAAGTAAAACTTAGACATATGAAGTATAAATGAAATTATTCCAACTTCCTTAAATAGGCAGGTTTTCAGCTGAACAAAAATACCCAAGAGCTAGAGATTAAATAAAAGGACTTAAAAGAAACAAAGAGAGAAGAAGAATGCATCACATTCATCTACCACTGAAGGAATATGTCAATTTTATCCACCAGGAATTAGAAAAGAGAAAAGGAAGAAAGAGAGTTTAAAAATATGTCTTCTAGTCATTACAGCACAAAGTGCCAATATATTTTAACTGAGTCATCTTAGCTGTCATTGCAGAAATTCAAAAAGTCCAACTGATTTGACCCTAGCCTTGTCTTTGCTTTAGCCAACCTTTAAAAGACAAATCTTTCAGCTACTCTACACAGAGATCGTGTTTTTTAAGTTGTCATATAACTGGGAATCTACTTAAGGAATTCTTTTTTTTTTTTTTTTTTTTTTTTTTTTTTTTTTTAAAGACAAATCTTTCAGCTACTCTACACAGAGATCGTGTTTTTTAAGTTGTCATATAACTGGGAATCTACTTAAGGAAATTCTTTTTTTTTTTGTTCTTTTTTTTTTTTTTTTTTTTGACAACTTTGATTTGCGTACCAATTATGCAGTTTTTTTTTTTTTTTTTTTTTGACAACTTTGATTTCGTACCATTATGCAGTATTATCATGCTTCAATCAATCAGATGGTACAGATAACATAGCATGATTGATCTTTACAGAGGAACACAATGCTCTTGATAAGACAAATAAAAGAAAACACCAAAAACTGAAATTGAAAGTTCAGGAGAGGAGAATAACAAGATTACCGTGAAGGTGATCTTCCAACGATCCCATAGGCATAAACTCATAGACAAGAAGCCTTTGATCGCCATCAGCACAATAGCCAATTAGATTCACAAGGTTAGGGTGATGTAAAAGGCTGAGCATGAGAACCTCAACCAGAAATTCCCTATTACCCTGGAGGCCATTTCTATCCAATTGTTTAACAGCAACAACCTGCAACGCATAAAGATCATTAGAAAAATCACCCAACCAAGATTTGGTTACAAGTCTCTTAATGTAGAATAAGAATTTTAAACTCAGAATATATGCCCGCCAAACTTTTCATTACTCTTGATAAATTTGAGCACAATGTCTAACTTGAAAGGACCATATTATTTTGCTATCTGCATTGACTGCAATAGCTCTCTTCCCTTGAAATTTGAAACATTAGCAATGTCATCTAGCACCAACATGCCATAATAGGTGCACAATATCAATAAGCTTAGGGCATAAGGATTGGCCTATTTCAACTAGCAACAGCTTGAAATGAGCAAGGTCATCATCAATAACAAGCTAGAAAAAAGCCAAAAACTAAACAGCTCCGCATTGATTCCACATAGAATTCTACTCACTTTACAATTCTGAATAATTGGTGGATAAGAATTTGAGATATTTGATCAACAACTACAGGATACAAAAATCAGCTTAAGGAGTCTATAGCCATGCTGTCACTATCTTGCTTTCTTTTTGTAAACCTTGTGAAGGGCTGTTATAATCAGAAAGAAAATCTAAAATCCTCATCTATATATTTATTCACTATAGATGTTAGGGAAATGCTAAAAGAAAACACCTCCAAACCTTATGTTTGAAACTAAATTCAGTAGGATACGAATTTGATTGAGGGACTATGTTATGCCTTCAAATGCTAGACTTCGCAAAATCATCATGAGAAGTTCGAATTAAAGATTCTTAATCTCATTTAAGTTAGGCAGAGACATGTTCATCCAGAAACAAGGAAATGCCTAGAATCAGCGTTTATGAATCTGATAATAAAGTGAACAAATGTTATCCACAACATTTACCTGACCAGTGCTCTCAAGGCGCCCTTTATATACACGCCCAAATCCTCCTTCTCCCAATAAGGACTCTGGCCTAAAATTCTTTGTTGCAGCTGCAAGCTCCCGAAAGGTAAATATTTGAGCCGCAATATTGACCCCAGGTGCATCCTTTGGAATTGGGAATTCTCTTTTTGACCTTCCATTAGTTCTTGATCTGAGTCTATCGGCTCCTGCAAATTTCACCCCCGACCGGACAATCGGATTAATAATTCAAGACATCAATACACGGTAAGATAAATAAAATAGTTGCATGCAAATGGGAAAAAAAAAAAAAAAAGGAAGTCCTTGATCGAGTCATTGCCAATAAAATGAAGACCAAACTCATAAAGCGACCATGGCGGATACCGTTTGCCATATTTATCCAAAATTTGGTTTTTTAAAATTGGCAATTATACCCCGAATTCTCCGTATCCTTCCCTTCACCAATCAACCAGATCAAACCCAACTGATAAAATTGATCACAAGATCTCTTTTCACTAAAGAAATCAGCACCCTTTATAAATTGAATCAAAATCCGGTAAGGTCTACAAGAATTTTATTTTTGGTCTTAATGAAAAGCCTAAAATCTAAAGCTCTGAAGAAATTTTATGAATGCAATTCAATCCATCATACAAAACTGACATAATAAAATCAAACAGTCAATTGAGTGAAAATATAAAATCAGTAAGTACCCAGATCAGATTGGTGGATAAATAAATAATAATAATAATAATAATAAAGCGAAAAAATAGATTAGTAAAAATAAAAACTAACCGGACGATAATTTGGAAATATTAGAAGCTTCAGTTGGCAAGCTCTGTTTTCGATCATCAGATTCCTTCTGTGGATTCAGAGTTTCTTCTTCCCTTGAATCGAAACAAGGAAAACAACCCATCTTCTACAAATCAATTAAAAAGAAAAAATTTTCCTGCTCTCCAAACCCTCTCCTCAAATCACAGATGCATAAAACAAAGTTCGATCAGAATCCCATACTCTTAAAAATCAAATCTTTATTTCCCTTCATAAAAATCTCATCACAAAAACCAAAAGAACTGTGGTGGGTATCGCTTCCTTTCTCCAATCCCAAGAGTCAAAGAACAAAGTAAAGGAATCCAAGTAATGGAAACACCAATATCTATAAATATAAACAGATCAAAAGAACTCTCTTGGGCAAGCTAGAGAGAAATTGCTTGCTGGTGATGTGAGAAAGAGAGAAAAAAGAACATGAAAATGGGATTGGTGGCAGTGGAACGCACTCGTTACGCAGCCGGCTTTGTCTTCGGGTTCGTTTACACTTTACACTAACATCACTGTACAAAACACGCTCACTTTATATATAAAACATAACATCGCATTCTCTCTCTCTTCCTATCTATCTCTTTGACCACTAATATTATATATATAGAAAGAGAGTTAATAGAAAGAAATGCGATCGATATTCTTATTCTTACCCACCTTTTTTTTTCTTCTGCTGTGTAGTTTCCAAAGGAAGGGATTAACAGAAGAAAACAGAAATGAAAATGAAAATTCAAAGACTGTAAAAGGGAAAGAAAATGAGAAGAAGGGAAAAAGAACGTGTACGTGTCAAATGGCGGGACTGACGGAGCTAACCAAGAAATGGAAAGCAAAAATATTTCTACTGTGATTAGAGATTTGGATTACGTCTTAATCAATTAATTCTCTCTCACACTTCGCATTTTGTTCCATCAAATTCTCCTCTTGATTCTTCATAATTAGATTATGATAAGCATGTTCAAATTCACTTACCTTACGCTTTCATCATACACTCGTGTCCCGACTCTTACCGGATTGATTTCACTTACCACTCTAATCAATATTTTTTATTAGTCACAGTTCTATTTTTTTCGATAAAAATAATATTTACAGTTTTTTATTTAAATTGTATTTATGTGCATCTTTATTAACAAATATACTATTATTAACATTATTAATCAAATCTTAAATCACTAATTAAAATATGAACCTCCCACTCTGCTAAATTAGGAAAAAATTATGAGATTATATTAGGAAAAATTAATAAAAAGTTATATTTACCATATTAAATATATTTTTCTTAATTTATTCAAAAAAGTCAAACTTAACTTATTTTTATGAGACAGGAGAAACAATAAATTAAAAATATATGTGGATACAGCAATTTTGTTTAATAGAACTAATTAGATCATAATTTATGTATAATCCTGTAATTAAAAGTCAAAATATTAGAAAATTTCAAAAATAGTAATAATCCATATTATATAATTCATTTTAATTTCAACATATTAGAAAAAACATAATTAGATTCTATAATATATTTTAGCGAAAATATATTGATAAATAAACATACTTATATAATGATTTGGTCAATAAATAATATGATTTTACTATTTTTATATGTTGATTAATAATTTTTAAGACCGAACAAGAAGAGAAATATGTATGAAATTGCTTGTTGGATTCAACCATGCCAAAGGATGTTATAGTAAAATTACATAATATGCTTCCATAATCACATTATAGTAAAATTATTAAATTACTAATATTATTATTAGAACGAGGAGATATAATTTATCTTATGATCACATAGCGTAAAAGTTTTAAAATTATTAAATTAAATAATATAATGGATGGTTAGATTGTTTTAATGTAGTAGAGTATTATTTTTTTGGATTAATATATTTCCAATGGAAGATTTATTGTTTGTGTTGATATTAAATATTATGATAATATAAATTTTGAAATGAATTTTATATAATTTATTTATATTAAATGAAACCCTAAAGAAATCATACATTCTTTCACTAATAATTTAACCTATGAATTTATTTATAAAATCATGAAACTTCCTTTCTTTTTAAAAATTTTAAATGTTTAAAAAATAAAATCAATTCCCAAAAGTTTTTAAAAAAATTAGCCTTAATTAGGCATAATAATAAGAACCTTGTTTTGGAGATGATATATATAATAAAATTAGCTTTTTTTTCCCTTTTTTTTTAATTATTCCAACAAAATTCCAAAACGGTGTCTCTTAATAGAAACCTCATTAAATTTCACATTATTTTTACATATATGATGTGGCATCACATTATTTACCATATTTAACCTTCTTATTTTTACATTTCTTGATTGAAAAAAAAAAGAAAAAGAGAGAAAAGAAAGATAAGAGTGTGTGAACCCAAAAGGATAAGTTGAAAAGTAAAATCCCTTTCACATTGTTACTTGGTCTTTCAAGAACAAATGCCAAGGAAATCCAAGTGGGTCGCATTGCAATACCATATTTGCCCTTGTGAAATTCGAACTCATGGAAATGTGGTGATAACAAGCCACCGACAATATTCCAAAAACAAAAATCCATGTATTGGACTTAATAAGGATTCTTCTAGCTAAGGGATTAGGAATTTAGTAGAGAGATTCCATGCCAAATTTTGTCATTTTCAAGAATGAATTATCTATGGTTTAGAATTCATGATTAGACAATGTTTATCGAAATGATTAAAGTAAATGTCTTCAGATTAAAGTAGATGTTCTTATCGGTCGGATTATCTTGTAATGTAAGAATTTAGAATATAATTTATAATAATACAGTCTTTTTTTTCAATAATATATAAAATTTTCTTAAATTATAATATTGTCCCCCATCTTGCTCATGCCTCTAAAGCAATAATAGAAGAGAAATGGGATCCCATTCCACTTATCCTATGCTCTAGTACATCATGCCTATTGGTAATAATATCACCATGTTTAACTCATGTGGTAGAAATTAATGAAAGAACATAACATTTTTGTCCTTTCTAACCATATTATAAAATATATGAAATAAACTAAACTAAGGTCAAAGTGTAGAACACATGGCTCTAACAAAGCAAAACCCTAAAAGATCACAACTCATATCTCACAACTAGAGCCAAATAAAGGGAAGATTCCAAGAAACATGAACAAAGAAGGAAAAGCACCACTTACCAAATTATTCTTGGCACGTTTTGGTGATTCATCAAATGAAATCCCACCACCACCTCCCATATTTCTTTCCATATGCAAAGATACAAACTAATAATTTAATTTTTGAAAAGCCAAACACTTATTTTTTTTTTTTTAAGAATTTTTTGACCAATTGGATAGCAACATCTTTGGTTGTTTCACCCTTTATGAGTTCAAAGTTTAAACTAATCAAGGAATGTCATGCAGCCTACATCTCTTTCATGAAAATTGAAAGATTTGCCAAGATAATTCTTTTGAATTTTACAATTGGAGAATAGTTTTTTATTTAAAAATTTATTGATAAAAGTAATTTGAGAAATTTATTTATAATGTTTTGAAGCATTTTACATATTAAAATTTTAGTTTAAATAAACATTGAGAACTTAAAAACGCTATGAAAGGTGATTGACTTGGAAAAAGTGATAGATAGATAGATAGATTTGTTTACGGTTCGCAATAGCTTTTTTAAGTAATTTTTAGCGTTTTAATTAAATGATATTTTTTACAATGTTCGATAATTTAGAGATTAAAGTAGCGTTTTATAAAAGATTAATCCCCTTGACGTTTTATAAAAAATTATCTAAACAGCTAAATACCATTAAAACAGCTTATTTTACCGAATATACTCATAAAAATGGAATAAGTAGATTAATTTACCATATTGTGTACCTCATTGTGGTATATAGGATGGTGGATGGAAAAGTCCGTTTTGTTATTCATTACTTCTTCTTTATTTTGTTTCCACAGGCTTTGGTAATTGGGGTAAATAGTACTTATTGCTTGCTGACCCTTTTATGCAAAGGCAAGTAAAAAGCAAAAGCAATTAATGTAAAATTAATTGTTTGAGGCAAAAGCAGAAGATACAATAATTGTGTACTTTGAGACACTCAATAATGTTTTCATCTAACTAAAGAGACAGAGTTTCAACACATTTAGTAGTTTTTACTCTTCTAAGTTGTCTCGGCAAAAAACAAGTATGGAGGCCTCAAACCTCTATAATTTGGAGAAATTACTTAAATATTCATGAGTTTCACAACAAGAGTAAAATGAGCTTTTAAGCTATTTTTCCTGATACATTAAAATATCGAATGGACCGAAATAACAGCATAGACCGCATTAGTAAAATGATGTTACAAGTCAATTTTTATGCAAATATACTAAACGTGCCTTGTTGGTCCAGTTAAATATGAATCATTTACGCCAAAACTAGAAAATTACTAAATGCTAATGCAGGAAGGAGTGAGGAGTTTTAACTGTGATTAATCCCCGAGTCGAATTAAGCAGTTTCTGGTAATGAGATCCGGATACCGCTGATTTTTTTTTTTTTTTTTTTTTTAAAAAGGAAAAATTCAGACTGTTCTAAATCGAAATCCTTGCCAATCAAGATGAGAGTAAAACCCGCAAGACCATTTAAACAATTTTTTTTTTTTTTTTTTTTTTAAAAAGGAAGAAAAATTCACTTTGTTCTAAATCAAATCCTTGCCAATTAGATGGAGAGTAAAACCACGCAATACCATTTAACAACTAAATAGTAAACACTACTGAGATACTTAATCTTGATAATTTTTTAAAAATATAAAAAGATTAATTAAATAAATCCTAATTAGACATTAAAAAACCAAGCATTAGTTTCTCACGAGGGGCATGAAAAAGGAAAAGCCCAAAGGCCCGTAAGGTAAAAGCAAGTTTGTTGTTGGGACCCAGTTAACTCCGACAGACAAATATTTCGTTTTGGGCCTTTATTTGTGGGTGCTGTCTTTGGAAACTTGAATGCCCTAACTTGATTGCTTGGCCCACTAAGTGTATCAACGTGAAAGAAGTTAACCTTTCATTTTACTTTATTAATTACTTTTCAAATTTTAGAAAAAACGAATTATACATTTTTAAATTACATGATTAAAAAGCAACGGTTAATTTGAGTGAAAATGACTTAGATCTCTTAAATAAGAGGAACTGTTCGGTTCTTATAAATTGATAAAATCTCTACTCGGAATAAGAGATCGAGTGTTTAATCGTTGTGAATGTAGAAATTATCTATTAAAAAAGACACTGTAATTGATAAATTTCAAAACGAGATTAATTTTATATTCGGTCCGAAATGGATATGGAGAGATTCAATGCAAAACTATATACATATATATAATTTAAGAAATAAATAATAAAAAAAAGAGTTATTCGAATGAGTCGGCTTTTTATGTTTTGTACAGTAAAGCGAGGCGTTATGAGCTGAGCAGGAACTGTGTTGAACAGTCAGAAAGGTCAACTTGCGTTTGCGCCATTTGAAAACACCGTGAGCAAAGAAAAGCCAGAGACAGTATTGGACAGCTGAAAAAGCTCAAAATAATGCAGAGGATGGTCGGACCCCCACTACCCGATCCAAAAACCCTGATCTTTCGCCGGTATTCGGCGCAACCGTACCCAGCACCAGCGCCGCCTGGATATGGGTAATGCAGGCCACGCCTAACTTTATTATTTATTATTAGTATTATTATTTTGTCTTTTAATTTGTTTTTCTTGGTCTCTGTTTTTGTCTCTGCTTTAGGTGAACATGTCACCAGAGAATATACACATGCATTATGTAATTGTAAATGGATTCATCCTTTTTACTGTACTTACTAACCATCACAGTACTCCTTTTGCTAAGCTCGTTAAGTAAAAAATTAACCACCATCGCGTTTAGCTGGGATGGTAAGCGCCCGCAAAAAGGTTATCGTAAGAATTAAATTAAAATGCAAGTTCGATCTACAAGGTAAAAAATCTTAACACTCTATGCAAATTTCATTTTTTTTGGATGTGAAGAGAATTTGAATTTAGATCTATTTTGATCGGTGTAATACACGTAAGTGGAATTTCAAATCTACATATGCTTTGACAATTAATTATTAACATACAACTTATATATCTATAAACAAAGAGTCACAAATGATCACACCTTGTAATTTTGCTTCTAAACTATACAATCTTGTTTAAGTAATTTCAAAGTAATGTTTGGTGGAGGAAACATTACAATTCACACGCACCACAAACTTTTTCCCATCTCAATTTCAACAAAGAATAGTAATAAAGATTTACTCTTTGTATCGGTATTTTTGTTCGATGTATAATAAAAAATATTTTCATTTGAAATAAAATATATTTGTAATTGACTTGATATAGAGGTGAATCCGTGCATCGGAGGTGTAAGTGGCTCCTTAAATCGAGTATAGATAAATCCTTTCCATTAGTGAGGTTAATTCTTGAACCGTTAATTAATTTTATAAAAAGAATTTATAATATGCGCGTAATGGTCACGTCACAATAACAAAAGCAGACCCCTCATTTTCCTTTTTGTAAAAATCTAAAATCCGACAACTAGGACGGGACAGCCGTTGAAGAAAGTCAGGAAAGAGAGAAAGGTAAAACAGTAAAAGAAACCATAACAAGAAAGGTAAAACAGTAAAAAAAGAAAAGTTACAGACATTTCTCTAATATCTACTACTCCCTAGAGTAGACAAATAACTTGTAGCCGCCTTCTAAATCTGACAGCTTTGCTTCCCAGAAATTCTATAAGTGTACACATGATGTCTTCTCACGACAGACAACAATCCTTTTAAAGCAAAAATTACAACATAAATTTAGCACGCGCTGCGACAACTACAGACAAACCCTTCATTATTACCATAATGCCCTTCCACCATAACCCCACTATATATAAATACGTTACGACCTTGTTTTCCTCTGCAAACAAGTACAGAATCATATTTTTGTTTTGAAAGAAAACGAAAATGCATTACCAGATGACAGAGACATGGAGTGGTGGTTACTACGAAGCAGAGCCATTAGAGAGAGTGGTGAGATTGGCATCAGAAAGTGCAGTGGTTATATTCAGTATAAGTAGCTGTTGCATGTGCCATGCAGTTAAGAGGCTGTTCTGTGGGATGGGGGTTAATCCAACAGTGTACGAGATTGATGAAGACCCAAGAGGAAAAGAGATAGAAAGAGCTTTAATGAGGTTGCTTGGGAATTTCTCGTATTCTTCAAGTGCAGTTCCTGTTGTTTTTATTGGAGGGAAACTCGTTGGTGCCATTGATAGAGTTATGGCTTCTCATATTAATGGAACTCTTGTTCCTCTTCTTAAGGAAGCTGGTGCTCTTTGGCTTTGATTTTTATGAGTTTATTGTTTTTCTCTAACATAGGAAAATTAAGAGAAGTAAGTCATCAGTTTGTTTTTAATCATAATATAAATCTAACTTCTCCATATTTTGTTTTAATTTGAAAAAAAAAAAAAAAAGAAAATGAAAATTTCATTATCGGGTCTTTCCTTCTATTTTATTATCATACATACACACTGTGTTATTTTAATTACGTAGCTTCTAATTACGTTCTGTAATGGATGTTTAATTATTGGGTTTCTTTGCTTAATTAATCTTGCTAAAAGAGAGGAGGAGATGTCCCGTTGACCCGATGACGATTATGTTGACAAATGAATGAAATTGAGCCACGTCAGCAAACAGACAATCACTGAAAAGTAGTGAAGGAGTGAATTGGGAGGGACATACTAACAGATTCATGTCGGGTTGTCTTATGTTTATTGTTAGAGGCATGCTTGCTTATGTAGCCCTAATTAAATTAGGCTCTCTAAAAAGTTACAAGACACCAGACAGTGCAAAATGATTTGAGATTATAATATAATTAGGTGTCCATAGAATGAGGCCAAGAAGGATTTCACCACTCACACTTTTAATTTTAAGGGATATTGAAATTAATTTAGGATGTTTCAAATTAATTAAAAGTTAATGTTGATTTGTGTTTCAAATTATGGTTTTCAACATAATTGATTTTCAGCTTAAAATAGATTAATCTCTCGTCTAACGGAAAAAAAAAAAAAAAAAAAAAGATATATGTTGCTGACAGATATGAGGCCCAAGCAGACAGTAAGTTGCCAGCAATGTAGTATTCAGTTTGGGCCTTACAGGGTCCCTAAGTCTTGAAAACTTGGGCCTGTACATTCTCTAGCCATGTAAAGATTTGACCAAAACTCAAAGTGGGCCTTTGAGTATTATTATTATTTTTTTCATAAGAATAATAAACACACACATAAGAGACATCCACAAGACATATCATTTATCAAAATTATGAAAATTTTAACAAAACATCCTAATCCATTTATCACAAACACATGCATGGTTCATACATGATGCCTCTAAATATTATTATTATTAGTTATTAATTTTTTTTTTGAAAATGTAATTCATTAATAATAATATCAAGAATTATAAATAAACATATAGACCAGATATAGATATAAGTAAATGTAAAAAATAATGTGAATGCCAAAATTGAATAAAATTGAACCTAATCTTGAAATTATGTGAGTAAAATGTTAGTATTAAATTATAAATTGAGGGATTAACTTGTTAAATGTAGAGCCTTTGTTTAGCAATTGATGATTGGGTATTGATTATTGAAGATGAGCAATCTTGATAATATGAAATCCTGGGTAAAAGACACAAACATTGAATAACACTTCTACTAGTACTAAACTTGAAATCACATCAGGATACTTTGACCACTCATGAGAGACAACATTCTACATGTGCATAACTGATAAGCTAAGTCCCAACTGGATGAGCTTTAAGCTTGGGTTTATTTTTTTATGTCTTTGATCAAAATAGGTAAGAAGCTGACATTTTTAGACAAGTGGGTGATAAATAGAACAAAATCTTTGATATAGCACTTTTTTAACAAAACAAAATGATCCCAAATCAAATCCAAACCATCAATCCCAACCTAGGGTTTTAATCGCCGCTCCGCCATCTGACTCTGATTCTTGTCTCAACCAGTTTTATGGTTAGATCTACACATGTTCAATCAATTCCTAATTCAACTGTTATTTCATACTTCTCTATCCAACCAATTCTTAATTTACTTTATTTGAACATGAGATCTCCATGTTCCCAATTGATAAAACTCTAAGAACAAACATATGTGGTTGGGTTTAGTAACAATGCATGATAAAGAAATAGCCACATATGGAGAGGAAACGACAAACAATAATGAGTCAGAAAGCAAGCTATCTATCAATATTACGGAACATCAAGAAATTCCAATCTTCTCTTCAGTAAAATATTGTCCTTTTCAATTCTTAGACTTTACACACTCAAAAGATAATAAAATAATTACAGAGACAGCTTCCACCTCCAAATCAAAGCCCACTACCTGTCAATCTGCTACAGAGTTGTAAACCCTTTCTCTTCACAAGCTTCCAAAAGGGTTCTTCACATGTTTTTGTTTGCAGTGAATAGATAAATCATTTCTACACTCTGATTACAGTTGGTCCTAACACCAACTACTCACGGGCTCATTATATGCATATCTCAAGATCTATTATTGCAGAATAATAATATTAATAATATATAATCCCTACTGTGATGTGATATGCACTTGGATAGATTATCAAGTACCAACCATAACTCTACTTGATGTTCTTGTAGAAGCTTCTCCTATGTTTGCTGCTATGGCTCCAACCATTTTTCTCCTTCTTGCAACTTTTTTTGCTTCCCTGTTTTCTGTTCTTGCTCAATCTGAAAATCCTATTTCTAGTATCAGTGTTGTTGGTGTTGTTTATTGTGATACTTGCTCCACCAACTCTTTCTCCAGAAACAGCTACTTCTTGCCAGGTAAAAAAATTCTCTCTTTTTTGTTATTCATTTCTGCTCTGGAAAAGGGGGGTAAGAGAGTTCAATTTTCTATTCTGAATTCCATATATATTTCAAATTCATTGATACCAAACAGGGGCAACAGAGTTCCTGAATTGTTTTAATTGGATTTCTTTTTTTCAGGTGTGGATGTTCATATACGATGCACGTTCAAAGCAACTTCACCAAAAACAGCAGAGCAGATAAATTTCTCAGTTAACAGAACAACAGATAAATATGGGATATACAAGCTAGAAATACCACATGTAGATGGAGTTGATTGTGTAGATGGTTCATCAATTGAAACTTTATGCCAAGCAAGTTTAATTGAGAGTTCATCTTCAGCTTGTAATGTTCCTGGTCTAAAAACAACAACAAATGAGGTATCTGTCAAGTCAAAACAAGATAATCACTGCATTTACAGCTTAAATGCATTGAGTTACAGACCAGTCAAAAAAAATATTACCTTGTGTGGGAACTACAAAGAAGAATTATCAAATTCCTTTAATTCTTCAAAATTCTTTCTTCCTTTTTTCCCACCATATGGTTTTCCTTGGCCACCTCTGGCTCCATTCCCTTTTCCACCGGCTTTTAATTTAGGAGATCCAAGAACTTGGATACCTCGTATTCCACCATTTCCACCAACACCATCTGTTTCTGAACCACCTCCTCCACCGGCTTTTAATTTAGGAGATCCAAGAACTTGGATACCTCGTATTCCACCATTTCCACCAACACCATCTGTTTCTGAACCACCTCCTCCACCGGCTTTTAATTTAGGAGATCCAAGAACCTGGATACCTCATATTCCTCCATCCACAGCAGCTCCTCCTCCTCCACCTGCTTTTAATCTAAGAGACCCAAGAACTTGGGTTCCTTACTTCCCTCCATCACCTTCTAACAGACCTCAGAATCAAAACCCATAATAGATTTCTTAATTATATGAATGATTTATGTTTAATATGTTATAGTTCAGAATACCATGAGCTTTTTTTATGTATAATTAAAAACAGATGAGTACAGAAATAGTATGTCCTCAATAACGTCATTATAGCTATCATTTACTTGATCTAGTTGGAAGAATTGTATATAGACAGCTGTTTCATATGTTCCCAACAAATGAATTCCATAAGTTTGTGGAATTCATTCAGAATTTCATGTTTTTATGTTTCGTGTGAAAGAAAATATTCATTTGCTCTCATAAATAAGATTTTCTGGAATTCAGTATAAAAGTGGCAAGTTGAAAATCTAACTGATAAATTAAAGATTTCAACTGCTATCCAATAATCTAAATTATAAATTGAAGATCTCAATTGGTAATTCGTTGATGCATTTAACACTGACTTTTTGCAATTTCACATGAGATGCATTGTTGCCCTGTAGGACAATTCAGAAAGAAATGTAAAGTTTGTCAAACCCATAAAACATAAGCAGCAATAAATACATGCTAGTCCTCAAAACATATATATGTGTGTGTATGTGTAGACAGAAATACATTTAACTAATTGATCAGCAATCTCTTGTTTCTAACAAATATATATGTATATATTCATATAATCAAACTTATAGAATATAAAATTTTCTTCCGTTCTCCTGTGAGATCTTAAATAAGTTAAAAAAAAAAAAAAAAAATCAAAGTTTTACTATTTATATTATACAAACTGTACTGTCTTTGATGCTTCCTAAGTCGATATATATTTCTTTAAAAGACTAGAACCCTTTACAATTGGTGGGATTTGCCAAAGGAAAATGATTCATTGCATAGTTGTAAATATGTACCAAGTAAAAGCTTATTGAATCATGACCTTTTGTCTTTGAGGACTAGCGTGCCTACAAATTAAAGCTCCTAAAATGAATCAAGACTCATAATCAGTCCTTCTCAATTTTACAGTTACTTGATTTGCACCCTTCTAGCTGCCTCACTCTCTCCATTAGCTCCTCAATAGTCTTGTAAGCATCCTGCAGAAAAATCGATGAAAGGGGAATCGATAAAAATAGTTAATTTTTCAAAAAGAAGTATGAAAATATAATGCACCAAAAAGGCCTAACCTTTAACTTCTCTGTTAAATCCTCCTCCATTTGGTCCCTTCTAGTCCTTTCTTCCTGTATCATTTCTACAAGAGCAATATTTTCTTGATCCAACTGTTCTGCTTTCTTTTTTTCAGCATCTAGCTCTTCTGTTTTCTCCTGAAGCTGTTCATTGATAAAAGGAATTCAGTAAATTACAAGAAAAAAAGGGGGCAACCGGGCAAGTTTTTCGGTTAATTAAAAGGTTATCAACGCATGCCTGATTTTCAAGCTTTCGCTGCTTCTCCCTTTCATATTCTAAAGACTTAATCAAATTATCCACCATTTTCCCAGTTTGTCCATTGAATCTGCAATATATATAATAGCACAAGTTGATGGTTATGTAAATGTATAGCAAAATTAATAGCAGAGGAATATATTAAATCACTAATCATACCTATCCTTTAATTCAGGACCCTTTTTCTTCAAGTTATTTGAACTCTTCATATCATTAGTATTGGCAGCCTGTCCATTCATCTCATTTGTGAAGACTTGCTGCTTAATGAGGGAGCAGTTCAAAGAAAATTTTCCTTTGAATGTAAATAAAACAACTATATAATAGAAAACACATTAATAGAATTTACCTTTGAATGAGAACCTGTGGCCATTTGCTGACCTTTTACTACGGAACAATACAAAGGATCTGTGGTAATACTGCGCAATGGTGTTTCACCAAGTTTCAGACAAGCTTTGGCTTTTAAATCCCCATTAATAGAGCTTTGCTGGTTTGGACTAATTGCATGTACTGCTGGAAATCCTTTAGCAGAGCCTTTTACTTTATTTTTTGATTGCGAAGTGCATTCTATGTTTGAAGAATTATGGTTCTTGGGGTGCCGCCTTGCAGCATAACCAATCTCCTGGCAGTTTGAAGACCTGATCAGAGTAAAATTGAAAGGGTTATAACTAATCGAAGTACCTGAAGGTAAAAAAGAAAAACATTGAGAAAAAAAAGAACTAACCAATAACTCTTCTGTATTGCATTCAGTCTCGCCTCTAGTCTTGAGAGACCATTTGTACGCTCAAAACCTTGCTTATCATGAGCTGGTTCAACAAAATTAACTTCCATTAAACCTGCAGCAGTAACAATAAACTAGAGATTAGTTTATATAAAAATACAAAGAACTGAAACGGAATGATAATAATGAAGAATAGATCCTAAGTAAAGGTACCTATTACTCCACGGCCATCGCTCCCAGCAGCATTCCACACCCTCCAGAAAGGCTGAAATTAAATCCTTATATAATTTGAATTTCGGAAAACATTGTAAAGCACAGATATTAGAAAAAGGAAAAAGAAAAAAAAAACCTTGATGAGCCTGTTCTTGTGATAAACATTAAATCCCTGAACATCAATATGGTGGTGAGCATCTTTTACAAACCCAATTGTCCCGTATGCGGCCACCTTAAAGAGCAGCAAACGAAATCAGGGTTTTTAGGCAGAACGAAGAACAATAAAATTGGAAAAAAAAAAAGAAAAATTACATCTGGATCATTCTCTACATGCTGAGGTCTGTATACTATATTCTTTGCCAAAATCATGTCATTTACTATGTCATGATGTTCAACATCCTTTCCCCGGAGGAATATTCTGAAGCCAGTTGGAAGTCTGAGATACAGAATTGCTGCATAACTCTAGTAAGCAAGATATAATCAACAAACATTAAAGAAAAAATTATTATTCTGTATGTACAAAAGGAATCATGATTATCACTAGTAAAATGATAATTTACAATATAAACAAATTAATGTTTATTCATACCCTTAATGAATGCTGATAAGTTAAAAAATGCCTTGCACTGGGATATTGTTTTGCCATTTGTATATTCCTCTCGTCTCGGTTGACTCCTCTAATTTGTATGTCCTGCCATATTACAAATTCCACAAATTCACAAGTAATGGCTACTACCTTCTAGTTGTATGTAACTTTCAGAGAAAGGAATTAAGGTTGTTTAAGACATACATGTGGATTGGTGTCAAAATCCAGTTCCAAATTTCCTTCATCATCTTCCCAAAGATTATAGATTATGATACGAGTACCTTGATCTTCCAGGAATTCGAACTACAGCATTAAAAAAAAGTAACCAGTACCATTAGAAGAAACTAATAAAACCTAAGAGCACTGGGAAAATCTTTAACTTACCTGCTTGAAAAGGTCTTCTTCACTTATAAATGGTGACCACTGCAATATGATTTCTGAATTGGCATTCCAATCATTTAAAGAAGATCTTATTTTCTTGTTCCATTTATTAGATTTCCCTTTCTTCTCAAAGTCAATCTTGAAATCGAAACGGAATAGAATAAATAAAATAATGGGATTAATGCAATTTATAAGCAAATCTTGAATAGAGCATAATACATGCTATCCTTAATTACCATGGGAACCACAATATCTTCTTTTCCTGTCGCCCGTAAAAATGTGTAGGAAAGCAATCCAATGCTCTGTGTTGGGCTGAAAAACAATAATCAGTTTATCATTAAATTCAAAAATAGTACTAATAATAATTAATTAAGCACAAGCTACAAAAGAGACAAACTAACCTCTTCCCATCATCACAACGAGAAAACACAATCACATCTGCTCCGAGCCTCATAGTACTCGTTTTGAAACCATTCCCATCTGCAGCACTTAAAAAAATTAATTAAAAATGATTAACACCAACTATTGATTTAAATTTTTAGGAGCTTAAAGAAATTAGATAGCTCACATTGGCCAATTGCGTTTGACATCTTGCTCTTAGCAGAGTATCCTAGAGACATACATTGCCGCATTTTATCAGGATTCATTCCACCACCATTGTCTGTAATCAAATGAAATTTTTTACTATAAGAAAGCTATCTAACTCAAATAATTATTTATTATATTATGAATCTAATTGCATTGTCAAAATCAAATCTCATAGCATCAAATTTGTAAATACCTTCTACAAGAATCATCATGCTCCCATCTTTCTGGTTTTCCAAAACATCCACATTAACATAGGTGGCTCCATTGCAAACCTGATGCCCAATAATTTCAAGTTAAATAAAATCAAAATCATCTTTGATTACAATGTTAATCTAGTTTAGTGGTAATTAAGTGAAGACCTCATCTAAAGCATTGTCTAAAAGCTCTGCAAATGCTCCCAATGCCCATTTATGACTTGTTGCATTTGAATGTAGAAACTTTGGATGTACTCTAACATGATCCATGCCAACTGCAAAAAAATTTCAAATTTTTTTATGACATCAAAGTTTAATCACGCACAAAAAAAAGTGAACTTAAGAATTTCTTTCAACTTTTTATAAATAAATTAATGTGTATGTACTGACTAGCAGAATAAGTAGAATCAGTAGCAACGTCTTCCTCGTAATCTCCTGCTTTCCAGAACTGCTTGCAACCGCGTGAAATCGTAGCCACCGCCAGTTTATTGTTATTATTATGAGCAACCGTCAATGGCAACAGCGAGTTGTCCTTCCGTTCCATTGTTTTTTTCAGTAATGGCTGTGGCTGTAATTCCTGGTTATTGTTAAGAGAAGCAAGAAATCCTGCAGGAGGCATAATTGAACAAAATTCCTCCTCGCGTTTCGGTTTCTTCAAGAGATCACCGAAACTCGAGTTTTGCTTCCGTTTATTAGCATTGAGATTTGAAACACCGCCGTCGTCAATGTCATTGGAATCGGAATCGCTTGAACTACTACTACTACTGCTGCTTCCGCTATGATAACTAATTTGCGTTTGGGAAAGCTTCAGAAGTTTTTGGTTTAGCCTGGGAGATGAGTTAGCCGGTTCAGGATTTTCTCGCTTGACTATGGAGTCCATGAGTGCGTTATCTGTTTGGGAAGCGAGAAACCGAGGGAAAATAAATTAAAGCCGACGAGAGAATTGTGAAAAGCGAGCGGTTGTGTTTGTGAAGGAGTTGTGGCTTCGTGGCGGGATTCTCTCTTGTTTATAAAGGGCTTGTTACGGTTTTGCATGTGCGAAAGCACACAGGAGAGCTACCTAGCATACGTCTCTAGCTCGAATTCAACTATTCAACCAGACCGTTCGATCAACAATTTTATTGGAGCAAAAAAATAAATTCAACATGACCGTCCGATCAACAATTTTATTTGAGTAATAAAAATCAATTTAGATTTGGGATATTAAGCTTTGTATTATACAATGGGAACCTATTATAGGAGTACATAACCAAAATTAATCAGGAATATTAACTATACAAGAAATTTTGTATATTAAAAATTAAAATATTTATAAAATCGATTCTTCCTATTTGGAAAATCCTATTTCTACAAGGAATTTTATTACACAACTTTGTTCTTGTACTACATCCAATTCACAGGATTTGGGGTAAAACCCTGAAATCGCAGTGAAGCTAATAGTACAATTTGATTGAATTAAGTATTCGATTACAAATAATTATTTTCTATCAATTGAAGTCTAATAATGACACGTTCTTTCATTAATGTTTGGTAATTTAAACTCTTCCATTAAACGCGGTGAGTTCTTGAAATGATGGTGTTGCATTTTTTTTTTTTTTTCATCTAATGAGGTTAAAAAAAAAGAGATTTAGCTATTTAGCAATCACAAGTTATTACTTCCTAATGTAAACTAAATAGCAAATTCCATCCCCACCAAGATTAAAAATTTAAGACAAACACCATCTTCAAAGCATATGGTGTAATATCCTCAATTTTGTAGTTTTTTCTATTTTAGCTTTTTCGATGAATTCGGTTATCTGAATAAAAGGAAAACTTAAAATAATGGGAAACACTATAGATTGAGGATATTACTATTAATTAAATGAAACATTAATTGATCTTTGCAAATCAATGTGAAAGCTTAAAGGAAATCAAAAATGAGTTAAAAGATGAATGAATGTGAAAGCTTAAAGGAAATCAAAAATGAGTTAAAAGATGAATGACTTCTCGGTGATAATGGTTCTCATTTTCAAGCGGATGTTGGTCAGTTGCTTTATAGGTACAAGGTTGAGCATCACCACTCTTCTCCTTATCGCCCTCAGGCTAATGGTTCAGTAGAAGCTGCGAATAAGGAGATTAAAAGAATACTGTCGAAGATGTGTGAAAGGTACAAAAGTTGGGCCGAGAAACTTCCTTTCACGCTCTGGGGACCTCGCACTACCTTCAAATCAGTGAATGGAGCTTCTCCTTTTGAACTTGAATATGGAATGGAGGCAGTGTTACTGATAGAGCTCGAAAAGAAGTCTCTCAGAGTTTTTGTGGAAGCTGGTCTGATCGAGGAAGAATGGGTCAAGAAAAGGTATGAAGATTTGGTGCTTTTAGATGGAACAAGATTGAATGCTCGATTCCTCCTTCATTTCTATGGATTACTTTTTGAATTCCATGAACTTTGAAGTGAGGTGCTTGTTTGTGTAATCTGATTTGGTGAAGATGATTCTGATTTGGTGAAGATGAAGTGATTAGAAGTGATTTTAAGGTGATTTAAGATGATTGAAAGTAGTTATGCATGAATTCAAAGTCTAAGTTGCATAATTCACTAAGATGGATGATTTTGAGTTTGTTTTTGATATTCCATGAACTAGGGATTCTGGGATTCTGATATATCTTATATTATGATGTTGTGTAAGTAATAGAAGAGTTGAATTGCATGAATTTGTGCTGGAAGTGAGTTGAGAATGCTTGAGCAAATATATCATTGTTAGACCTGTTATAGTTGGGCTGTCTGAACTTCAGCTTCAGTAATTGACCTATTTGGCTCAACAAATGAACTTCAAAATTCATGAAAAGTTACATCGAGATAGGCTGAGATGTTGGGTAGGTCGTGGTAAAAGGGGAAGGCCATTGGATAAAAGGAAATGGAGTTATAATTAAATTAGTACAGGCTGCTCACCATGAGAAAAACTGAACTTCAGATTCTATAATTATGTCATAATTATGTCATTTAAAAATGCAAATGAGCTTTAAAATGCAAATGAGCTTTAAAAATTATGAAATTTTACAGGGAAGTACCCTAAGATGTTGGGAACATGCTGTAAAAATTTCAGGGCAAATGAATTTGAGGAAGTCCAGATATAATCAATGGAATACAAGCTACTCAAATGCTGAAATTCTGCATTTCATAAACATTGAACGAATTTAGCATGCTATTGACTTCTATTGTTTTCATTGTTGTTATTCTGTGTCTAGGGTGTGGTTAAGTGTTGGATATGAAGTGTTTCATGCTTAAACTCAGATCATATAACACTTGGACAAGCATAGTGAAAATGAAAGAAAAAGCATGATACTACATTCTAATGCTTAATTTACATTCCTATAGAAGTGCATGTGTTTACATTGTGTAGTATGATCTTAATGTGAGTATTAATATCATGCTACAGCTTCTGAGAGAAAGGATTACTAGAGGAAAAGGGCTAGGGGAGCCATCTAGTTCAGGTTAGTGTTATTATTCCTTTCCTACTTTTATTTAAACAAAATGAGATTGAGTTTGCAAAAAATTTTCTATGGATGTGCTTTATGAATTATAACTATATATATAAAAAATATATATATTAGTGCTTTCATAAATTTTTAAAGAGGAAAAAGATTATTTTGAAAGCATATGACCGAATGATATTTTAAATGAATTTTATGATTCTTATACTGTGAAAGAGGAGGATGTTGGCCAATTGATATCTGTAGTATGAGGGGTGGCCGTGATTGAAAATGTTTTTAGCAGTGGTTGTGAAATGAAATGTTGTCCAATTGTGATTTTCATAATTAGTACATAAATGGAAATGGTTTAAAAGTCTTACAGCTGATATAAGATATGGTTATTACCCCGAATATCCATTTCAATTTGTTGAAGTTGAATATTACGAATCGATTGAACATGGATATCATACTAGATGATAATAATGAATTTGATTAATGAAAATTCTCCCTCCATGTTTGAGGTTGTAGATTGCTCCCGTCTTCTGAAAATCATAATCCACAGATTGAGGTTGTAGATAGCAGGTCTAGATGTGCACATTAGAACCACTGATTGGCCCTCAGAATTGGACTCTATAAAAGCTGTAAAGACCAAATATTAATCGAAAATTGATGATTTAAATGGTTATTGATTAATTTTGTTTCTATTTTCTTTAATTTCCATGGTGGATTTAATGAATTGTCATTCCTTATTATTTTTAATAGTACCACCAACTAAGCCATATGCTTAGGCGATAGTTGCCTTTTGTAACAGGTAAAGAAAAGGAAAAAGAACCAAGAGAGGATCATTTTTATTTGATGTAGATAGTATGCTACTGATGTAGCTATTGTATATTTGACTTCTACTTTTATTTAAACAAAATGAAATTGATTTTGCAAAATATTTTCAATGGATTTGCTTTATGAATTATAATTATATTCATAAGTTTTTAAAGAGGAAAATGATTATTTTGAAAGCATACGACCGAATGATATTTGAACAATTACATTCTATTATGTATCTAAGATTTAAACAGGACTCCAATATGTAATTAAATCATCCATGGACTTATAGGTTATGGAACCATTTTATTTTATGTTTTTTTTATAATATGTTTAAGAAATTATATTGAGATTAATATCTACCAAAAGAAGTTATATATATTTACTAACTAAATTATTTTGCTACAAGATATAAAAATGAAGGAATTAAAAGGATTAAGTCCCTTGTAGTATACTTAGTAAGCATTTATAAGAATTAAGTGACTTGTAGTATACTTAGTAAGCATTTATAAGAATTAAGTGCTTATTAATTATATTACGGGCAACATGTCATGTCTTACAGTAGGGTAAGGTGTGACATATGGTCTGAAGGTTGGCATACTACACTCAGGAAGTTATTATGGTTGGCAAAAATACAAGTTGGCGTTTCTAGCTAGATGTTTAAATACTCTCTGAGGTGAGATAAATTAACTGTGATTTGTGATTACCGTTATTTGTTTTTAGCTATTTATATTTTTCTAACAATTTTACAAGATTAATTGGCATATATATAATAAACTCTTGCTTCAGTTATTATCATATATATAAATATAATTTCCTAAAAAAACAAAAAATGTAACGCATCACTCTTAAACTGCCACTCCACCGCCCACAATTTTCTTCAGTGAATAAATGACGAAATCTTTTTTTTTTTTTTTTTTTTTTTTTTTTTTTGGAGAGGAGACGAAATCTTTCCTTGGCATATAATAGCAATTAAAACAGTATATATATATATATATAGTATACTATATATATAGGTATATTAAGTACATTGGAAAGGAGTACTACCAGGAATATAATTTGCAAAATCTTTTTTTTTTTTTTTTGAATAAAAAAAATGGCAAATAATTTTAATTATAGTATTTTTTTTTTTGAATAAAAATGCAATATTTTATATAGTATTCTTCCCTATATGTAATCTGTCATATAGCATATTGTACAGTATAGAAATTTTGAATTTGTATATTATAGATTTTGAGATCAATAATTGAGATTGTCACCTCCAAACTTTATGTCATTTACAAACATCATGTTGATTAAAGATAAGATTAAGCTATGTCTCGTTGTAACAATTGATTTTTTTTTTATTATATCAGAAAATATTTAAAGGGAACATTAGGTTTGAATCATATGATAGAAACTGAACCAATTGAATTAATAATAGTTTAAAAAGCAAATAAATTATTTATTGTTTAACCAACTCAGAAAATTTTCCTTTTGGAATTTCCAATTATTATTAACATGGTTATTTCTATGTCAAATGAGGTAGGATGTAGGGTTTGTCTTCCATATTTATTTTATTTTTTTGGAATTTTTTTAAGTTTAATTTCCATTAGCAAAACTTAAAATACATTTCTCATAAGACAGATGACAAAGCAAGAAAATTCTGAGTTCTGGGATTGGCCGCCATTGTTAATTAGTAGGAAGTTCTTGCAATCTTCCCCATGTTGTGA